TAAAGAGTCCTTCAGGTTTTTAAACAGATAAGACTCAAAGGCACTCAAAATAATCACTCTAAAACCCTTTATTTTATTCGGTTTGCCAGATTCTTAAGTGTTTTTTCCACACGGCTATTATCTGGGTTTAGAGAACAGCTGAAGAGAACAAAGGCTTTTGATACTAATTTTTGTAATGCCTCACATATTTTCTCCTTTTTATGTGCATGTGTGTGTGTGTGTGTGTGAGTGTCGCGAGTATTAACTCACACATTTTGTTTATTGATGCCCATGTGTTTCTTTCCTGCAGCAGCAGTACAACAGGCTTTAATACATCTCAAAGTATGGTCCCTCTCATAGAAGGTTTAGATTATATACTGTGTATACATAGTGGTAAGTTACATGAGTGTTTGGATAAGCATACTAAAGGGGCTGATAGAGGTATGAAGGGTTTTTGCTATGCGGTCAGTCAAGATAACAGGGACTGAGTAAGCACTTAAAGTATGCTGTAAGTGGATTACATAGAGATATGCTGAGAGTGTATGTGAGGGAAACAGTGAACATAAGTGGATGTATGGTCTATCCCTGTCTGTGCATGTGTGTAGTGATGGGATCATTAGAAGCTTGGTCACAGTTGTATCTTAAAGGAGGGGTTGGCAGGATCTGAGGAAGTGCCAGTTTGGGGAGAAATCTTGAATGTAAACTCTACCCCTCCCAACCAGTTTTCCCCTCAGCTCCTCCTCTCCCCTCCCTCTCTGCTCCAGCAAGCCCCGCCCACAAACAGACGCTCCTGCTCGCTCGTATCGTTTCAATTACATTCAGGTATAATGCAGATAAATACTTCAGATAATTACAAATGGGGCCCAGTCAAAGTGAAAGTAAAAAGCATTGGTGCTACTGTAGATGCCAACAGACTACCAGGAAAAACAATGTTTGCAGGACTTCTACAACTAGGATAAAGTGACATAGTCCAGGACCCGAGGTCAACAGTTTAGCGGCGCTACAACACGCAGTAGGTCCTGTTTGACAAGACACACTTCTGTTACACTCGGCTTACTTTGTTCTCCAGAATTTACTTCATTTTCTTGCTTGTGTCAGCAGTCGTGGCTGAAGGAGGATTCAGACAATTTTCTGTACTTTCTGGATGGTTTCTACTGTCTGATATTGTAGCACGCTAACTTTGTTTGGGCTCCTGAACGACACGGGAGAGCATCATCTGCCTCACATCCAATCAGCACTAGGGAGCAGCGTTCGCCTCACAACCAATCAGGATGGGGGAGGCTGGGAAGAGGCTTTGTTTACAGCCAGAAAGAGCGGAGCGCTCAAAAAATTTAAAATGTTGACTACACAGACGTAACAAAACACAGCTATATCGTTATATCACCAAATGGCATCAATAACTAATAGCCATTGACTGATATTAAAAGCTTTTTTGTAAATACACCACAAAAAAAGATGCTTCTTTAACGGATTCCTGCCTACCCCACCTTTAAGTTAAAGTGCCAAGTCCACACTAATACATTTTCCCTATAGAGATCAATAAAGTTCTTGTATTGTATTGAATTGTATTGTATTGTAAGCCATACATTGCCGGTTGGTTGAGTTTTGTCATTGTTTGGCTGCGACATGGAGATGCAAGGTAAGGTTAGCTAGCAGTGAGTGTCCCCATGAATGGAACAAGCCAAAATACTGTCACCTCTTTTAGCAAATCACTATAAATCATTATTCTAGTGGGGTTTTGTAAGTGTTGCCCCTCATGGTTGATTGCCTCTGTACTTGCTAACTGCTGGAGAAATGCTTTACATTTCACATGGGGGGGAATAATGTTTGGACTAAAAAAAAAGTGTAGCAGATGTAAAATTTGATATTCAAATAATGTATCCAAAAATGTGCGTGTGCATGCGTGTGTAATTCCCAGAAGTCCCTCAATGTGCTGGAGGTGACCCTTTATGTCGACGAGCTAAATGATGAATAATGACTGTGCACCTTGAGAGACCAACACACACACACAAGTATGAGCACGCAGAGTGTGAAGGCACATGCTGTTCTGGGTGTATTGCTCATTATTTTGCGTGTGTGTGCATGTGTGTGTGTGTGTGTGTGTGTGTGTGTATGTGTGTGCGTGTGTGTGTGTAGCAAGCGCTCCTGCCTCCCCCAGAGAGATGATGAGTCTGAAGGAACGCAAGATGGACTACGATTCCACGGCAACCAACGCTGGTTTCCATAGCAACAAAGGAGAGCACACATCCCGGAAAGACGGCATGGCAGGTGTGTGTGTGTGTGTGTCTGTATGCCTGTGTGTGATGGAGAGACTGAGCAGAATTAAATGATTATACTTTATCCCTCTTTTTATCTTTCTTTCCCTCTAATTTTTATTCTTTATTTCGTCCCTCAATCTCTCTCCTAGTCTTTCTTTTTTTCTGACTTCACAGTTGGATTTCTCTCCATCTTTGCCAGTATTTCTGTCTAGTATCTATCTATCTCCCTCTCTATCTCGCCCCATTTTTTCTCTTTTTTAATACTCTCTCCCCATCTTTTGTTGTACAGTCTGTTTCTCTTCTTAACAATCAGTCTCTGCTCTCTTTTTTTCATTCTCTCTTTTCCTTTTTTGTCCGTCTCTCACCACGCTCTCCTAAGGCTGGACTCTAAAACAAATTGCAGGAAGATATGGACTCTAATTAGCTGATTTTTACTCAGCCAATAGTGTAGTTTCCTACAGTTCTGTTTGTCTTTGAATTATCATTAGTAGTAATAGTAGAAGTAGTATTCATCTAAATCATTCATTCACTAAAAGATGTCATCTTTCTCTTGTCTTTTTACTCTCTTCCCATCCAGTTCAAGTATCCTGTGGGACATCTACATTGTTCAGGAATTCCTACCTGACCGCCAGTGATGATATCAAACAAAACCAGGCGAGTTCCTTGCACTCTATAATCGTACAGCACGCCTACACTTTAACACATGCACACACAGACACACACTCACAGCTGCAGCAGCTCAGCAGATTTTTGCAGTGCACCGAGACTCTCTTAAATTGGTGTGTTCTGTCATTACAAGTTGCTTATTAGGGAAGATAGCAGCGGGATGGGGAGAAAAAAAAAAGCACTCGCACACACGCTCGCACTCACATGCACACAAAAGGTGTCTGGCTGCGATAAGAGATGCGCTGGCAGACTGTGCAATAGAGACACGCCCTCAGCTCAGCAAGCAACAAACCGACGTGTCCTGAAACCACACCTGACTGGTAATTCGAATCATTACCCTGGGATGATTTCTCTAATTATCTGACTCTGTTCAGTGACTGCTGTTCAAGAGGGAGGGGGTGACACACGGGATCGTATTATTTGAAAACTAAAAATTTGGTTAGTTGTTCGTCTCTCTTGAAGCCGTAATAAGTACTTTTGTATGGATACAAACTTTGGCTTTACAACAGGCAGCAATGTGTGCATGTGAGAGAAGGGTTTTTACACGTAAGCGCAGACACACAATAGAGCTAAAGTATCGCGGATGAATTGGCCCCTTGAGTACCTGCATGTAACAGTGACTTCACAGCATGAGTCCCTCCCCGGTTGATTCCTATCTGAGCTCTTTCACCTGTACTGCCTGCTTTTCAAACCTTTCTCCCCTCTGCACTCACTCTCTCCCTGCCACTTCCCTCCATTCTCCATCCTCCTTTCACCTCACTCCCACTACCACCATCTCTTTACTCTTGTTTGCTGCACCTACCACTTTCCCCACCCCTCCCTCACCAGGCTCCAGTCCAGCCCTGCATTGTGCCCCCCCAGCCCCAGCAGGACAGCCCATCAGCAGCGGTGCTAAAAGACTACGACCCCTACCCTCCCCCTCCTTCCTTCCCCCAGCCTCAGCCGCCACAGCCTCCTCCTCACAGCCAGAGCCGGAGCTTTGACGATGTCTACTACGAGGACCAGGGACCTCCGCCTCCCCCGTCTCAGCCGCAGCCACAGGTTCAGGCGCAGGCCCAGCCTCAGGCCCAACCCCAGCAGCCTCCGACATCCGCCGGACCGCCTCGAGACCCCCGGGAAGACCTGCGCATGCATCTGGGCCTCAAATCCACTGGCAACTACGTAGACTTCTACTCGGCCTCTAGGCCGTACAGCGAACTGAACTACGAGACCAGCCACTACCCGGCCTCGCCTGACTCCTGGGTCTAGTTAGACTATGACGATGGGGGGTGAGGGAGAGTCTGTGTGTGCGTGTGTGAAAGGGATTATTTTTTGCAAGTGATCAACAGCAGATTAACACAAGGTGACAGGAAATGGCATGATGAATCCAGAACTTGTAACCAGAAATCAAAAACAAGGGGGACAACAGGTGTAGATGGTGTTTAGAAGGAGAGTCAGGTCAGGTGACAAAGAGAGACTGTGCATGTGCATGCCAACATTTTCCTTTTTTCCCAGACAGCTTTATTTCCTCAAAGTCAGCTCCATTGCACCGATGAGAGGTTAGGGTGGGAGTAGATATGAGGAAGAGTGTTTGAAAAGGTGATAGAGGAGTGGGCAGGGGAATACAGATAGAGAGGAAACAGGCAGGTGGAGAGAGATGGGATCAAGAAGTAATTGGGGAGCGGATGAGGGTGAGCTCTTACTCTGAAGGAGCAGGAGGTGGCCTGACCTTTTGTTGAAGACAAAGAGCAAGAGACAAGGATGGCGTGAGGGTTCTTGAGGAGGTCAGGAGGAATAAAAGCACAGATAAAGATGAAAGCACACGAGGCGCAAAGCAAGAAGTGGATGTTTACCATTTCACCTGAGTGACAAACGTAGCACTGCTTTCCTCCCTCTGTTTCTTTTTCTTCCTTTTTTTTTTGTTGCGATGGCCTTGCTGCCCACAGAGGCGTCTTAATTTGTTTTTAAGGAATGTCATCTTCAGAAGACTTTTTTTTCATCATTCTCGACACCTTGACATCTTTTTTTATTTGTACTTTTCTAAATTTTCACTGAAAAAAAAAAAGCATTTTTATTTTCTGTGTACAGTTTAAAGGTGATATAGTGTGTATATTACACATGTTTTTGATGGGGCCACTTATCAAACTTGTTTTTTTTCCCAATGACGTACAACTGACTAAACCAACAAAGAGCAACAACGATGAATCAAAAATGCGAACAAAGACACAGAAAAGACTGACATTGTCTGGATGGATGTCAGTGGACACCTTTGTTTTGACCTTTTCCAACCAGAGAGGAAACCCTGCAGTGTTTGTGTTTTTCTCTCCATCTGTGAATTTTGTTGTGGACACACTTAAACGTCAAGAGCAGCTCAAGGCTGCCACAGCGACAGATTGGAGGAGCAGCATCGCTCCGAGTCCTCGTCAACAAAGTGCTTTTTCACTGCCGAAAGAATTTATGTGTATGTTTAAAGCACACTCTCTGTCATTGGAAAGGGATGGGTTTTTTTTCCTATTTCAGGAGCTGATATGTTTGACCATGTCAACTTTTAAGTGTTTTTTTCATCCTCACTTGTGCATAGAAACTGGTCCATCCGACGAGAGCCGCTGCGAGTATCGTACATCACAGTGTACATTTGAAAAGGAACAACAAGAGACATGACATTGTGCCAAACTTTGACACCTCATGGGCCAGTCCTGTAGGACTTTAAAGGGACATTCTGTCGAAGTTTACAGACAATGACTTGATGACTCCCTCTGCTGTTTGTAACTTTTATTTTCTTGTGTTTTAATCAGGTGAAGCCGTACTTATTGCTGGGGATCATGGGTAACATCTCCCTCCCATAGATGTACAGACCTGCCTCTCTGTGTTGGCTGAGTGTATGCGTGAGTGCGTGAGCGGTGGGACACAAGCGTGTGTGTGCGTTTGTGTACGTGTGCATGTATGTGACAGAATGTGTGGCCCGTGTGTGTACACGTAAACCTGAGCGAGCGTATCTATGCATGCATGTGTGTAGTAGTGTGCGTATGCCTCTGTTGCGTGTATGTGCGTGTGCGTTCCTGTATAAATCAGTGTCCAATCAAGGCATTCCTACCGACAGTTTGTCCAGTTTTACAACATGAGCAACCAAGGTAAAAATCACTAGAATGAAATGTTGATATAGAATGACAAATCTATGAATATATGAATATAAATATAAATATATATATAATTTTTATGTGCAGATGTCAGTGTCACTAATTGCAACAAATGTTCGCAGAGAAAAAAAGATTATGTGATGTACAAAAGGACTCTTGTTCACTTGACCTAAACGTGGAAGCTGCTGATCAGGCCCCCCTCCCCTCCCAATCGAAACAAAAGAGAAATCCCACCTGAAGATGCTCAGGCTCTGGTGCGAGTTGTGTGTAATTGTGTGTCCATGCTTCTTAGATGACCCTGCTGAGAGAGGACCGTACTTGAACACAAGGAAAAATAAAAAGACTCTTTGCAATCAAACGATCTGGTCTCTACTATTGTTGATCATTAACGCAGACAGAGTTTTAAAAGTCCGGCATATGTTTCTATTCATGTCGACTGCACAGAGTGTTCTTTTAAGGAAGGATCTGTCATGGTGTTAGGCCCATCAGACACACTTTTATGTCGCTTAGATTAGCTCTCATGCTAATGCAACAGTTTGATTATGGTGTCTGGACTCTTTTGCTTTAAGACTTAAACTTCAAAACATAGTTTGGATGAAAAAAAAAGGGTATTACATAACGGCTGTTCAAATTTCCTATTATAAAGGAATACAAGAGATGCTAAAATAGAACAACTACATTGGGAAGAAGTGAATACTAATATGGAAGTTGTCAGTTTGGCATCTGTTGTGTCTGCCTGAGTAAAACAGGACAAAAAAATTAAAACTTGGATTTAATGGAGATTTTACCTTGTATGTCGCATCTGTTCGCCTATAGGTATACAATCAAAATAGATATGAACAAGCATCACTGCTTTTAAAGGACATCATATAAACCGTGTGCACATTTATCTGGACATTTACTGGGACTTTGGAGCACACACCATGTTACTGAGGCTGTGACTGATCTTGCATCAAGAAAAATATAAAAAAGCAGTATTAAAAAGAAGATTGCTGACAAGCGCTACATTTCTACAACCGTGCAGGATGCTGCAATGGATCATGGGAAATGCAGTTTAACATCTGCAAAAATCAATACCAATTTTGTCCAAAGGGGTCACCAGAATCAACTCATCACAAAAGCTCTGCACATTGCCTTTAAGTCATCATCTCAGTGTTAGATCTAAAAATGTTGTTGTTCACATGCTGCTATTAATACCTGAATGAAGGGGGTGAAAGGGGGCGTTGTCAGGGAGATGATGGGTAATATAAAACCCTTGTTGGATATGCCTGACATCCCTTTATTCTTCAGTGACATTGTATGTCAACCGGAGTGTATCTGTGCGTTTCTCAAGGGAAACAAATTGTAGGTTTAAGCTGCCATAGGCCGATTGTAATCATGTATGCACTGTACTTTAGAGTACATGCTTTAAATTACATAGCACTGCATTCATCTTCGTACATGAATACCTGCATAAGGCAGTACAATGAGACCTCTTTGACCCTGAGACACGTCGCGGTGTGAACAGTGTCAATACATTTAGACAGCTTTGACACAGACCATTAAGCACTGGTGTAGCCGACAGCCGGCACTGTTAACATCTCGATAAAATCATCTGTTTGAACAAACACAGTATTTGCTCGGGACTTGACTGACAGGCGTGTAGAGATGCTGTATGATAATGCTATGGGTATCAATCCCATTCATACTTTGTCAGTTAATGACCCCTTTCAGATGCTGCTGAGTTATTGCGCTTACATGATGTAGCATTGATAGGCATGTTTGAGCATGACAAGAGGGGCTTAGTGTTTGACTGTGATGTTGCCCCGCAGTGACAGCACTGAGATGTGGTGTTATTAATGATAATAATAGAGACTTGTAAAGCCAGTGCGAGGGCTCCTACACCAACCTGCCTGTACTTGAGCTTAAATGACGACGGGCCAATATCAAAGAGGAAGTAATGGAAATACCATTACTTCAGTTTCCATTGTTTTGCCCCCTTTTTTCATGCTGCCTCATGCGACTTTGATCCCATTTATCCGGATATCCATTTGAGATTGAACTGTAGCATATTAAGTGAATGATGCTGAGATGGAGCTGGCAGGGTTTGTCATAACCCATTGGAATTCATGTCTCCCCCTCCTCTCCCTCTCTTCCTCTCCTTTGATCCCGTCTAGGTTAGGCCTGTGAAATGTACTTGGGTAATAACTCCATTGCGTTGATTATTAGCCTTTACAATAGAGGCAAGCCTCCTCTGTTTGAGCACAGTCACATAGTGGAGGGCTGCAGTAACTTAATGTGGCATGAAAATGGCTCCTCAATTTTCCTACGCACTGCCTTGCTAGAAACTGCCCTGTTCCACCCTGGAGATGCCTCCGGCCTTCACTGTTTCACTCCCCCTCTTCCTGATTTCTCTCTCACAGCATCTCTGCCCATTGAGCCATCACACACCTAGGACAAAGTTGTGTGTATGTGCGTACACATGTTTGCGCGCGCAGGTGCGTGTCAGCAGAGATTCAGGCAGGATGTGAAAGGGAAGGAAGAGGAGGCACAAAGTGAGATGTAAGGGGAAAAAGGAGGCGGCGCAGAGGCAGTGGGGAGCAGGTGGAGGGTCTGTGATTTATACTCGGAGGATTTGAGCGTGAAATCAATTTGTGTTTAAGGAGAAGTGAGGCTCCACGTAGCCACTGTGTGCCACAGATAGACCTTGAGAAATTAATGCTCTCATCTGAAAGGGAAGGAAAGGGAAGGGTGGAGCCTGAAGGAGAAGGAAGGTGAAAAGAAGGGAAGATGGAAAGGCAGGAAAGAAGGGTAGAAGAGATGAAATGGGAAAGGTCATGGAGACTTTTAAATAAATGGGAAAGTTTCAGACGTAATGGAGTGGTGTACAGTATGAGTGTGAAAGGCAATAGCAGTCCAAGGTCTTAAACTGTGTCATGGGCAAACTGTAAAACATTAAGTAGGTTTTAGATTTTTAAAAAATGAATAATATTCGAAAAATGCCTCACATAAAACCTTGTGTCAGTAAAAGCTCTGAAAATGTGTATTTCTTGTAAACCAAGAGGAGTCTCTACAACAGCTGGAAGCTGGAAGTAGGGCCCAGTTCAGGGACTTAGGTGCTCACACATTCAAACTTTGACCATCTTTGCATTTTCACATACCCAATGCACCATCTGTTTATTGCAAGTTCAAATACATTTGCTACTCACTAAGTGAAAGTTTATTTATTTTCCTGTATTACACATGCTAAACCCCTTAAACCCACAATAATAAGGTTTACATGCCACATAAGTGCTGCAGAAACAAGCTGTGAACACAACAACGACTGTACATGATGGACAGAACTACATCCATCCCATGTGAAGCTAAAACTTTTAGAGCTCCCCCTGCTGACTGGCATCAGTATAGGGATAAAAACACTCCATGGAAACTAGAAAATTAAAATGCCCAATCGAAGAAAACGTCACTGATGTGAGCGCTTGTATTGACAGGATACGGGTTCGAATAAAATATTGACGTCCAAAACAATCGCACGACAAAAACTGTCCCGGTGTGAAAGGACCTTAAGAATAAGAAGAACTTTATTAATCCCCACAGGGAAATTCAGTTGTCTGTTGTCTCACATAATATGTCTCTAAAAGTTATCTACTATTTACACAAGAGTTATAAAGCCTGATGGTTGTTGGTACAAAAGATCTTCTAAATCTTTCTGTCCTGCAGTGAAGAGAGAGGAGCCGTCCACCACCATTGGCCCTTTGGTCCATCAAGGTGTTGTGAAGTGGGTGATCCATGTTCTTGAGAATAGTCTCCACCTTCCTCAGTGTAGATCTCTCCACCACATACGCCACTGAGTCCTACCACAGAGCCAGCCTTTTTCACCAGTTTGTTAAGATGTCTTGCGTCTTTGTGTTTGATACTTCCTCCCCAGCAGACTGCAGCGTGGAACAGAACACTGTAGACACCACAGACTGATAAAACATCTGCAGATGTCTATTGATCGGAGTCTTCTCAGGCAAAAGAGGCGGCTCTGCTCCCTACTGTAGATGAAGTCTATATTCTTAGACCAGTCCAACTTATTATCCAGATGTACACCAAGGTATTTATATGATGTCACCACTTCGATGTCCACTCCACAGGTGTTCACTGGCTGAAGAGTGGGTTTGGATCTACAGAAGTCTATGACCATCTCCTTTGTCTTTGAGGTGTTGAAGTGCGTTGAAGTGCTCACTTTTTGTAGAAATTTATAAGATTTTTGTAGGACTTTATCAGATTTAACGAAACATAATCATGCTTATTTGCAGATAAAGAAGTATTCGAAGTGTTCCTGCCTGGTGATCTTTATCGCCTCTCAAGGAAAGCTAAATCCCCCATCATGATCATTAGCTGACTAAATGTTTGCTTACAAAGTCATTTAGAGCGTTAACTCTGAAAACTGTTGTCTTCTTTGATGGAGAACAATCTGAAATAGTCCTGAAAATGTCCCCAAACTAAAACAGTGGATCCTGGGAAACCAAACAGTGTGATAAAAATGCCAATTAAAACCAGACACAGTCGGGAGGATATGCTGAGATCTGTAAAAAACTGTGGGTAAATTCACAACCACGCTGCTTTGAGTTCTTTGATCTGTTGTTATGAAATATTTATCATGTGTGCTTTGACCGAAGCGGTTTGATATGCAATATGTGCGCACAAAAATTGTGGTTTTCATAAAAGGTATTATAATTTGACTAAACATGTGTGAAAGTGTGAAAACTTGCCATCCAGCCGCCTTTAAAGTTAGAAAAATCACTGCATGTTTTAGGTTTAAGGTTTTTGCAGTAGTTTGTCAGCATCGTAGGCAACCGGCATTTTTATAAATATCCCAGATTTAGTATTAGCTCCATTTACTTGTCAGTTCTTTTTCACAGGAGTGTTATCTTGGTTAATTTACACCTGCAAAAAGTGACAGATGTGTCAATTTAATTCTTACCAACAGTTATTTCGAAAGGCTGAACAGTGCTGATTAAAAGAGCTGAAGATGGACACAGACTATAAGAAGTGATGGAAAATCTTTGTTAAAAGCTCAGCAGGAGTTATAACTCTATCCTGAACACAACAGCACTGTAAAAATACAGCAGGCAGAAAGATGAGACACTATTACGTTCATTAACCGTTCACCAAATCTGCATCACCAATGCCTGATGAGGTGGTATACCTCGTCTTTGGAATCCACAGGAACTGAAAAGCCTGAAGAAGTTTGTTTGAATTTCGTTTTTTCTGTGTTTGATGTTGAAAATATTTGTTGAAATGTTTTCAAGGGGATAAAATATTTGATTCTTACTGCAGGAAAGCTGCCCTCTCTGTTAGTTTTTGACTTCTCTGAGTGCTTTGGTGAAACTGTGGATGTGTTTCCTGCCTGAACCTGACCTCGGCCTCCTTTCAGAGGAGAAAGGGAGCAAACTGGACCCTGAGCGACATGAGTTTCAACACACACACAAAAAAATATTGGTTATGTTATTCAGTCAGTTGGCCAATTACTTTTGGAACATGAAATCAAGTCCAAATTGGTGGACTGATCAAAACACAAAATATTACCATTTCAAGAACTAGCTTGGCTAATAATTAGACTACGTTAAAACCTGACTTCCATCGCCTGAAAAAGTTTAAACCTGCAGCTATTCCTGGATTACTTCAATCTGTCCACAGAAAGTCACAAAAAGTTTTTCTTCCTCATTACGACTGCAGTCTCTGTATTCAATCCAGTGTGCAGAAAAACAGCGCAGGCAGGCGATGTTTGATCACGCAGAACAGGATTCATCAATAACACCCGGACCATTCAGAGACGAGTGAGTGTTTTCACTCAGACTTCATGGTGTGTCCATCAAAAGCTGAGTTGTCTCAGGTGGATGCAGACTGGCCGGAAAGCTGCCCTCACAGTAAGTTTTGACTTTACTGAGCGCTGTCAGGCAGCTACGGATGTGTTTCCTACCTGAGCCTGACCTCAGACTCCTTTTAGAGGAGAAATAGAGCAAAGGGAGTAAACCTATGGTGACCGAAAAAGCATCTCATTATTGGTAATCAATCTGCCTCCTCTCTCTTTCCTGTTTTCACTTTTCACTTCAGTTCCCCTGGGCTATGATTGACATGGACACATGGGTCGTAAGTTCAAGTGTACGCTCATATGGATGGTTCTTTCCCACATGCACACACACACACACACACACACAACATAAGGTGCCCTGTCAGGTATTGAATAGTAAATGCTGCAGAGCAGAAGCCGTAGTTATTCATGTGTGATGGTGCTGCTGCAGAGGACCCAGCTGGCTCCAAAGAGCTACGTCAGTGTGTGTGAGTGTGTATGTGTGTGTGAGAGAGGGTGAAAGGGAGAAATGAGGAACATGTATGTGTCAGAGGCATGATTGCATGTGTGTAAGAGGCAGAGTGTGTGTGTATGCGTGTGTGTGTGTTCACCTGTCAGTTTGAGAAAATTCACTCACCTGTGACGTCCTCATTCTGTCTCTCTGTAAGCCGTCACTGAGAGTGCTCCTCTCAAAGGCCCTGGCTACACACACACACACACACACACACACACAAACACACACATGCATACTCAGTCATATCAGCCATAGGCAGGTGTTGAGATCACTGACTTCTGAAGAGGATTTCACCTCTGGCGGTTTGAATGTGTGCCATGTATTTTCACCCTGAGTAATGAATGCTCTGCCTCTCTCTCTCTCTCTCTCTCTCTCTCTCTCAGTCCTTCATGTGTGGAAAAAAAAACAAAGAACAGAGAGAAGTGTGAAGATAGAGTGACAGAAGGAGGAAAAATGTGCAGGGCGTGGAGCTCTGTATTTGTCTTTTTCTTCGGAGTCATGCAGTTTCTATTAGTGACTCTTCATTTTTTTTTTTCTGGGACGATGCGGGCCAGGCTTTGCTGGAGTGACAGTGACGATGAATCCTGCAGGACACAACTCCCACATATACAGCTGGGGACACTTCTGTCATGTAGTACAGCTGCATTCTTCCATCTAGTGGCCACATATGCAAACACTCACTCTTATTCATGTATGCATGCAGCAAAACTGGTGAATACAAACATGCAGAATACTTGTTTTCTTTGAGTAATTAGCTTTGCCAACTTGATGGCTCGGACAAGTGATTTATTTTAGGGCAATCTTTCACATCATGTCACCAACTTTAAAAAAAAAGATATTAACATGTAGTTTGGAGCACAGCCTCGCCTGCAGTAACCTATTGACAACCCAGGATGTGCTTAAAGGAACATTGAGGAAATGAACACCATCAGCATAAAGAGTTTAAATGAGACTATCTAAACAGCTTTTCAAAGTCGAATAAAAGCTTATTATTTCAAAGTGATGTTTTCAGCTTGATTTCCACCGAGGATGAGAGCCCCAAAAACATGTCACAGAGGAAAGCCAGTGTCACCTAAAGGTGGTAAACTTTGAATTTGCATGCATTTATAAGGTATGGAGGGTCTAACAAGCTAAGCTAATGCCTTCAGTAAGTCGAAGCCTGCAGGTGGACGCTGGGGTGGTGGTTGGACTGAAAGTTTAATCCCAGCACTTGAATGAGAGAGGTTATCAAGACACTCTGAAAAACAGCTGTGCATTTAGAAGTGGATGTAACACTGGAGGATCAGACCACCTCTACTAACAAGTAAGTAAAGCTACAAAACAATATAAAATGCAGTTTTAAATTCTAACATTTACCAGTTTACTTGGCTGTATCATGTTAAATTCTGCTTTTTTTTCTTCTATTGTATAATATGTAACATAAAATGTGTTTTTCGATGTAGTTTGGTGTAACAAAGAGTCTTAGAGACAATCCAGGTCCATAGAGACCTGCGCAGCACTGCCAAGATGAGAATAAGGCTTGCCGCTGGGGTTTAATGTCAATATAAATTTAGTAGTTATAGGAACTGTGATGGTGTTATTCTCTGCAGCCCTCCCTTTGTGCCAGGAACACACCCCTCGGCTACTGTTGTCAGTATGAATGATCTTAATCAACTTGTCTTGTTAAATAAGAAGGAACAAAGTCCCAACATTTAATTAACAGCATCCTGACCTGCGAGTGAACTCCTGGCCTTTTGATTGGCTGTCCCTCTGGGACAATGATGCCCTAGCAACACATTCTCATACTTAGAGTGTAAATCTGAAGGTGGACTAACTCTCCTCTGGAAAAGCCATTTGATCTTATTGCCATTTGGGGGGTTTATATAAGGAAAAACAGGTTTTGGGAATAATCTGACTGCTTCTTTAACATTTAACATTTGTCCTCTTGTGTGATGAATCCACTATGCGGTGAATATGTGTGTGAGCAACTGAGTGTTTGTGTGTATGTATGCGGTAAAAATGACTTTGTCTAATGCTCTAAGTGAAAAACGCAGCTGCCACTTCAAACAGCAATTATGCTATTACAGAGATGACAATTGGTTTGCACACAAAACTTTGACCACATACACTTAAACACAAACACTGTAAACACATGACAACATATGTAAATGTATGCACACCCATCTGACTCACTACTACATAGATAGATAGATAGATAGATAGATAGATAGATAGATAGATAGATAGATAGATAGATAGATAGATAGATAGATAGATAGATAGATAGATAGATAGATAGAGTATCACATAGCTAAAATTCTCATTTGAACTTGTACTCTTGAGAATGTGTAAACAGCTGCTTCACCACCAAACACACACACACAATACCTTATATATAGATACTTATGAGCCATTTATACTGTACTGTCTGTGTAAACAGTATAAGTCCTCGACCTTCCAGTGGAGACGGTGACAGATTGAAACTAGGATTCAGTTCTTCTTTCTTTCTTTCTTCCCAGTCACCTATAACACCTTCAGGCTTTTCCTGCATTTCTCAACTCTGCCCAAGGACACTGTCATGTCAGCCAATTAATGAACCACTCTGGACTTCTAGTGCCAAAACAGAAAGTGGGTGGTCACCGAGGTCAGCAAACACATACACATACACACATCCAGAGCTGTTTTCCTTCCCTGTCTGCTGGATTGTCTCTTCTGCTGTTTATTGTTCATCTCAGTGCAGCCTCCTCTCTGGCTGCTCAGACATGGTGATGTGCTTATAGGTGAGCTCAGGGAGCTGGCTGCTTTATCAGAAGCATCCTTGTTTTTATACAAATGCTTCACTGTTAAAGGCTGTGTGGGTGTTGAGCTACAAGGCACTTAAAATGCTGTCTTTCAACTTTCCTAATAACCGCTCTTATTTAGAGAATTAATGTCTTGGACGGCAACAATTTTCACTCACTTAATTACCATTAACAGAATATCGAAGTCAAACATTAGTTAATGAGCATAATTAAATCTTTGAAATTGTCATTCTTTGTCACAAACCACTTAACTTCCTGAAACAGGCGACAGCTTCATGAAATCACACAAATCATTACTCTGTTGTAGGCTATATGGGAGTTAGTTATTGCCCAGGCAGGTCCTCAAAATATGTTTTCTGATTTAAAAAAAAAACAAGAGACAAATTAGAGAAGTGTCAATTAAAGACCATTAATTGCATTAACTACATTTTTTAGTAGGCTGAATAAAAAGGAAAGAAACTAATCATAACAAACTTTGAAAATAATAAAATCATTATAAAACTCATCAATTTAGTTTTTTCAAAAGAAAAGCTTACTTTCTGACACAGGTCCTGGTTTTAAATATAACTGTATGCCGTTATATTTGATTTGCTAAAGTAGTATGATAAAAATGTCCTTGTATAGTATGATAAAAAAAATTCACATTTTAGTATGAAAAAAAAAGTCCTAGTATAGTATGTTAAAAAATATCATAGTATAGTACGATAATAATGTCATGGTATAGTATGATAAAAATGTCATAGTGTACTATGATAAAAATTTCACATTTTAGTATGAAAAAACCGTCATAGTATAGTATGTTTAAAAAAAAATCACATTTTAGTATGAAAAAAAAAAGTCTAAAAAAATCATAGTATGTTATGATTAAAAGATCCTGGGTCCAAATCCCAGTCATGTATAAGATGATAAAAAAAATCATAATGGAAGATGATTAAAAATGTCAAAACTTAGTATCAAACAAAGTCACTGTATAGCATATAAAAAATGTCATAGTATAGAATGTTTTAAAGTGTCATAGTATAGTATAATATAAATAGTACACACTAATTATATTGTTTTGTTGTTAATTTTTATGATTGATATATTACACATATTTTAAAAAACGACTATAAACACTACACAACAAACGTATAAAGCGATGACACAAAATAAAAAAAGGCTTAATAATCATAGAAAGACACAGAAAGACAACAAAAACAAAATTTAAATATAAAATGAAATAAAATAAATGTGTTACGTTTAATCGCGGAAAGTACCTTTATTTTCACAGGATTTACGTCTCTCTAGTTTGTTCCAGGGCTGCTCTTCGCTACGTCATGACGCTCCCCGCGTTCTTCACCCCCTGACGCTTCCGCCTAACGTCATGACGCATCGTTTCCAAACAATACTCAGGAAAAAGCCACGTTGACGACCCAGATTGAAGTGTTGTCCACGATTTGAAGCAGATTCGGAGCTGCGATTTGTTTGAGAGCTGCTCCTGTTCATTCACGCAGCAGACTCCAGAGCAGTGTAGACATGTCGTCGCCGCCGAAGGAGAAAATGGAAACCAAAGGAGGACATCCCCCCGCAGGTAAAGCGCATTTATGCTTCTGTGTTGTTGTTTTTTAAGCTTAGGCCTTTTGTTTCTGCACTGTCCAAGTCCAGAAATCACATGATGGTGGGTGAGTCTTATGTAATCCCTACACTTGCAGATTGACAGTGTGTCTCAGCAGTCATGGTGCATATAATGTAATCTGCCACGTTTTCTTCAATTTCGCACATTTCCTAACTTCCTGCTTTGTGACAGACCTTGCAACACAATTTGATCTGGCTACACTGCAGCACTACAAGGGGATCAATATAGTCTAATATAAAGATTCAGGTTACAATAGTGCATTTTCTGCTGGTTAGATGACGTGGAAGTCATGGGCTTTGGTCTAGTGGACTGTAAAAAAAAAAGGGGGAGAAATGATAAGGTGTACGTGGACCTGAGCTGTGTGGTAGGGCACTGGGCCTCTGCAGCTGCACTGATAGCACACAAAGATAACAAGTGCCCCTTACACCCAACCTGTGATTAGTGGGAGGCACTACAGCATGTCTGTCTTGTACAAACATGTCAGTGTCAATGTCATGTTAGAGCTGGATGCCTCACAACTGAGGTCAAAGGTCAGGGTCGACAGACAAATGGTTTTCCTGCTGCTGTGGAGCATTCAGGGTTTTGTTGAAGCACACTTAAGCATGGAAATTTATGTAGTTTTTACGGTGGCCGAGAGCCGCCCCTGCTGCAAATAAAAAAGAATGCAAAAAAAAGTCACAACAGAAGTTACTGATGCAAAAAAAAAAAAAGAAAATAAAGCCTGCTGCAAATAAAAAAAGAAACGGTGCAGATAATTATTTTATTTAAAAAGCCACAATGGAAGTTAATGACACTAAAAAAGATGGATGCAAATGAAAAAAGGCACAACGGAAGTGAGCTGCCAGGGACCAATAATGATGATTCACCGGTGTTTAGGCAATGAAGACGACAGTGAGCAGACAAGCAAAGAAGTTAGTGGAAAGGTTAGTGTTGCAAATAAATAAAAAAAAAAGCCACAACCGAAGTTAATGACACAAAAAAAGTGGTGATAGAAAAAAAAAGTTACCGAAGACAGTGGTGAGCGACCAGGCAAAAAAGTAAGTGTAAAGGTTATTGTCTAATTTCTCTCTTTTTTTTTTTTTTTTTTTTTTATTGCATTGCCACATTTTTTTGCGTCATTAACTTCCGTTGTGGCTTTTTTTTTTATTTATTTATTTTATCCGTAATTCCTCTTTTTTTATTTGCAGCAGACTTCGGTTTCTTTTTTTTTTCATCAGTAACTTCCATTGTGCCTTTTTTTTTTTTTTTTTTTGCATTCTTTTTTATTTGCAGCAGTGGCGGTTCTCGGCCACCATAAGTTTTAACTAATAACCCCTAAACATGGTGCTTCAACAGCTAATCGTATATGCTCCTGAAATAATCAGCGAGCACATGTGTGTTTTCCTTTGTCTTGGTGTTTTGCAGTAAAAGCAGGAGGGATGAGGATAGTGCAGAAGCACCAATCGGCTGCTACTCCTGAACCACCACCACCACCAAAAGATGACGATGAAGAGGAATACGTCAGCAGCAGGTACCTCGCCCACACAGTCACAGAGGGAGCACAAACTGGGCCTACTTTGTACATGTGATGTCCAAAGGCTAAAAAGGGGGAGGTTCTTGGACAAGAGTCTCTGATTGTTTTATTCTTTATTTCTTGATATTAAGTTAACCAAGAGATTGCAAAACTAAGTTTAAAACAGTTACAGACTGGTGTGAATGACCACAAGAACTTCAAAGCAACAAACTATGAGTGCAAAGAAATTCAGAGTGACAGCATATCCATGTACGATCAGTGCACGCTTCTTTACACTCTAGTAAGCTCTGGTATGCAGCACAGCTACTCCTTAGTATACTTGGATTTCACCAGTGTACTGAGACTGCTTACCAGTTGCAAGTACTCTTACCCTGTCCTCTACATATCACAGTTTAAATTAACACCTAGAAAAGGTTCCCTGTGCCAAGCTATGACATGTTCACGTCTTTTTGTGGCTATTACATGACGCTCACATCTCATGTCCTTACCCACACCCATTTTTAGCCTGGTGGAAAATTGGATAGGAGCACGCCATGCAGAGATGCAGAGGTTTTTCCGTTTGTCTGGCACACCGAGAAAGTTTTTCAACTGAGTGTACAGCATTTTGTGAAAATCGGCATAATCTTCCATTTTCTTCAAACTTTTTTGGGCTTTTGTTGTTGAGATTAGAAATTGATCCTTCGACCTGTGCAATGAGGGTATAACCTCCTCACCTGCCTCAACTGCAAGGCATTATCTGTTAGTATCTTTTATTAACTGTGAAAAGTGTCTAAGCAAATGAGGTGAGTACTGACACTCCCCCTTTTTTTCACTCAAACCATTATGTGAAAAAGTTACTTAAAGCTCCTGTGAGGAGTTTTTTGACATTCATGGAATCAGACGAAATTTATATTGATGCCTTTTTATGGCATACAAAAGCGAAAAAGAACATCAGCAATAGCGAAGATGGTTTTTATGCTGTAATTTTTAAATACCTGAAACTAGTGTGAGAGGGTAGGTGTCAGCTGAGCCAAACAGCTGTTTCTACATTTTCCCCATTTGACATCTAAGAAAAATTTTAAAAAACCACATGTTTGAGAACAAAAATAGTTTATTAGATGACACTGCTTAAGCATTCAGGGAACAAATAAGCAAAGACTCATTGATATTAATCAAATGTTCCCCACAGGAGCTTTAATAAAGTAATCACAATAAAAAAAAAAAACATTTAAAAAATGTGGCAAAAATGTGAAATAGCCAAGACAGAAAAAAGACTTTTCTGCTTTTTGTGTATTTTTAAGTCAAAGTTGCTATGTGTACAGCATGCTGCTTGTATCAGTTAACATGTCATTAACTATACATCTATATTAATCCTGTAGTCTGGCAAGCCTCTCAGAATTTCAAAATTCTACAAAATTGTGAATTTTAATTTGGAACTTTCTTATTATGATTATATAGGGAGTGTAAAGAGTATGATTGCATGTTGTTTTGGACACAGCCAGAGTCTTGTTAGAGAAAGTAGGAGACCTTGTCGTGTCCGTGTCCAGGGACCCATTATCTCATTATCCTTCTGAACAAACAAAACAATTCAGTACATGCAGTTGAGAGATAAAACTACTACAGCGCCGTGCAACTTATTTGTAAGTGGACAATTACACTCATGCACACACATGTTATTTGCAAATTGTCAGCTAAACTGCTGGCATGTTTTGCAACAGGCATGTTGTGTACTACTACAGCAAGCTAATTGGATAAGCAGCATAATTGCTGCATAATTACAACATTACCTCAAACAGTCCATTCAGCAACCATTATTTTAGTGGTTTTGTTCACACGTTTTGCATCAGATTGACTCTCCGAGGAAACGATGATTGTTCAGTTTCATACTCGCATGTTTGCTCTAATGTGCTGTTTGCACATTATGAGGTCTTCTGCGATGGACGTGGTGCTTATTTTCAGAGTAATGGTGTGCGCATGTGTCTGCCTCTGCACCCACATATGTCTAGTCAATATTCATGAGGACCCGTCAGCCATGTGCATATCAGTACAGGTGGCATATTCACACCACATATCAGTTTGTGTGTGTGTGACTGTGTGCTAATGAGAGATGAAAAATGAGAGCTGACAAGCCGTGCATAGCAGCGAGCAGGGTTCAAGAACATCGCCAGCCATCAAGAAATTTAGTACGCTTGTATTTATACATGCAACCTCGAACACTCGCTGAATTAAATATTACATGTTCTTCAGTGACTCTTCTTGTTGTTGAAGTCTTTTCCTGTAATTCAAAGCAAGAATAGCATCAAGCCCATCAGTGCTGATAAGTCATTTTGTTTTTCCCTGCTCCCCTTTGTGCCGAGATGAGTGGTAATAATAGCATTAAAGTGAAAAGTGAGGCCAAGTTGATAGCAGAGGTATAAAAAGAAACATGCAAGCTTGGCTTACATCTGAAGGCTGAAGGCCTGCCCGAAAAAGAAAGAGTATTCTGTTGATATTAAAGTGTCTCCAGTTTCACTTCTGTTGGACGTTGATCAGGGTGTGACCTGCCTGTTGTGAATGAACTTCCTTATTTAGTTTTGCAGTGCTGTAAGATATTTAATCTTTTTAAGGCATAACTGAGGAAGTAACTGGTGCTGCTACTTGGGACAATTTCTCAACTGTGGGAATAAGGCTGTTAACACTGAAATTAATACTACTTTTTATTTATAACCTTTAAAAGTAAATAGGAACCAAACAAGGCATTAGATGGGACATCGTCAAAACAGTGTCAAAAGTTTTACTTAACACAAATAAAATCAGGATTAGTTAAAAAAAAGAAGACAAACCTTATTAACCCCTAAAGGAAAATTTATTTATTTTAATCACATAAATGGGGACTAAACCTGCACATGCACGAAACAGGATCCTTTAAATGTGCACTGAGAGATACTGTCAGACAAAGAGGGTTGCACACAAGCAAATGCCCAAACAGTTGGTGGTTTGGTTTCTTACACTTTTAAAATGACCAATAATTAAACTTGCACGCCTACAGCGACCAGTTTGAATTTGAGCCAAATTTTGGCCTGTACCAGGACCTGACTCTCAGGTTTCTTAAGCCAAGTCCCTACAAACTGAGATACTGACATCAAATGCTGCACAGGACAAAGACATGAGGGCCACACTTAGTCCATACTCAAACACACTCCTACGGTTGTGTGTTTGTAAGGGGCGACAAACATGTCACAGAGGTGATTTGAGGTCACTGTGAACCGGTGGAGCAAGCAGGGCGTAACAGCCCGGTGTGTGCTCGTTTGTGTTTTTGTGACGCTCGAGCTGTTGTGTTTGCATTCTGTGCCTCTTGCGCTTCAACTTTGCTAAAACAAACTGTAAAAATCACAGACTGAAAAAAAACTATGTGACTTCGCCGCAGGGTAAGTGTTGCAATCGCAGAAAGGCCGGCTAAATTTGTTACCTTTCGAATTCAAAGTAGGGTTTTGTGTGATGAAATATCTGTAAATATTTCTCGTGCGTAAACTGGCTCAGTGAGGCCACAAAAGCTTGAGAAGTTGCTCACATCACCCCTTTCCCCGATACTTCCTTTTTAAAACTTGAAGTCAAAGCAGAGACTGGAGGGAGTTATTCAACAAATGAGGCATTTTTATCACAGAGGGGAACCGTTGAAAATCAGCCTTACCTGCTTTGTCATGAAATGTTTACCTTAACGGAAATGTACCCGTCTGAGCATTCAAAAAGAGCCGCTTAGTAGCTGCCCTCCATCTGTAAAACAGTCCGTGAAAGTCTCTCACTCACACACATACACTCTGTCTGTCCCTGTCTGTGTCATGCTGACGGACGTCTAGCAGGTGGCCACTGGGTAAATTTCGCATTAGTAGCAGCCAGTGAAGCGGTGTAGTCAGGGGAACACCTGCCGTACCCAATCTAGCCGAGATGGACAGATGGGGCAAAGAGAGAGATAGGTGGCCTGGATTATGGAGAGGAGGAGGAGGAGGAGGGGGAGAAGATTATGGTATGGAGAGCCTGAGATGCCATGCTGATGTAGAAGATAGGAAAAATGAGGTTTGACTCGGTGAGAGAAGGAGGAGACGAGCAGGTAGGGGTGAGATAGAAACAAGAAAGGGAGGCATAAGCCAGAGCAAACTGGTGACCCAGCAGAGGCTTCCTGCCCACTTACTGTCAGCAGAATATTTTTCAAACCAGGAATAAATCTTATATTTTTTTCCCTTCTGTGTAAAAATGTGATGTCAGCAGCCGGTGTCGGAAAAGACGGAGAGAAGGCGATGTAGCGACACAACTTAAAAAGACACATGGGAATTAGTATGTTGATTCTTGTTAGTGTGCTTTATGTACTGCCAACACATCTTTTGGATGGCACTGCCAGCATAATGTGCGTACGCTTCATGATTATAGGCTTCATGTCAGCTGCACTGTCACGTCTCCTCCATGTTTTCGGTGAGAGGTGGATCTGTTTCACAGCCCCGGAAAAAAAAAAAGCGGGTGGTGCTGCGCGCGTACGCTCGACTTCATCCCTTTTTGTTGCGCGCGCACACGGTATGTAGGAACTGTTGCGAAATGTGCAGTAAGCTGACAGCTCTTGGTAAAAAGTTGAGAAGAGAGGGAGAGGAAAAGAGGAGGAGGTGGAGGAGGAGGAGGAGAGATGGGCAACAGGCATCAGTTCCTATAGCAACCATCACCTCGCCTACGGCAACAAACTTCCTGCTCTGCTGAAGCAAAGATAGATGGGTGGGGTGTTGTTGGTCGTGGTGGTGAGGTGTGGCCGGAGAGCTCAAGCCCAGAAAAAAAACAGAATCAAAAATATGAATACAAAACTCTACATCTGACTTATGAGGAAATCTGTATCTGTTTCTCTATCCCTCTTTTTCTCCCTCAACCGTCTCCTTCCCTACTCTTCTCCTCTTCTCTCGTGGCACAAAGCGTCTCCTCCCCAGGATTCCTCACAGCTTTCTACTGCCCCCTGCAGGCTCCTTCACCCACCTTATCCCACCTCCGTGTTATTTTAGGTTTCCATCTCTCTCTCCGTGACCTTCTCTTGGTATCTCCTTCCATCTTCCCATACCGATAAATAGATGAAAGGTGTCAGTTGCATAATCTTGCAACAAAAGCTTTTGTTCGCGATCCAGATGAAGATATCACGGCCTGCAGTCGAGTGTGATTAAGAGGTCTCAGACAGAGGGACTTGTGTCTGTTAGCGAAGCGTGGCTAAAACCTGTCATTCAGTCGACAAAAGATGACAGATATTTTTATCTGCATGGCAGGTGAAAAGGCGAAAGTTTCTGTTATCTCTCTGACTAAAAAGAGAAGTTTTTCCTCTGTTTGAAGGAGTCGGATGCTTGTTAGCTGTCTCCCTGACAAGGTAACAGCCCTCACTTCTACCTGTCTGCACAGTCATGTCTTATCCATCTGTCTTCTGTCTCTGTGCCCTTTATATCCAATCCGAGCAACAGCAGGCGAAATTTGATGCTTACATGCCTCAAATGCAATGCTGACTTTTCTCTTCTTCTTTCCAATATTTCTGGAGTTTTCTTCAGATGACACAAAAGAGGAATGTGACAAGCCAGTATGAGGTGAACAGCAGCCCACACTGTGTCAGGATGAAAGTGGATATCCAACAGAGCATTGTTTATTCGCCTCATCCCCGCTACCTTAGCTGCTGCTAAAAAATTGAACATATGTGCTGCATGCATGCTGTCAAAACTTGATGTTTAGACTTGAAAGAAATGATTGAAAAAGGAGTAAACCTGTTAGCTTATCATTCTAGCTCACCGTTTTCTGCCTCACCGTGTGAGTTTAATGATAGCTGATACTTCTTCAGTGCAGCATGGCAGCCAGCCAGATGTGTTTAAGATTAAAGTTCAGCCGACAGGTGCTCGCACACTAGCTGACATGATGAAACTCTTGTTAGCATTTGTCACAGCTGAGGGGTTTTTTTTTGTTTGTTTTCTTCATCTGGTGCCAGCCAAACGCACACTGAGATAACCCTGTTTTTTCATTATTTCTGCTTTTAAGACGAATGTTAGTGGAAAGTTCGCAAATCGAAATGGGAAACACTCGCTGGGCTGTTAATATGCAATATTTTGGTTAATTGACTTGCTAATGGAGAGTTTCTCAGCCTCATATTTTGACATATGGCAGGTGAGGACTAATCAAAGCAGCTCAATATATCCAGGCATCAGTTTAAAAACAGGTGTAAATATTCTCATTAGGATAGGAGGCGGGGGGCTCTTAAGCACCAAGATGTTGACTGCAGAGGCAGATGTGGTGAGAATACAGAACTGCTGACTGATCAAAATCAAAAGTTGTGGACGGATCATAAAATATTCAAAAGACACAAACAGATGTTTCCAATATTATGTTTCTGACTAGGGCCCAAACGATATGGATACCGATTATTAGAGGGGGAAAAAATCTGATTACCGATTAAAATTACCGGCTAAAAAAATATATCATATACTGTAGATATCTATAGTATACTATCTACTGTAGGCTATTGCTTTTCACGCTGACAGGAAGACTGACTGATCAAACTCGGACAAGAAAAGCGTTTTCAACCTCGCCGCCGCTGATCGGTGCCTCCGCGTCTTAACTCACGTTACATATTTCTGGTCCGGTCTCATCTGGAGACATGCAGCTGCCTCGGAAAGAGAAGTAGCTCGATCACGTAATGTGTACTGTTGTTTATTCTACCGTTACTGGCACGCCTAACAGTGTAGCAAGGCTAATAGCAGATGGCTAATTCTAACTTTAGCTTGCATGTTACATGGTGCTTCACTGTTAACTCTGCGTGACCGAGACCAGCACAGCGGGGAACATCGTGAAGTGGGTTGAACTGAAACTAGTTGACTTATTGTATATTTAACAAGCTGGTTTATTTACCGTTGAGGTGGACCACTCTCCTCCGTGCGTCCCTGAGCTAACTGCTTCAGATCCGTCACTCTGCTGTGCTGTGAGGTAGTTAGCGGATGAAGATTGTCATGAGGTCGCTGCGCCATCTACGGGATAAGTTGAGGAACTTTTTAAATGGCGGAACATTTTAGAAGTGAAACCGAATCTTATTCTCCCCATTTTATTTCTGAAAATATCGGCAAAAATCTGCAAGTTTCGGACGATTACAAATAGTCTCAAATGGGCTAATATTGGCCGATTTTATCAGCTTGACGATAATCGGTCGGGCCCTATTTCTGACTGCTGATACTAATGCACATAGTTTTCCCATTATAAACAAGGATTTTAGTGTTAAACTGTTGGTGCTGAGGAATAGCTCAAAGGGTGGCAGCCACGTGAAAGTGAAGTGGTGGTTTTTTTGATCAAATATGCGTTTAGACACCCAAAAAATAAAACAAAAATTCTTGTTGTTTTGGCTCCTCGAGGAGTAGGGAAACCAAAAAGCAAACAAAAAAACTGTATGATTTGACCCTGTGTGTAGAGACGCATCCAATACTCTAAATTTAGGGCTCAGGTGGCCGTGCTTAGCCTGGAGCATGTGGAAAGGCACACCCTTCCTAATAAGTTGAGGATAAGTTAAACAAGCGTACTGCGGTGGCTAATGTCTTTGAGTTGAGTTTTGAAGGTGGTTACCACAACTGTACGCTTTTGCCGCGGGTGACGATGCCGTAAATTTAGACGGCGCTCGTTTGTCATGTCAAGGTCGATACTTCCCTCAGGTTCCGCATTCCTCCTCCTCATCTTTTTCTCTGCCTCCATCCTTTCTCCTCTCTCTGTGTCTGAGTGAGCGCTGGCCTCCCTCTCCCCTTCTCTCTCCCTCTATGTTCAGTCTATTATTATATAGGTATTTTGCGCCTGTCCGCCTTGCTCTTTCGCCTCCTTTCGCCTCTCTTCCTCCTCCTCCTGACCTGCCTTTCCCCTCCTCGTACCCTTTCATCCTTACACTCTCTTACTCTCTCCATTTCTCCTCCTTTCCAAATCCTATTCTTTATCATCATCCTCCTCTTTAGCTCTCTTTTCCTCTCCAAGCTTCATCTTTCTCCCTCCCTGCCTACCTCTCTCCTCTCATGCTTTCCATCCAGAAGCTGTGAGCCCCAGTGTTTGGCCAGGATGAATGGGAGCTATTTAAGCTGCTGGCAGGTCCATCCGGTTTGTGTGTATGTGTGTGTGAGAGAAAAAGAGAGAGAGAGAGAGAAGGACTGTGGGTGTTTTGTGTTTTAACAACTTGGGATGTTCGAAATTGGCTCGATTTCGCTTTTGGAGGTTCTGAAGTAACCAGATAAATAAACGTTTGTAAATGGTGCCATGCTAAGTGCAGCAAACTGCACCCTCAACCTGCGAACTACATGATTTATTTACACACAACCCCCCTCATAACAGCACGGGACTCACACACTGCTTGCCGAGTTGTATATTATTCTGAAAATAATTCTTCGTTTTCTGTGCTTTCTCTTTTTGTCCTCTCTAGTCCACCAAAGGTCCCCGTGGTTGTGTCTGGAGTGGTAACAAAGGTAAGGCGCACACAAACACATTCAGATGCACACATATAAGCAGACCGCCAGGAGTGTTGGAATAAATGGTATATGATGATTTATATCTGGGACATGAGCTCTACAGGGAGAGGTAGAAGCTTGGTGGTGAGATAGAACTAGAAAGAAGAGGGAATAACAGGGGCAGACAAAGCCCAGCAGTGAGTCTGTGGAGTGCCAAACAGGAGGAGAGCTAACTTTTATGTAAGGGATAATGACAGGCACTGAGCAGGGTGTTATCTACTCTTTACTTAGGGATTCAAATTCACATAACCACCCACTCACTATACATCAATCTCCCGGTTACCAGCTAAAGTTAGCACAAAACGTTGATTATCCAGATAAGAAAAAGAGCCCCTCTGATTCGTTTGAAGGTAATGATACCATGGCAACAGATTTTCTTCCTCCTCCTTACAGGGACATTTAACTGAACTTTTCAAATCACCGTTAATGGCAGTGTGAAGATTTTTTCACTTGCTGAGAAACAGACTGAAGCTGATACCTGATGGCTCTCCAGGACCTTCAGAAGCAAAAAACCATCAGCAGCAGAGCTGATCATTTTTCTGAAAGCTTGAAATGGAAATTTTTTTCACACTGAAAGGTTTCACTGTGAAAGGACAACAGCAGGATTTTCTTGTCTCAAAATGCAGCTTTTCATATGTACCAGGCATTCGACAGGTATCATTTTGGCCACAGGGGGCGCCAGGACCAACACAAACAAAAAGTTCCTCATAGCAGTTTTAAATTAAAGATTAACCTGCTAATTTGCCATCAATTACATTAAACTGAACTTTCCATTAAAAGTAACCAGACAGGTCGAGACTCCTGTCCTGTCTCTCTATTGGACAGGATGTTGCTCCTCCTTTTTTCTGCTGTTTGATTTAACATAACATATAGCAGAATTGAATAATTAATACAGTGGGCAAATAGATATCAATATCTTTGCTTTACACATCAGAGGTTCAAACATTGAGCATATGAAGTGGTCTATCTTGGATCAAGAAAAGAAAAGTTTTTCATGTTTGAGGTTTTATTTTTTGGAATAACTTTTCATCACTGCAGCCCACATTTAAGTTACAAAGGTGAGCATGTATACAAGTATAGAATAAAAACTTTAAGTTTCACATTAGTGGCAGGGCAATTTATTGTTAAAATGTTCTATGACATAGGATTTTGTTTGTTTGTTTGTGTAACAGCCTTGACCTGCCTCTTTGAAAAGTGGGTCAAAGCCTGCGACGAGCCATATTTGTGATATTCTCTTTGACCGTACGCCATTGATTCAGTGTGAGAGAGTACAGATGTGTGTTTGTGTGGGAAAAAGTGTCCTTGAGTCTGTGGATGGCTCCGTTCCCTGCCTGTCAGAGCAGGTAGATTGTTTGTGGAAGATTGCAGTGATATCAGCAAGGTGGCAGACATCCCATTTATCCCCCGATCCTCCTCTAGCCTTTCCATTCGCCCCCTATCTGCTGCCATCACACCCAGAGGCTAGCACTGCACAAAGCTGTAGAAAAGCCTTTTAGAAGCTGAGTGAAACACTTCACTGTGTGTGTGTGTCTGTTTGTGGAGTTGGTGACCTGCTGGGATTTTTTTTTAATGTAAAAAATAAGACCTTTCCTGGCATCGTATTTTGATATCTGGCCTCTTTTCTCGCCACAATGACTTTCTCAAGTGATTGTCTTGTAAAAACTATTTGACCCAAGTTACTCAAGTTGGCCTTCTAAATCCAGGTGGCTGAAGAAAAACTCTGAAGTAAAAGATGAAGTTATTTTAGGTTACACAAATATGCAAAGTTTTGTAACGTGCGAAACTTTTAAAGGGATAGTTTGGTGTTTTTTGGTTTGGTCGCTTAAGTGTATTACCCTCAGTCAGCTTACCCCTTTTGTTGGGAAACCATCAGGAGCACTGGCACAGAGGCTGGGCTGCAGATGGAGCCAACCTTTCTATATGATTAGCATATTTTAAATTAGTTCAAGACATTTAATAGTGATGACAGTATGAATTAACATTTAATGTGGACAATTATCTTTAGGTTTGTTGTTGAAAAGCATAATTTTTTTTGCACTATTACAGGCACAGCATATACTGTATGTTAATCCGAGTGTACTGAGTCAACTTGTCTTATACCAAGTACACAGTATACTGTGAATTTGGATACTGATGCATCTCATTTTGATATAATACTCAGGAGAGTGAGACCAATGGGCAGATTGATGGTATTTTGACATAATCGTTTTTGTATACCATGGGTTGTGTCATCATGCAGTTAAAAAAGAGGGGCAAAAACTCACCTTGAAGACTTGCATCCACTTGTGATTTCAGTTTTTATGAATAAGCTCCTGAAAATAAAAATAAAAAAGCGGGTTAAACCGCGGCATCCAGTGAGGCAGGCATGGTGCGTGATGCAGACTGCAGCTGCGTGTTAGCTGCTTGTATCCTTTGAATCAAAAAGCCCATGAAAAGGTGTTGTTAACAATTCCCACTGACACAGTTTGCAGGCATGGGATCACAGTTTACACACCTGCACCACCAGATTACCTGAAATCTCTCAGCACAGGAATTTCTCCTTCTTCTCATTCGGCCTGTGAAGTCTTGTTCTGTATCTGCAAAAAAGGCATGTTGGTCATTCATGAATTGAAGTCTCTCGATTTGTGTCTGAAAAAAGTGCTAAAATATGCTACACTTTCATTAATGGTTGGGTCATACTTTCCTTAAAACTGGCTTAAATCATATTGTAGAGTTGACCCATTTGCAGCAGTTAAGAGTTTAGCTCCTGTGTTGGCTCATCATTGATTCAGGCAGACCATCACAAAGGATGAAAAGAAACCAAAAATCTAACGTTTCTTTTCATCTTTATTAAAATATTACGTAACGGTGAAAAACATTCAGCATGTTAGTGTCTTGAAACAGACTCGAACAACGCATATTTTTCAGCTACCTATGCACCCTCAGAAGTTTTTCAAGGAAAATGAGTCATATGGTGAAAAGAGAATAAATTACATTTACTTCTCTGAATGGGGAAAAGTGAGAGCTGGAAACATGTCTTGCCAATCACAGTGACTTCTTTTCGCACAGTGGCGCTGTTAATACAGTTAATTTGTTGCTTTCCAGCTCATACCTCTGCTTCAATAGGACAGCGATAGAGGAGACAGAAGCTCCGAGCTTCACAAGAGAGAAGAAGGCCAATTGGAGGTCAAATCCATCCACATCCCAGGCTGCTAGCTGGGGAATTGGCTTTAAATGAAAGGAACACACACACACAGATTTACACACTTATACACACTGTAGCTGTTTGGTCCCACCTACACACATGCAAGGAAATTGAGTGTGCGTACAGTATAAATCAACACACATACAGTACACGGAGGATTCGGGTCAAGCAAGGATGGAGTGGGCGAGTGGGTTCAGCAGATTGTTCAGATTGTGTGTGCATGTGGGCATGTTTGTTTGTGTTTTGTGTTGTTGTGATTTAATTAGTCATAAAACTAAGTCAACAGAATCATTCTTAGGTCAGAGGAAATGTAGGAACGGTGTATTTTCTTGTTTTGTTTTTGATGGGGTGCTAACATCCACACACAGACAAAAGGAGAGGAAGCATGTTAAAACACAGCATTTAAGGTTAAAATAGAAACCTTTTCATATTCATCCACTTAAGCATGCATACATTCATGTAATCTGTGTTAAACGCCTCATTTTCATGAATGTGCTGTAAGCAGTGGGTTTCCCAGCTGCCACGAAAGGAGCACAGACTGGTGAATGTAAAAGAGGAAGGAGGGAAAAGATGCAAATAAAGCAAATAAGGAAGGCTTTTATATGTCGCATTGTTTATGGGTCTTTGAATTTAGATAAGAGATTGAGCTTGTGGAGCAGAAAAGAACTGAGATGAGCCCTCTTTACTTCATTTGAGTCGTGCACTTTGGGGATTTAGTCGCCGTAATTATGATTATCAGAGTGGAAGGGTTTAAAAATGGGCTGTGAAGTAGGCGTAATGTTTATGTTTACCAACACAAACATGAACCACAAAATTATCAATATTACTGAATGTGACAACTGTCCAACTGAAACCTTTCCACTCTCTTGCACCAACTGTGTTTGAACACTTTTATCTCGTCTGTAGTGGCTCACTGTGATTGCTGGTAACAACAAAGAAGGCCCTGATTTTTTTAGTGATTTCTTTTCAATTGAATTTAATTGACTTGTTTTTTTTTTTTGTCTTCAGGGTGATAAAGACTTCACCCCTGCAGCTGCCCAGGTGGCCCACCAGAAGCCGCAGCCTGGTGTCCCAAAGCTGCCCTCAGTCCAGCATATCAACCACCAAATCCACCAGCCCCGCAAGTGAGCCGCTCTGCACGCTCCAAGGGCTCCGCTAACTCCACCAGCCAGCCTTTTCCAACCAGAACACAGAAGATGAAGAGTTTTCCCCACCAGGCTCAGGTCTCGGCCTTGTAATCAGAGTAGTTTTTGTTCGATTGTTGCATTACATATACAAGGAATTTATCTCATATCGCGTAATCCCAATGCCTGTACAGCCATTGCAGAGGACCCGCTGTTTACACCCATGCTGCATTGCTGCACTATCAGTTCTGCACTTTTAACCCCCTCCTTATGAGGGACTGTTTTGACAGCTCTTAGTCTTAAATTGGTATGAGTATGTCCTCTGAAATGGCGGTCACTGTAGGATTAAACAATTAAAAAACAATCTCAGATTAGGGTCTGTGGGACGGAGGCGGGGAGGGGGGACTCTCATCCCATCAGTGTGCTGATCAACCGCACTTCACAGCAACCAGCCAATCACAATAACCTGTAATCAGTCAGACCAACCAATCACCTCACAGTGATGAGCCTGAGCTCCAGCCTTCTACCTATGATCTTCATAGACCAAAAGAACCAATCAAGAAATCATACTGGGGGAGGGGGCGCACCAATATGACACGATTGACACAAACCAAAAATAGATGCAGAAAGCAGCTTAAAAACAAAACAAGATTTTTATATGTGTGCCACTGGGACTGTCGCCTCAGTGCACAGCCATAACATGGACCAGAGACCTAAAGCTTCTAATTGTATTACAGCTTTAAATAATTAGTAGGTCTGTAGTGATTGGCCCACTTCCAGTTCCAATTGTAAGAATCCCTAGACAAGTAATCTGACGTTTTCATTATCAAGGAAGAGAAGAGAACCAACGAGACGCTCTTGACAGCTAGTTATAGTTAAAGTGATAGTTAATATAACTTCTAGACATTAGCAGAACATCTCCATTCTTCTCTGCGTTCTCACCTGCTTTATCGGTGCTGAAATCACGTCGCTCCTTCAAAAGCTATGTTAGCTAACTATAACGCAAGCTTATCATGCTTTACGGTGAAAGTCTCCGAGCAGTGCCTCATTGCTTCACATTCAAGATGTGTTTTTTTTTTGCCTCATTTCACTCAGGTGGACGTACTTTGTCTTTCTGTTTCACCGTACAGTCAGCTGTAAAGAAACCAAAGCCAATAATGCAATGAAACCCTGCCGGCTGTATAGCAGCTGCAGGATGCGCTGTGTGTTTGTGTCAACAATAGCTTGAACGGCAGAACAGAGTAATGTACTTTACAACAAAGCGTTGCAGGGAAGCGGTTCAGAAAATAGTGAGGCTTTCAGCTGTCAGATAAAGGTAATCGCTGTGCTAAAATGGTGATTTCAACATTCCTTAGATAAAAAAAAAAACAACAACGTTTGAACAAATATGTCAGCGGTTCGACAGTGTACAAAGCAAACGCAATCTGTTTATTTCTGCTTGTAGGACTATCTGTAAAAGCCTGTTAAAGCCCCCAGAATCCACTTAGAAAACTTCCTTCAAAATAATACATATCAACGAACACAAACACACACACACCACCCTTATCCTTAATCACCCGACCCCTTACACTTAAGTGTCATTCTTTGCAACACTAATGTTCAGGTTTGAAAGAAAAAAACAAAGAAATTTATCTTACCAAGAAGGAAACATTTCCTACGTTAATTTAAGTTTCAAAGAGTTATATTTTTGTTGTTCTTGGTTCGTATTCTTGAGTAAATTGTTCAAATTGTATAAATCTTGAGTCATTGAGTGGACTTAGGTATTAGGTGTGGTTGTCATAGTAAATAAAGATATAAACAATATTGATAAGTGTGTTCAGCTTGTCTTTATTTGAATGAAAGGAAGGATGGATGGCGATACATGTAGTCGTGTGTCACTCATTTGTAGCTTCTGTCATGGAAAAAAGCAAAATTCAACTCTGCACTAAAGAAGGTAAAAGATGTTCCCCAATATTTTGTGAAGCCCACAGACAGCACTCCCACTTGATGGACTGTGACCGTGACCTAACCTGGAGTATTTGAGCATCCCACGGTGAATTAGCACCCTGCACTGAGGGATTAGGGCTCAGGTGTTGTTTTGAAATGAAACAGAAGCAACTCCAAGGGCTGTCTGCTGCTTTTTTTTTTCCACTCTCCTTCCCCCAGTAGCTCCTACACAAACACACACGCACACTCCCGCACACTGTGTGCACCAGGTGTTGCCGCATGTAATCCATCTTTACACAAGCATCTGCAACCAGGTGTTCTGTCAGTTTATGTTAGCCCAATAAAGCAGGCAGTGCAGGCTCACTCTGTGCGAGCCTCTGTCAGCAGGCTGGAACACCCCATTAAAGCAGACACCAAGTCCTCGACTCTGCATGCTTGTATATAGTTCTCCCAGCCACTGCCATGCTCTATTAGACTGACTGGAAGAACAGGATGCTAAAAATATATATCATAGTGGCCAGCTTGAAACTTCTGGTTGTTGACAAAAATATCTGTATTCCTAGACTAATAATTGTGCCAGGGACAACAAACATGTCTTACTTATCCAGCTGATGAATATTGTCAGGGTCTGACAAACTGTGGAAACAGCGGTTCAATATGATTAGCATACAGGCTTAGCCAAGCTGCCTGTCAAGGTATTGATCCTGAATACAATGAACAAGGCGCACCTCTCTACAAAGATATTTGGGTAAAAGTTTTAAAAAGTCCTGCTCCGAGTAGAAACGTATCCGTCCATATCGGTGTGATCCTGGAAGCTAAGTTTGATATTTTTCCTTCGAACCATAAAAACTGCCAAGGTTACGGTTTTATTGCACTCTCCCCCCCTCAGCACTAAGTCCTTCTCATTTGGAGGCACTTTATTTCATTAGCCCAGAGTATACACCACCAGCTGTTGGCCATGCGGACCCCAGGAAAATTCAATCTGGCTGCAGCCAGTTCAGACCGGTCATTTCTGAGTCAACAAGCAACAGTGGGATGAAGAAGGTGTGTCACCGAATTACTCAACAGTGGGACCTCTTTGGGTGTTCTCATGGTCAGGCTGATAAGACTGACAAAGTCACTCTGACATTTTCAGTCAAGGGGGTAAACACCTAAAGCAGCACATTGGCACGACAGTAAATAAATCTAAAGGATGTTTATTTCAGTCACTGTTGAAATGTGTCAGAAAAAGTATAAAGCAGCCCTTTTTTTTACTAAGTTTGGCATTCCCAAACTCCGGGGAGAAGGTTTGTTTTTTAAATTTTATGTAACAGAGCTGCTCTCTGCCAAGTTTTCCTTACTTCTTATCAGTGAGGGCACCACCACTTAAAGTTCAATTTCAGTTCACACACTGTCGATAAATCTGATCCTAATTTAATTGTGAGACATTTTCATTCATTCATGCAAGAGGGGCCTCCATTACAATATCATCTCAAAGAATTAAAATCCATTTGACATCATTGTTAGATTAGGTTGTGATATATGATCTAACATTAATGTAAAAATGAAACACTATTGTATTATTTCATTCAATGATCATTTCCTAAGGATTAGAACATAAAGCACATTATCCTCTATAATGCCACTTAGATGTACTCAGTTTAATACACTGGGATCCTTAAGTTTTATACCAAAACTGACCACCAGAGGGCTCTGACAGAGGACCCCCTCTTCAATTTCACATGTTTGACAGACGCGCCCTCTCAGTGCTGATCCAGAATAGAGTCATCGTGTTTGAATCCGGGTCTGCAGCACCACAGCATGACACAACAGCGTTACACTATAAGTGCATAGGGCTCTGTTGTTTGGCCTTTTCTGAACTTTTGTGAGGGATTTGGGTCAGGGTGGGGGAGGCAGAATTGCTGACCAAGCCTGTAGAGCTTTATAATCTCAGGTTGCAATCTAAGCCAGCAGCTGTGTGAGCTACAGGCATGACCTAAATATTATCGGATGCATTCACGGCTTAATGATTTTGTCTGTGCCCCATATACACATGCAAAACTCACTCGTACAGTTTATTTCCTGACACTGAGTGAGCTGGGACAGATAGACAAAACACAGCATAAAGATAACAGATCACTTGATTCGAATCGGGTGAGTCAAAAATGTAAGCATGTGATGTTTCTACATGTTTTCAACTGCAAAACAAAAGTGCAAGAGGAAAAACACGAGGAGCAGAGAACTCCAAGTTTTGATTAATGGTCAGAAAACCCCCTCAAGTCTAACGGATATGAAACATCTCCGTATGTTAATGTCGAATATGCAAATGCTGCAACCAGTATGCAGAGTTCAGTAAACGGGTAAGAGTGCTCATCTTTTGTCATGTCCAAATGACTTCCTCTGGGCGGTGTCTAAGCAGATTGCCAGTCTGAAGCCAATGAAGTTTATTTGAAGAAACGATTTGGCTGCACAGTGGCCTTGTAACCCCTTAGCAACTCATCACCATGTATATTAGACACACACTCTTGGATGGCACTTAAGCTGCAATCGCCACGAGGAGTTAGGAGCGTGAAATTGTGCTCTGAAAAATCCTGACATTGTTCTATCACTGCTCCCCCCGTGGCTCTGTGTGTTTAAACTCAAGGCTATTTTTCCCCCATTATTTTCACTGCTCTAATGTTAAAGCGGGGAGCTGACCTTCTGTTCGACAGTAGCTCGGCTGTTTTTATCAGAAATGCCATATGCTGGGGATTATCTCCTCGATTCTGTTTATACTCTGAGATTGACTCAGACTAACCTCAGCTCCTTTAACTCACATCCCCACTGTAGCACTCCTTTTTTTGCTGCTCACTGAGTCACACACCCCCAGTGCTGGGATGTTTTATGAAACCAGCGAAGACTCATTTTCTAATTAACTTTCCAGCACAACACAGTCAAGGCGTTCGACAAAATTACAGCAATACATCATCAATATTTCACAAACAGCCCCAGTCACTGTTAGCAGAAGTGTTTAATTCATCCACATCATCCATACTCTGCACACAACAATGCACACATTTAGTCTCAGTCAATGCTTGTTAGAGTCTCGCTGCTATAGCCAGTGTTATTTGGTTTTTGAGATGTAAACATTTTGGAAAAGTTGAAACTTTCTTACTCCGGGTAAGATTTAAGAACGGATGATAAGACTAGAAAACATAGCAGTACATGAAAAAAGTTCATATCAGATAAAAAATAAAATTTAAAAGCATTACCTAATACAAAATATGTTTGCTCAGTACATTCATGGATGTATCATAACAAAGCAAAATAAAAAAGCGTCCCATAAAATTGCTGTCAAATCCCGTTTAATTTCGACTAAGTTTATGTTGAGCTATCAAAGTCAGTAAAACACGCACAGAAGTATTCCCCACTGAATATTTTAAAGATATTATTTTATAACATCCTTAAAAATGTCCCTGTTTTTCGGCAGAAAGATAAACATTTGTCTGATGTGGTAACAGTCTAAAAGAATCTGTGTTAAAATGAGAACAGTCCAACACACTACAAAAACACTGCTGACCCAAACCGTAACAAAATATACTTTACCATCCCATCAAAAAAGCAATAAATATGAAAAAATAAGTTAGCTACAAACATTTCAAGTATCAAATCCTCCTGGGCATCGGCCTCTGTAAAGGACACTAAGCATTGTGCACTGGTGTTGCTGTCACTGCTCTGGCAGCCACTTTTAAAGACCATCCAGTATTCCCCTCGCAAACGGAGCTGGCCCAAACAGCTTTCAGTCTCCTGATCTTTATTTGAAACACTGCTGGTAAAAGCTTGGCTCCTCATGAGCACAAAATGTGGGAGAAAACATTGAAGCATTAAAGTCTTCCAAACTCCCAGATTTTGTCTTCTTTTGGTTGGGATACACGACATCTGCTTTGGCAGTGATATTATTTCCTTTTCCCTGCGGCAAGGTGTCTCTTAGTTATGGCCTCCAGCCTCCTCCTCTCCGCCTCCTCTGCTTTCTTCCTCTCTTCTTTCAGCTCCTTGTAGCGCCACTTTGGGATCTGCAGCAGGTGCCCAGCTCCATCTTTGCAGCTGCTCTTCCTCCGGATCTTTTCAGGCTCATAAGTAGGTGTGGGCGCCTTGGACACCCTCACTTTCGGGATGCTGAACCCCGGTCTGACGCTGCTCCTCCTCAGCATCATGTTTAAAGGCAGCAGGCTGGTCCTCCTTAAGTCCAGGGCTTCATTATAAACCACCATGCCGAGGCTTGAGCTCCTGTGTCGGGGGACCAGGCTCTGAACCTGAAGGCTGGCCCGCCGGTCTACTGAGTTTTTGGCCACCAGAGTGACTCGGGAGTTCTGGAATAGTTTGAGGTGGCTGTCTGCCCTGTTAGGGTTGGTGGAGCGGAGCTCTTTGGCGCGCTGCTGGCGGATGATCTCAGGTACTGAGTAGCTCCGTTTGCCCACACTAGGGGGACTGTCAGGACACACCTGAAACAAAATCAACAGTGTCTGATCGATATCACTGGTGAAAACATCAGCAGTGTGATAATCGTATCCCTGAGACTGTAGGTCATGATGAAATTCTTCTGTTCCACTGACAAAAAGCAGCTCAAATTTGTTTGCAATATTGCCGTTCTCATAATCTTACATGAATTACCTGCTTATCAGATAAGAGCTGCATTAATTACATCCGTTAAACTATTTCCCACAAATCCGATGAATAAACAGAGAATTTTCCACTTGATAAAAGATAAATCAGGGCCAGATTATAGCGTTATTAGGAAAGTATAATTAACTGATTTGCACAGTAATGTGAACATCCGTCAAACAGCAATGATCCTGTTATTGATAAAATACAAGTATGTGCAATGCATACACATACACTATATTGGCTCTACACCAAGATAGTATTGAGTCTGTGGACGCTGCAACAGGAGGAGCAATCATCAACAAGAGATCATAGACTTACGGTATGGCATGCCACGGCAATAAAGGGGCTCCTCATGGCGGTCGTTACTGAAACCATGTGGTCGATGACGCCTTCATCCTCCGGGTTGGTGATATTGGCAATGCTGAATACGTTCCGCACAGTGTCTGAAAGGCGCTTCAGACAGCCACGAGGCTCCTGGGCTTTGGCCACGAGTGATGCCAGCGGGGGCCACTCTAGACTGAGAGGTGGAAATACGGTATAAATCAACCGAGAGCTGCACAGGATTACCAAAAAGGTCTTAAAGCTCACGGTCTGTGTTATGACTCCTGGAGGACGTGCATTCAAAGTATGAATGAAAATGAATACATCATGGTGACGATACTCGAATACAAGTCAGGATTGTTCACCTTAAAAACCTGCCTGCTGTCCATAGTAACAACATAAAACTGCAGTGATAGAAACATGCCTTTTCTCTCAGAATCACTGAGATACAAGATTACCTGTATGAATCACAATACTGTCGGGGGCTAGGCCGCTCCATAAGGCGTGTCATAACCCAGGCGGTTTCATATCTGCCCGTAAATAAAGCCCACTCCCTGGCGGTGAAATGGCGGCCAAAGTCCCTGGAATCCAAGGCAGCCCCTGGAAAAAAGAGGGTTTGGACACAAAAAGGAAGAAGTTTGATAAAAGATCATTTACATAGATTTTTTAGACTTCACAGAGTGTGTCAAAATTTACTTGGTCATTTCTCATTTTTTATAATCAGAATTAATATACAAAATTAATACCAGTGTATGTTCTGTTATTTGTTCGGACTCTTTTAGTGATTTACTGAACTTCCATGGCGGCACAAACTGGTAAAATTAACATCTTTTGTGCTTTTAATCAGCAAAATTCTGCCTTAAAATATCATTTTTAACATACTTCCAGATGTTTAGTAGGTCTTTCATCAATGTGAAGTTCATGTATATGAGATGTAATCATATATACACCCCTCACCTGCCATCACGATCGAGCGCACACATTCTACCCGGCCCTGCATGGAAGCTTTCATCAGAGCCGTGAAGCCGTGACAGTTTCTCTTCTCGATGTCCAACCCGGGGTAGTAGTTGAGGAGATAGTTGGTGATTGTTATGTGGCCTTGAAGAACAGAGAGACAGAGAGTCGTAACTCCTGCTGCCACACTGGGCTGATTAAGAGTCGCTAAGTGCTCAATCACGCTTGTCCTTCTTGTTTTGGACAGTTACATCCCCGTCTATGCAGCTGGTCCTTGTTCACATTCACACAACACACTCATCACTTCTCCTTTGAACAGAACAGCAAGTGCAGACATTTCTTTTTTATGCTCGCCTGTGTGTGTTCATCTCTGTCAGCAAAAGTGCCAGACTGCCTGTGTGTGTGTTTATATCAAGGGCTGATACACACTTGTGTTCATCTGTGAGTGTGTTACCTGCTTGAGCAGCAGTGATGAGAGCTGTGTTCCCTTCACTGTCCTGCCAGTTGACGTCCAGATACTGACATTGGGACAGGGCTATAACGACGTCCACAAAGCCTTGATAACACGCCACCAACAGTCCTGTCTGAGGAAAAAACGGACAGAAAAAGGAAGAAGTCGGATAAGTGAAAAGATGATGGAGAGAAAGGGGGGCTCGGGTTTAGAGTCAGCAAAAAATAATTGCCAAAGGAGATGAGGCAAAAGTGCGGTAAAGTGCTGACATATAGGAAGTAAGATGAAGAAAAATGTGATCACAGCAGGGTCAGGATGACTCCACGAGACCCCGGGGATCTTTGTGTATCTTTCAAAACTAATATCTCTGAATAAATGTGACATCTGTTGTCTTTTCATTGAGAAGGGAACCTTCTTGAACTCTGCGAAAAAATAAGCTGTCTCTCCGTCTGATGTTGTTGTGTGCTCTTCTCTGATGTTTTTGTGTACCGCCGTGTGTATGTGTTTGTGCATGCTGGCAGGTGTGCGCCAGTGCCAGAACAAGAACCCTTTTATGTGTGTGGAAGTATGTGCGAACCTTAGTCTGTGTGAGTCCTGGAAAACTCCAGTAAAAGTTGGGTGCTTTCCGGAAGGTGCGCACTTCATGAGCCAAGACAAACACGCCAACCACCAGAGAGAGGGGAGAGACTTTGGGGCCCAGGAACACAAAGTTCTCAATTGACATATCATATATGTTTATTTATACATGCAAAATCTGTGTTTTTTTAAATAAATAATTCTGCAAAATAGGTCAAAAATGTTGATTTAGTTTTCCTACGGAGTAAAGAACTCATAAATTAGTCCATTTGTGGAGTTTTAATGTTAGATAATTATGATTATTTATTTCTCTAAAAAGACAAAGCTTATATCTATTGTTACATCAAACATTATTATTATTATTATTATTACTATGGTGTTTTCTGTGTATCTCACATTTTCAAACTTGGTTAAGATATTAAAAATCTTTTACCCGTGCCTACCCGAATTACCCAGATTCATTGAAATTTTTTTCTTCTTTTATGCAGAGCACACAACAAAAGGAACTTGTGAGGCCAAAGCTCTTGAAAAACCTCAAAATGCATCCAAAAAAAAAAGAGAAGAAAAACTTAAAACAGCTACAAGGTCTCTCAGTGACTAATGTGGATACTGTATGCACCTGCAGCAGAAACAGTATTTTTTTTCTCTGCTGCAGGTGCTCGCTGACTTATCAAATTAGACCCTGTGCAAGACTTTGAATCTGAAAATCAAAATGTTTTCAATTTGCCTTCATTTGCAACTTTTTAGGCTAGTCTGTATTGCAACTAGCTTTGGCGAAATCAAAGTAGAAGGTGGTAAAAGACTGGTGATGCTCTGCCAAAGCTCTTCATCTCTGTAAGTCCAACTATGCATGACCTTAAAGTACACAGCACTGTACAGTTAGATGGCTGCTGTGAAAAACTATAAAATTGAGGAGAGAGTTAAAAAAGGCAGAGCTAGGCACAATTTCAGATTGATACTCACATTAAAGCTGGATAAAATGTTAATTTGCCATTATAGTAGCTGATACTATGGATAAGTCCTGATTTTTAAATATAAATTGATTTATTAAAATATCAAAAAGGTCATTCTGTCAGTTTCTTCTCTAAAAAAAATTACACATTGAAAGCAGTTTGCCATAAAATAACACAAGTAGAAACCACCACCACACCACTCCAAAACATGTAGAGACTGCACATGCGTTGTCTACATGGCTGAGATCTGTTAACATGCATGATTCACTACAGCAGCACCCCACGTGAGTGCCAGTCGACTTTGCAGCCACCCAAGCGGATCATTAACAAGACTGGTGGCCCACTGAGTGTGTGTCCTTTACTGTCTACACCAGCAGCACTCACGGTAGGTAGAGTGTTGCTTTTGTCACTACTTCTAGATGGATGGATCCAGCTAAAACAGTGCTGTTATTGACTCAACTAACTATCAATATGTTGTCTTGACATGACCATCCATAGCTAATACAAAGGAATAAAAATAGACCTTTTCACACAAATTGTGCACTTATTTTCTATGAATATGATGATGCAAATGCAAAATAAAAATCATTACATGAATTTGACTTTCTAGTGCTGTAAAGTACTAAAAGTTTTCTAGCAAGTTTTCACAATTTGTTCTGCTTTCATATTCCTAGAGCGAGCTTGATCTTGGAAACTGCCTCTGTCCTGACACGATGTTCTTGTCAAAAGTGCACTCATAAAATCTGCTTGATGCTCCGCACCTCTCGGCAGTAGAAGTTTTTAGTTCAGCTTCCTTCAGCACACTGTGTTACCCCCAGTAAATGATTTTTCTAACACTCTGGCTTGAATGTGATCAAACGTTCTGTTTCATCGGGATGAGTAAACATAATAATGACTGAGGATAGGAACAGAGAGGGCCTGAAGGTGTGCAGCAAACTTACAAAGTTTATGCCAACCCACATCAGTCTCCTACCCACGCACTAGACACACACACAAACTTTATATTGGAAAGGTCATGTGTATATCCTCACATACTTTTATCCAAAAAACATCTAAATTCTTTCAGATAACACAAATATATCTGAACTTTTGATTAAGTCTGCAGAAAAGACTCAGCGTTGACAGCACGTTTACAGAGGTAGTTCTTTCACCTGAAAGAAACTGAACTTAAAACTAGCGCCCAGTGAGGCAATGGGTCCAAGTCGTACCGCGCCGCCACCTCTGTGGACAGCCTCCCCAGCAGACTACTGCCCTGTAATACTGCCTGTCTTCCTCCGTGCAATGCTCTCCGTGGCAGCCAGGACAGTTGTGATGGCTGGTGCTTGTGACTGCCTTTCAGTAATGATGCTCATTTATGGTGTAAAAACTTCAAAGTAAAAAGGCCGCCATGGGAACTCTCTTTGACCTACATGTGACTTTTTAAAAGTTTCTTTACTAAGGTCTCTCATTAAGACTGGATGAGGTACAAAAAAAAATGTCAAAATTTTCTAAGTGTTAGGGTTACGGTAGGATATAGGGGTATGAACCACAATCGGCTATCCTCAAAGCAATGAGAAAGACATCTGGGACCAAGACCTAACCTATACTATGACTTTTTTGATACTAAAATGTTCATTTTTATTCATACTATACTACGACATTTTTAACATACTATACTATGACTTTGTTTCATACTAAATTTTTTACAAACTACATGATGAAATGTTTAACTTTTTATGTATGTATGACCTGGGATTTGAACCCAGGACCTTCTGGCTGTAAGGCAACAGTGCTATCCATTAGACCACACAACCACCCTTGCAGATGACAATTTTTAACATACTTAACTATGACTTTTTTGATCGTAAAATGTGAATTTTTAATCATACTATACTAGGACGTTTTTCAACATACAATACTATGACTTTTTTTATCCTAAAATCTGAATTTTTAATCATACTATACTAGGACGTTTTTTAACATACTTAACTATGACTTTTTTGATCGTAAAATGTGAATTTTTTGTCATACTATACTTTAACGTTTTTTAACATTCAATACTATGACTTTTTTGATCCTAAAATCTGAATTTTTTATCATACTATACTAGATCATTTTTTAACATACTATACTATGACTTTTATTTACATACTTGACTACGACTATTTTTTTAAACTATGTGAATTTTTTGTCATACTGTACTATTACATTTTTTAATATACAGTACTATAACATTTTTAACATACTATACTATGACTTTTTTTTAAACATACTTTACTATGACTTTTTTTGATACAGAAAAGTGAATTTTTAATCATACTATACTTTGATGTTTTTTAACATACAATACTATGACTTTTTTGATACAAAAATGTGAATTTTTAATCATACTATACTGTGACATTTTTTTCATACTATACTATGACTTTTCTAAACATACTATACCATGACTTTTTTTTACAAAAATGTGAATGTTTTATCATACTATACTATGAATTTTTTTTAAACAAAAATGTGAATTTTTAATCAAACTATACTCTGACTTTTTTGTGACATACTATACTATGACTAAAATGTTAATTTTTTTAAATATATGATACTAAGACAGATCTATCCATTACACCACACTTCCACCCATGGGGGATAACATTTTTTAATACACTTTCCTCTGACTTTTTTGATACTAAAATGTGAACTTTTTTACATACTCTACCATGACATTTTAATCATACTATACTATGACATTTTTTAACAAACTATACTATGACATATTTTAACATACTATACTATGACTTTTTAAACATACTATACCATGACTTTTTTTGATACAAAAATGTGAATGTTTTATCATACTATACTAAGACATTTTTAACATACTATACTATGCCTTTTTTAACATACAATACCATGACATTTTTTAACATACTATACTATGAATTTTTTTTGATACAAAAATGTGAATTTTTTTAACATACTATACTAAGACATTTTTATCATACTATACTATGACCTTTCTTATGTACTCTACCATGACTTTTTTTAAAATGTGAATTTTTAATGATACTATACTATGACGTTTTTTAACATACTATACTCTGCCTTTTTTTAACATAAAATACTATGACATATTTTAACATACTATACTATGAATTTTTTTTAAACAAAAATGTGAATTTTTAATCATACTATACTCTGACATTTTTTAACATACTATACTATGACTTTTTAAACATACTATGACATGACTTTTTTTGATACAAAAATGTGAATGTTTTAACATACTATACTAAGACATTTTTACCATACTATACTATGACATTTATAACATATGACTGTGACTTTGTTTCATTCTAAATTTTTAAACTTTACAACGAAATTTTTAACTTTTGATGTATAACCTGGGATTTGAACCCAGGACCTTCTGGCTGAAAGGCAACAGCTCTATCCATTACACCACACTTCCACCAATTGGGGATAACATTTTTTAACATACTTTCCTCTGACTTTTTTGATACTAAAATGTTAACTTTTTTATATATTCTACCATGACATTTTAATCATACTATACTATGACATTTTTTAATATAATTTACTATGACTTTTTTTATACTAAAATGTGAATTTTTTAACATACTATACTAAGATATTTTTATCATACTATACTATGACATTTTTAACATACTATACTGACATTTTTTAACATACTTTACTATGACTTTTTTGATACTAAAATGTGAATTTTTAATCATACTATACTATGACGTTTTTTAACATACTATACTATGCCTTTTTTAACATACTATACTCTGACATTTTTTTAAATGAATCAAAAATGTGAATTTTTAGTCAAACTATACTCTGCCTTTTTTTAACATACAATACTATGACATATTTTAACATACTATACTATGACTTTTTTTATACTACAATGTGAATTTTTTAACATACTATACTAAGACATTTTTATCATTCTAAACTATAACATTTCTAACGTACTCTACCATGACTTTTTTTGATACTAAAAAATTTTTAAACTTTACTACAAAGTATTTCACTTCTGAATTATAACCTGGGATTTGAACCCAGGACCTTCTGGCTGAAAGGCAACAACTCTATGCATTTTTAATCACACTTCCACCTGTGGGAAAGCAGATAACATTTTGTAACATACTTTATTATGACTTTTTTTCATACTTAAATATTTACATACTATACGATAACATTTTTATCACACTATACTCTGACTTTTTTTAACATACTATACTATGACTTTTTGAACATACTATACTATGACTTCTTTGATACTAAAATGTGAATTTTTTAACATACTATACTAAGATAAAATTATCATACTATACTATGACATTTTTTAACATACTATACTATGACTTTTTGAACATACTCTACTATGGCTTTTTTGATACTAAAATGTTAATTTTTTTAATATACTATACTAAGATATTTTTATCATACTATAGTATGACATTTTTTAACATACTATAATGACATTTTTTACATACTATACTATGACTTTTTTGATACTAAAATGTGAATTTTTTTTTAACATACTATACTATGACATTTTTATCATACTATACTATGACATTTTTATAGTATGACATTTTTATTATTTTGACTATTCTATGATATTTCATCAAATTTCATGAGCCTGTTGAGGGTGTTTTTCAGTTGAAAAACTTTTACCAATAATAATGAATAAATCCTGCAATTTCAATAGGGCTCTCATCCGTTGCTTGCAGCGTCAGCTCAGGCCCTAACAAGGCAGACTGTCAGCCAGCTGGAGATGTAGTCACGATTGGTGTTGTCAGCTCTGAGAGTTTTAAGGGATAAAGGTGGAGAGAGGTCCTGTGGAGTAATGGGTGGATTGTCTGGAAGAAATTCACACTCACTGGCTCAGCTCCAGATAGCTCTATCTGGTTAGAGACAAGCATGTCGTCTTGTTTATGCCCCCTTTTCTCTCTCTTTCTCTCTCATTCACGCTTTCTTTTCCTCTCTTTCACACACATACACTCAAACACACATGCACACTCTTGGCAACCCTCCAGCCTTGCTGTGATGTACTTGCGCAGCATGCCCTGCAGCATGTCTGGAGCAATCTTGTTCGTCTGACAATGTCCTATTTTCTCTGTGAACCTTCCTCACAAACACACTCAAACATTTAACTCTCTTTTACCTTTTTCTCACAGGCTTTGCTTCTCTAGTCAGCACATTTCCATCACACACACATGCACGCACACACACACACACACACAGACACACACATGCAAACACATTTTCTACATCCTCTGATGCTCTTTATCAGTAGCTGCTGGCAATGTTTGCTAGAGATGAGTCCAAGTGAAATGAAACACACAGCATGCAACCGCAGAGGTACCCATGAATCGGGAAAAGGCAATCATGTGCTACACAATATTATCCACTCAGTGCCTAACTCTGAGGCTAAAGGGATAAAAATAACAACTCTACCAGGTAGCTCAACAACCCTGAAACAATCAAGAGAGGTACTTTAAGGGGTGGGTGAGTGTACATGCTGTGTGCGTGTTTCTCTTTGACAGAGATACAGTCGAATGTAAAGTAAGACTTTAAGCAAGACAAAGATTCAAACCGTCAACTATACTTTTTAGAGGGATTGCTTATTTTACATGTAGGCCGAGTGTGGATGCAGACTAAGGCACTTGTAAAGCTTCTACTTGACGATGATGGACGCAGACATATGTCCTCTCTGACTTTAATCTCCTCTCTTCAGTTACACTCTATTGCAAATGTCCCATAAGGAGTGGTTTTAACCTCTAAATTAATGCAGACGTGAACTTTATTTTGATAGATTACAGCTTTGTTTGACCTTTCTGTCTTCAAAGGTATAAAGGTGTGTACATTATTCTTGAACTGAAGCCAAAAATACTCATGAAGTCAGATGATATTGTTCTGGGAGCTGGGAGAAAAAGAGAGTTCCCTTATTTTCTCTTGTGCGTTTATCTGACCTTTAATTGGAAACGGGGCTTTTTTCCTGTTTACATATCAGATCTAATCTTAGAAATCTAATATGCCGAGATTTCAGAGGATGTGCTGCTTTGGAAAGATCCTATTACCAACTAAAAATGGAAGACAGCTTATCTAAACATCTAAGATTTGTATCCAACCCTATTTGATATGACTTTAAATATAACTATCAAGCAAGAAGTTGTCAAATATGATATAAACTGCCATCTACATTATTTATAAATTCACGAGTCTGAAGTTATTTTTAAGAAATACACACATTTCTTGATAACACTTATAAATAAGTGTATAAACCTACCACTTAAAATGCATTATAAGCACATTCATTAAGCCGTATTTATGTGTATGCATATATAACAACTTTTGGATACTGTTACAGCCATACTTCACGATGGCAAATACAAAATATGATATTTTACTCTATCATCATTTAAAGGCCAAATGAGTAACTTTTTGTTTACAACAACTTCCTACCACCTGTGGACGCAGCAGTATCTCTTACATCTTTGCAGATTAAATCACACCCTCCTTTTTTTTCTGTATTTGAAGCTACATTATATTTAGTAATCGATGCTATAACCAGGTTTTTCAACAGTACTAGCCAAACTGATAAAAACAACATTTTTAAAGGTATATTTTGGAGTTTTTTTCTCCTTTTGACAGGATGGCTAAAGAGAGTCAGGTTACCGAGGGGCAGACAAAGGAAGAAAACACACAAAAGAGCAACAAAACTGGTACACAAATACAATTTAAATGTATTTTTTGGTGCCAGAGTGATAGGGTTGCTTAGAATTATTCTAACTTTACCAACACGACAACAGGCATTTGGAATTAAGGTCAGTGGAATGGGTCTTGGTGGAGTCTTAAAACAGACACACAAAGACATGCACTCTAGATCTGGTCATCTTATTATTAGCCCACAGAGGAACTTGCACACATACAAAAACAAAGAGACACAAATACACACACACACACACACACACACACACAGTCACAAAGTAATCTGAAGGATATCCAGCGCTAGGAATAGAAAGGCTTAGCCGTATCAGAGAGACACAAAGAGAAGGAGAGAGGGGGAGGGAGAGAGACGTACTGTGTGTCTGCACTTAATGTGAGGGTGCTGTAATAATTGGCTCCAGTGAGGATGACACAATACTCAGTGTAAGCCTAAAAATTCCTTGTAGACAGAGAATAAATACAGATTAGACAGTGAACTTTTACCTATCATATTCCTCTTAATCACTTGGTGGGAAAACAAAGCTCACACTTGCAACAACTCACAGCATCCTCAGATATCCGTGAATGATTGGATTGACTTTTAGCTAATGCATAATAAAACAGTGTGAAATTTTCCACTTCACGGATGCTCAATTAAAGTTTTTTTTTTTCTTTAATAGATGTTAGTGATGGAAATAAGTGGATCATGTCTTCTCTTTAACATTTTCCTTCATCAGAGTGAACTCGGACTATGTTGTGTGTTTCTTATTCTAAATAGGAGAATTTTAATTAACAGGTACCAAGAAGCATGTTTTTATTCATGATGATTATATTATCTCACAAAAAGAATTAGATCACAAACAAGCAGAGACTTGTTAGATAACCTAGTTACAAAACGCCTGTTTTCCTTGAAGATTACCCCAACAACCTTTCCTACATAAGGACTTACCCACTGTGTGTATTTTCAACTTCTACACAAACACTTTTCGAAGTAAACTCCTGCAAATGGTCCAATCAGGAGACAATCTGCACTTCTGCAGACTTCGCATTTACAGTACGTCTTTGTGTTCAGGAACATTGCACACAGAAGCACTGACACATAATACAGTACTTGGCCATGTGTCTAACACAGACACACTGGGCCATGTGTCTGTCAATAGCCTCCCTGTTCTCTCTGTCTTTGCGTCTGCAGCTGAGCGTTCACATGGCCACAGTAAATCAGATGAGTATGATTGCCGCTTTGATTTTTCCACTTGTCTATATTTGCTAGCAGCCTCATGCCTCATGCTACCATCTGCACCAATCCCTCTCTCTTCTCGCCCGAGCCTAAGTGAGTCTTCCTGATGGTCGATGTTTGTGTTGGTCAGTTTTACTGTGCCTGCATCACATTTGGCGGTTGACTCTTTGGCCTTTCTCCTGCTGCCAGAGACATACTGTATCTGCCTCTATTTGGAAAATTTGATTGTGTTCTAGGGGAGAGTGTGTGTGAGTGTGTATGTGTGGGTGTGAGGGATAGAGAGAGGTAACAGTCAGGCTCACAGTAACCTCATTTACGTTGATTGGATTCTGTTTGTGTGCGTGTGTGTGTGCACTTATTTAATTTACATGTGAGCGTGGCCTCTTATCAAATTCACTGCAGGGGGGTACAAACTGTCCTGGACAGAGTCGAAGGGGCCTGAAGACATTGATTTATTACTTCGATACACAATATTCAAACAAATGCACAAATCTCCCAGCAAGCACCCAGTTTGCTCTCATGTTTTTGACTTTTTGATGTTTTGAGATTGGTTGGTAATTTTGAAGTGCTGTACTGCAAGTTAAGTCAAAATTATGTTTATACTTTCAATTGAAAACGTCGCTACGACGGTAAAATTATGATGTTGAACTTGGCAAATGTTTAAAAAGGTTCCTGAAGGCTATTGACTTGTTTACATCTTGTCTGTACATGTCTTGTGCCTAACCTCAGTCCTCAGCAAGCTTGACCTTTCACCTTCCTGTGACTGCAAAGGAATCAAATAAATTATTTTTATTCTGCTGAATTAGGAACATGCACTTTCTGCATCTTAATGTTATTTGACATCTGAGATTGACCTACTGTATCAGCAGTAATATCCAACTTTATGCTCTCAGTGTCAATGCATCAATCACAATTTGGTTAAGGTCAGAAATCACATTTTTTACCCATGATTCACATGCCATTTGCTGCATCTTTATAGTACTGTTGCCATTGTGATGAAAATGATGACACCACTCCACTTCAAATGGGTTCACCTTTCATTCTCCGATGGCTCAGTTGACAAGTCAAATGCACTTTGTGGCAAATGGAATAAAGATATCAAGGTGCCTCAAGTTTAAACTATGAGATACTAGCAGAGCATGCAGGTAAAGCTAATCAGACTAATGCACTTTTTTGGAGTGTGTGAATCTCTGCAGAAGTAAAGAGGTTAACTACAGCGCCTAGCAACTAACTTTAGACCAGTCAATATTGTAGTTGACTCATCTTCAGATTGTGGTGACCAGTCATTGTGGGGGACAAGATCTGCATGAACCACAGAAAACAACCGAAAAGGGCGAATGCTGCTGCATTAACTCGGAGTCATTCAATATTCAAAATTATCTTTACTTATAACACTTGCTAATTTATGGTGTTTATTAAAATTTTGCAAGTCATCACAATTTAAAAGCTAATCATTTGACAGCCTTCATCTAAGTGTTTTAACCTATTAAACCCTCTCTTACAGCAAAATGGGTGTTTAAGCTTATTTTACACAGCCAAACAACTGTGATGGTGATACATGTTGGTTCTATCATAGATGTTAAGTAGTTCTTAAAAACGCTGTAAATATTAGTCAACGCAGCAGTGATAGTAGTTTCAGTAGTTTCCCTGTCATCCAAGACTTTCGAAATTATTATCTGCCTTAAAACTGCCACTGAGACAAGAGAAAAACAACAACAAGGGAATTAACACCCTTCTTTGTCTTGCACAACACATTGTCAGGCACTCTGCCATATCACAATGATGACATCTGTGTCAGGATGTTGAAGACACGCACAAACACACACACGCACTAATGAGCTGAACAGATTCAACTAAATATGTGTTTCCACTAAAGGGGCTTCCTAACCTGTACTTTGTCTGACAAACACTGTCTTTGTATCACTGCTTGACACACACACACATTTAAACTCACAGAACTGTATGAAACCACATGTGTTTGCAAAAGGAATCACTAATTCTGCTTTTCATGCATATGTGATAAAAATCTGAAGATTTCAATGGTGAAATTTCTACACTTCCTTGGAATGACAGCATGAGTGAAAACATTCAGAGATAAGAAAAAAAGAGGAAGAGCATGTAAAGAAAGATGTTTTAACAGATGGAAAAAAGAGAGATTGGGGCTCAGGGTCAGAGGTGCAAATTTGTGATGTTTGGTCAGTTTGAAACATCAACCACTTGGAAATTATGGTGGGAGGAGAATGAATAAAACACACTTTTCCACTCTGAAACTGCAACTGTTGCCTCAGGCCAGAGTTTTACATTGATAACTCCTCTCGCGGAGTTCTTCCTGCAGATGGTAGAAAACTACATTAATGTTCCATATGTTGATCTATAAAACAGTGTGCTGTTAATGAGGAAAAAAAAAACGCTTTATCATCTGTTTTTCTAGATAAAATGGTCAACTCAAATCGACCCAAGACAGGAAAAGGATAATTATGTTTCATGTCAGCACAAAGCCTTCTGCCAGCTAATTCAAATACTATTACCAAATTGTACAATTGAGAAAAAGTAGTCTGTCGTTTCATCATTGTAGATTCATCACCCAGCCCTTGGCTAAAGTTTTTTGGCAGTGAAGTGATACATTAGGCAATAAAAATACTAACTGTGGTATCACTGCAGACAGCAAATAACCCCTTTAATGCACTGCACTCAGTGAGAGAGATTTCTATGTAATTCAAAATCAATATATTGACTTTTTCTATTAAAATGACTGCACATTGCTGTGTTGTGAGTGTTTAATATGTCAGTCATTTACTGAGTGCTAACTGTAACTCCTCCCTGTGCTGGAATTTGTTTTTTTTACTGCAGTTAGGGTCATTAACAAAATTGCTCCTAGACACAGAGATGCCGTCATCTCATTGGTAGATAACATGTTTACCTTGGGCTGCCAACAAGTTAAATCCAAATCCAGAAGTAGAAAAAGCCATCAGATGCACACTTGTAAACACATTAGTGTTCCTGCACGACCTCACACATGCAGTCACACAAGGGACTCTGACTGACCTCAGCCTGAAGTGTTTAACACATCATCTTCAGTAAATAAAATCATTAAAAAGTTAGTTTGAGATGTTCAAACTGAGAGATATTGATGTTGCAAGGCTTTATGTGAGGCAGGCCAGCATGGGCCCCATGTCAGTGCAGCAGGCTCAGCCTTAATTATTTCAATACCCCCAGAGTCTGAGAGTTGTTGGACTGAGTGACAGGAAAGTGATAAGAGCATGACTGGAGGTGTGCTTAAGTGAGGTAGAGTGCCAGTAGGCTACACAACACAGATTAAGTCCTCCTGCATAAGACTTCTTTGAACTGTAGAACAGGAAAGTTGCACATTGACTTTTCAGTTTATCACTAAACTATTACCACTACTACTTGAAGTCAAAAAGCACGATTCTTCCCTGAGGTTACACCCCTGATTTAAAGGTTGGCTATTCAAATTATTAGTTAGTCTACTTCAAAGTGGTCTCAGTAGGGGTTTCATACCCTGTTATTCCTGTCCTTCTCGTTGACCTCCTCCTTCGTCACTCCATGCCGTATCATTATCCGGACGATGGCCGCGTTGTTGCTGCAGCACGCCTGATAAAAAGAGAGCGGCTGCGGGCTGTCCGGAGACGGGGTGCGCTCCGAGTCCGCGAACACATCATCCGGGGGATAGTAGGAGTCGTCCGACGCGATGCTCCGACCGTCGTCCAAGTCCTCGAAGTCAACTTCTTCGAACTCATCATCCCCCTCTTCGCTTTCATCCTCCTCTTCATCGTCCTCCTCACAGGAACCTAAATATTCCTCGTCGGAGTTTAACTCATGTATAGTCGGGGGGACTTGAAGGATGTTTCCCCCGACTTTTTGTTGCTGGTGGAGCTGTTTGACCCGGACAGACGCGCCTCCTCCATCCCTGTCGTCCGTGATAAGCACCATCTAACCCCCGGGTCTTGGGCACCGTCCTCGGGGTAGAGCGCAGCCGGTCACACGAGGCGCACACATGGGACTGAGTCTCTCCGGAAGAGAATTGCATAAAAATACCGTCTCCGAAAAGTCACTTACACCGCTAACAGAAGCATAAATCACGCTAAATTCCCCGTATGTGTTACAGTAACTCTCGGTTGAGCATGCTGAGAGTGCAGTCACCCGCCAGTCATCTTCGCTTAGTTGTTGACATTCTCCCCGCCTGGTCCATGAACGTCCCAAGAAGTGCGAAATCCTGTCTGGCACGTGCCCAAAAACGAAACCACGTTAATTTGAATTGACGGTTATCCGGCTCGAGAGCGCATGAATGAAAATGAGAGACAGTTCTTGTAAAATGTGAGGCTGACAGCAGAAAGTTAAACGGCGGTAGACACGGCCGTCCCATAAAGGGCGGAGAGAGACAGCAGCCTGTTAACCTACAGTCCCTTAATCCGATTAGATAAGACCGGGACCTCTCTCTCTCTCTCTCTCTCTCTCTCTCTCTCTCTCTCTCTCAGTCTGTCTACTGAGATACTAAAGTTAAAATTATCCATATAGGGGTATTTCTGTGATTTTCTGAAGTTTACGTAAATCTGAATGTCATTGTCTCAGGCTTTGAAAGGTCCAGGGACCAAGTACAGTTAGTTGGCACAGTTGGTACTTTATGCATCTGTGACTCCTTTCCCATTTTTATCATTTTTTTTTAACTAATGGAAGTTCCCTTCGGTTATCCCCCTGAAAGTGTTTATTGAAAAACATGTTTGAGTTTTGAGAAACATTACTTTGCTCTTTTCTATCAAGTGACACATTGGTGGAATGAGAACAAAAACCTTTGCTTTTTTTTTGTTAAATAATCTCTTATGAGTCAGAGACACTGCTCAACATGTGGTTCATGACAGTTAATGTAGGGGAAAACCCGCATTTCACTTTCATTTTCAGATTAGATCAGAACTTTTATATCAACCAAATCAGAGCTGACCAATTGTTTGGCCCAAATTATGTGCTGGGCACCATCTACAGCTTTCATTTTCTTTCCCTCTGACCAGAAACAACACAGACTTAGATTAGCCTTCAGTTTAGGCCCTCAACTTGAAAGAAGAAAAAGGCATTACGTGGGAAAACAGATGTACTTCATGCGGCGTTGGTGAAACCAAAACAGTTTCAGATTCTTTGATAGATAAGCAGATCTGCACGTTCACCTGTGAGCAAGGACTTGTGGGTATTATGGTTCCTTCCTACGCATGTTTATACAGGGTTAAGAGGTTTACAAGACATGGTACACATTTGACCCCTGCTTAAACCCTTGCATCCTGTTTAAAAGTTACAGTCTTATTATATGTCTTGTACTGAGAACAGAATGGTCCAACTAAAAAGAGAGTTTACCAGATATCTCTAATATATCTACAAGGAGAAAATGTTTTGGAATACGGCATGATACGGAAACTTGCAAAACCATGACAGATTCACTGAGAAGATCCTTTTTCTCTCAGTAATTAATAACACGAAATTGCTGACATCACCTGCTGTGGAAAAACCAAGTGCATAACAGTCCCAGTGTGTACCCATTATTATTATACCTCCAGCTACCCCCAGCTGAGAGTTGTGCTCTCCTGTGGCTCATCCATCTCTATGGTATCTGTTTGCTGCTGTGTTGGTGACAGCCAGATTGCACTCTCAGAGATAAATGTCTGGGAAAAGTTACACTCACTGGTTAAACCACAGACAAAATCACCCAAGGAGGTCATGTTTAAAATCATCCTCTCCACTTTTGGTCAAATTAGAGTAAGGTCAAAAAGTAAGGTTAAAGTTTTCAACACTTATGGTGTCAAGACTCTGGCTCATGGATTACTTCACACACCCACATGACCTTGTATTACACTTCATGGGGTTTCCTTCACAGGCGTATAGAGGTTACTGAACAACTTTATATGAATTATGAAACATTTTATTGGCATGAAAAATAAATCACTGCATTTTTATCATATGCATATTATACAGCAGGGGATCCAGGGCTTATTAAATGACAGCAATAAGCAGTAAGACGCTTTCTTTCACGCTCTCAGCGGGGCTGGTGGGGGAGTAAAATTTAAGCAATCATTCATACTGATTGAGAGGGCCAGTCAAACATTTGAGTATGAGAGCCCTCAGGTTCACAAGATTTTCATGAGCTGGTTCACTTGAGGTCTGAGGCCAAGGCAGCTGGAGGGAAAACGTTGAGGTTCACTCAAGGTTACTCCAGGAGGGAAGATGCCTGCTGATATAAGGACTTGAGCCAAGACGACCTTTCCATGTGTCATATGTACAACACTGCACACCCAATGCTGCACCTCAATATTGCAGGGTACTGTGATATGACCACTGGGAAATTCAGAACTGCCATGATCTCTTTTATATAAATGAATTCCATTTCAGAGAGATATTCACCTGAGATTACAGCATTAGCAACACTATCATTTAAAGAGTCAACCACATTAGCTCAGAGACATGATCCTCCAGACAGGTGAGTGTAATTACCTAGATGTTTGTGTGTCTTTCTGTCTGTGTGTCATGTAATGATCAGGTTTATACCTTGTTCCAAATCCATCTCAATTGAAAGACTATTTCAACTACTACCCTGTGACAGTAAGGGCACTACTAAATTATTGTTTTTAACCCAGAACCTGTTTCTCTCCTCGCTGCAAAATATGTGATGTAAAATGTGGCTATTTGGGGAAATAGTATTTTTGGAATGTGCACACTAAAGCTATGTCAGCAAAGGTACTTCACCTGCTGCATAAGGCAGGCATACTGTCTGCTTGCTACACATTCATGAATACTACAATGTACTGATAAATTGAACCAAAACCATTCCTGCCTTTAGCATATCTCAGGGATTACCAAGATGACAGTCATAGTAAAGACCCTCTCTTATAAAATCTTCCTGAAAGTTGTTGTTTACTGTCTCATCATGAACACCTTAATCACACAGATGTAATATTCCTACATACATTCATAACATTAGCAAAAGTATGGCCTTCCCTTGCTCTTGTACCCCCTGGCTCTGACCCTGAACCCACTTCACCGACCTTAAACCACAAACGGCCAAAACACCCCTGCACACACTAGTCTCCTCTAAGGTAAAACCAAAGCAGTAGTAGTACACAAAGATCCCCCTATGAGTCTCCTCTCAACACAAGTACTGAACTGTCTCGGACTGGTAAAGTGAAAGTGTTTATGTCAGGGTTTTCACAGGACTTCTTGTGTTGGAAAAAATTTGCCTGAAACTGTTATTTTTCCTTCGCGCTGCAAACTCTTGATTATTAATAGCTTGATTAAAAACTCTTAATTTTATTGCTTAATCAGTTAATGAGGCAGGGACAAACAGCGATGTGTATTCAGAAGCTAAGGACAACACTTCAGTGAAGAGAAAAAGAAAGATGTTGCTGTCGGTTGAGTAGAAGAAATTCAATAGTCCACAAGTGGTTATTCACTCATTTTAATCAGCCAGCAGTGGTCTTTAATTAAGCTCTATTTGTGAAGTGTGTTCATGTGTGTAAGAACAACTCCCGAATAAAGCGAGAACAAATTAACTTCATGTATTCTCAGCAAATTATGCGTTTGTTTGTAGACCCTGGAGAAAAGTTTTCTTTTCTCCATGATAAATACATAAAACCATAAACTAGAATAAACAATCTGAACTCATAAAAAATGGGGCCTTTCACACAGCACAGAATATTGCCCAAGGTAAGAAGTCTGAGTCCTCTTGTAGAGCGTCAAACATAACCTTGTAAAAGTGAGGCTGAGTGATAGAAGTACTGTGGAGGTGTCTTAACATGCACCCACTCTAATAGTGGCGCGATACTGGCCACAGTGAAACAGACTCGGTTCAAATCAGGAGAAAACACCTCTACCTAAATTAATTCTACTTTTTAAATAAGCCTGTGTGTGCCACAGAGGGTATTAGATTATTCTTCTGTTAAAAAGATAACAAGGCTCAAAGGGAATAATGCTGAAAGGCTCTTTGCATGTTTGAAAGGATCTTTTATAAGCAACCTTGATCATTTGTGGGCACCATCACTCTGTGTAACCTTCTCTTTAGAAAGTAAATATCTCTCCAGAAAGTATGGCTCTTATCTACACCATTAAGTTCAACACTATTTTATGGGGTGGCATTGAATTTTGAGATGCAGGCTACACCTTCCGCTTCCAAACAAATCTTTACAATTTCACCAAAAAACCTTGGGCAGTACTTCATTCAGCTCTCGAGGTTGCTCTGGCAAAGTTCGAAGAATCAGGAGGAGTGGAGTCTGTGTTATCCAGATAGATAAAATCCAGAGGTTTTATCATCCCATGTTGGAGCTCCCTGGAAAATATAGTCTGTTGTTAGAAATTTCTGACATACATCCATACAATGATATCTGTAAATGACATACACAACTTAACAGCTTTCAGACTTACATGAAAATTGCATTTAAAATTAATATCATAAATGAATCTAAACAGCAAAGCCTGAAAATATATCCAAAATTGTCTTATAATTTGAAATACCACTTTTAAATATTGTTGATGAAATTGTACAGTGCAGCAGTGAAAATAAAATTTTAATGTTCTGATACTTCACAATAGAGTATGAATCATTCTTTCCCTCATCCTTACCCTGAAGTCTGTTACACAACATCTACAGAGCAGAACGTTAAAATGGAGCCTTTGTGTCCACTCTCTCTTCTTCTGTCTCTTTCACACTGCTCTGCTAGATTTGTCGTGTCCCTGGAGATGCCATGTTATGAGCAAAGCTTGAAGAAACAGTTACAGTTGTGCAATAAGGTCCACCCTGGAGCAGAGATTCCTAAACCACTGACATCTTTGCAATGACATCATGCCCCTCCCAAGTCCCAGTATCATAAAACAATGGAGCATTACAGCCCTGGAGCTGTACTGACAGATCCAATGTACATGAGAAATTTGAGTATAGGTCTACACAAATGCAAAGTTTTATCTCTCAGCTAAAACTCCTACCAAGTGTAAGCACAAGTAGTGAACAGTATCTCAGGTATATAGGCCAGTTTCAGTGCTTACAGTTGTAGTTGAATATCCGAATGTTAGCAGCAGATGGTGCATGGTTACAGTAGGGTTTTACCAACTAATTACCTTGCTGACTACTTGTACCACTTGTCAGTGCTGTGGGCAACTGTCATCTAGTTGAGTAGTCAATACCACAGTAAAATGATACACTTGAAGTGGGTCTGACTTCACAAGAGAGGATCTTTAAGTTGGGTTTTTGTAAATATCATGAAGAGAATGGTCTAGAATTGGCACCAGAATCACCAGTCAGTAAAATTTATTGTTAGAATTTCTACTGCTCCAGTCATATATCATGGCTAAACTGTAGCGCAGTCACCCCCACAGGCCAAGGCTGCAGCTCCAGTTGATGGCAACTGCAAAATACTACAATGCTCCACTACTTGGATAAACCAGTGAACCACATCTCATAGCACATCCCAGTTTGGTGGTATTTTGATCTCAGAAGGGAGGTGAAGTTGTATGTTGGTTGTGTCTGGTTAAACCGGCATACAACCCCTGAAACAGAGCAACAAGTTCCCAGTACATGCCAGCACATATCGATCTTACACTGTTTACCTGTAGACACTGTGGTTCTGTGTTACATAACTGTGCACTGTTTGACTGATTTCTGTTTCTTTTTCTGGTTTAGTAGATGATTTTCCAACTTCCGTATAAAACAGTTAGGATTTAAGTTGATTTGGGGTTTCACTTTCGGAAGTTCTGATCAAAAACTGTCTGGTAAACTCCAGATAGAGTTCCAGCGTTTAGGGGACAGCAGGAGTTTTTATTTGAACATCTATTTAAGCTCCTGTGAGGTTTCAGTATCAAATTCAGTCTGCTTCAAAACTAATTACAAACTCCACACAGGGAATATAAACCATCAGTTTTAATCCTTGTTAACAATTCATATGTGAATTGTTAACTCCAAGTTTAGACGTAACCTGTATCCCTCTAATCCTCATGAAAGTAAGCTATTGTTATGTTATGTGATAGGACTCCACCTGTGTAGAAAGATGTTTATCACAGTCTCCATCCCCTGTAATTCAGTACAGTGTTCTTCACAGATTCAAATCAAAGCTGAAGGTTTTTTCAACATATTACATAATAAAGTTCAACTGTGGAGTTCAGAGAGAGATCTCAGTGTTAAGCCCTGACAAAATTCCTTTTCTGCTGTGTCATACGGGTGGTGATCCTGCGGTTATCAAGATATCAGAGGTTCTATCTGTCCTTCAATCCCCTTTGACTTGGCCATGGCTGCAATCCTGCAAGCGGTAAGCTTAAGTGTGTAAGAGCGGTTGTGCATTTGTGTGTGTGTGTGTGTGTATGCTCCACCCTTAAAACCTACTTCCAACAGTGCCTGCACTGTGAATTCCCTCTGATCCTGTTTCCTGCCCTGCCAGATGAAATACTCACAAAAAAACACAGGTTTAGATGGAAAAAAAACAGGGTGACATATCTTGGCTCTTGGTGACTACAGATTACACTCCTGCTGAGTAAATGTAAAGTTGTGTGCATAAGTTACAGCAGGACTAAGTGGAAGATAAATTCATGTGTATGTGTGCACGTCTAAGATTTCTTGGCCCTGCGTGTGATTTTGTGCTTTCTGTCTGAGTGAGCATTTGTACTTGCCTCTTTACAATATTGCACGGAGGAGTGAACTAAACACAGCAGGGCTTTAGGAGTTTAACACAACCTAAAAATCCCGCTCTTTTGCCCTCAAAGCTTATCACCTTACCGCTCCTCTTTTTTCGTCTGCTGGGGGAAATGAATCCACCCGCAGAGAGGCCAAATGAGGTGAAGCTGTAGGCTGATAGGTTGTGTGTATGATAAATGTACTTTGGCTTACCCAGACATAAGGGAACAGGCAATAAAAAGCATGCACACACTCCTCCTGACAGGTTGTGGAAGGCAGCTTTGTGCCTCTCTTGCTGCTCATTAAAAGATTCCAACCTGCCTCAAAACAGCAGCCTGGTTTAGCCAGACAATGACGAATAATAACCGGCTATGCCTGATGCTAACAATTAACAGGACCAATTTCTAGTTAATGAACCAACATCTGCGATTGAAACAGCATTAGCAGGCCAATTTATTAATCAAGAAGGGTCATTTTGTTACTTCCTTTCCTTCCTGTCTTCCCCTGCTTTGCATGCCTCCTTCCCTCACTTCCTGCTGGTTTAGAAGTTGGAAACCTGAATCATGCCGTTCTGCTTGTTGCTGTCGGGCGAAGAAACCGGTGCATCAGTGCAACAGCTCTACTCAGCAGTACAGGAATTTGCACCATAGAGAATATCACTATCTTATAACATCATATGAAGCTAGGAGAACTGGCTTAGCTCTGTGCTTTTAAGCCTATACAGACATTGACAGGCAGGAGTTTTGGACCGAACAGAGCTAGAGCAGTTTTCCCGCACATCAAAGTCTGTGATGTAGAGTACGAATAGACAGCATTCCTTCAGCTTAAAACTGTTGGCAATGTAGTTTCTGCAGTGTTGAAAAGGCAATTGCACTTAAAGATACCGTGCCCTACATGACTAATAATCTTCAGTGACAAACAGGGTAAAAAAAAAAGGGGGTTATACGAAGTTTGACTGGAGCTAAATATAAGGAGAACTTATAAAAATGAGGAAAAATAGTATTCCAGACACTTCTCCACAACCTACATCAACTCTGCTTTTTTCAGAAATAAGTAGACTTTACTTCTATAAGCATACTCCTATAAGAATACTGACAGCTGCAAACCTCAGATCCGGCGCAAATGCACACAAACAACACCTACACTTGATCCTGCAGACTGCTGAGGAAGTTGTCAATGCGGTCCTGTGGCATGTCTCCATCCAGGTGAGCCAGGTAGGTGTAGAGTTTGACAAAGGTGGGGAACGGGATCCTTGCAGCACCACCCTCCTCATCCTCTGTCAGGATCTCACAGGCAAACTTTAAAGAACTTAGAAGGGTCTGAAAAGTTTGTAGAGAGACACAAAGAAGCAGTCAGTAGAAACAAACCCACTCATACAGCAATCAAGGACATGTGAGCATCACAAGTAGACGTTGCAAAAAACAGCCAAGTCAATACAGATCATGACTGCCCTCTTGTGGTCAGAGTGCTTTAAAGCCTCATACAGAGCAGCAGCAGTTCACACTACTGACACTGAGCACATAATGCTAAGCTGCACTTGCTTTTTGTAGATTCTAAGTCATCATTCATCTGCAAAGTTTACCATGTTTGAAGACTTTCACTTTAATCTGTCTTCAGCTTTGTCTGCAACTTTGAAGCAAAATCATTGGCTCAATTGCATTCCAAAGATTTAAGTAGTCAGAGGAGGATTTATCCAGTCATAGCCCTGGGACCGTGTTAGAAGTCTGGATCATGAATGTCGGGATCAAGTCTAAATACTGGAGGACTAGACTGTAATATGAACAAAAACGGCTTTTCGTGAAGATCTCAAACTGTGCTAGGCCCAACCATAGGTTTTAAACCTCTAAGAAAGTGGTATAAAGTGGCATTAGTGTTTTTATCTAGCCTTATGAAACATCTCACCCCTCCCAGAGCACTGCAGCCCAGGGCAAAGAACTCCAACCAGTCGATGTCTGAGCCAAAGCTTCCCAGAAGCAGCAGGGTCTCAAGCTGTTCGACGGGTAGACAGAGACCCTTCCATTTCTTCTGCAGCTCCTCTTTGCTGCATGTTTGCTTGTGGGATAGCTGAGATCAGATGGGAAAAGAGAGGGATGTAAAAAACAGAGGGAGATGGAAAAGAAAGTTATATAATTCACAAGATGACTGTTAAAAATGCAAATGAGTAATTAATCAGCATTATTTGTTGCAAAAGCAGCATAAGATGTGCAGAATCAGTAAGTTGTAAATATTAATGATCTGTTAATCAGCAAGCTTTCCTCACCTTATCATGAACTTTAACACATGGGAAATAATCTCTTTAAGAAACAGCATGAGGAGGGGGAGTTTACTGATGTGTAAGCTACACGAAGGAGTACGTCTAATTATCTGTGTAATTGTTTGATTTGTGCTGACAGAATTTGGGATTTTCACTTCTCAAGCCAAACAGTGAATAAAACAGCACAAAACAACATTACTAACATAACCATACAAATACAGCAGCTTCCTCCCAAGGTTAAGACTATTGGCCTTTGAAGACACATCAATTTTTCAGCTCTTTTAATGAATCCACATTGGTGCCTGAGGTAAGATAAAATAGGTTTATGATTATATAAAATTTTTATAACCCATGTGGGGAGACAGCTTCATGGTAATATGCAGATGCACACTTAAAGAGAGCGAGTGTAAGCAAATGTGGATATTAAACTTAATGCAACTAATAATTACACTCATAGAATAGCAGATACAGTAATCAGTCAGTGAATGTAGCCTTTACAGAACCAGTTTAAACACTGAAGCTCAATGGAGGATGTTTGATACATTGGTTATCATAAAGGTTAAATGAAAACTTAAATATATGAAGTAAACCACTTTGTCTGCTGTGGTCTTGCTGTACAGAAAATACCTGTTTATGCAGAGTCTTCAGTAGACCTGGAGTCAGCCCAGTGTCTGTTTTTTGGGTGGCAATATTCATCTCCAGCCTGTCCTTGACGGGCAGACATTCTCCGTCTGACAGTGCGTTGAAGTATCTGCAAGAGGCACACGCACATCATTTACATACATATATTATCAAATTGTGCTTAGCTTTAACTCGGTTGTCACTCATCCTCCCTGCTTTCCAAGCCTGCCAATCAAAAACAGATAAAAGCAGACTGCGGTAATTGAGGCATGCATTGGCATCAGTCTAAGTTCACTTCTCATGAGGACCACTGGTTGCATAAAGTCATCATGATTTCTAGCTTTGTCTGAAGTTAAGTGATGTGTTTTCAAGCTAAAGGGCCAACTGTGGCTTATCGTCCTTCAAGGTTTAAATAATATTCAAATTTAGTAGCAGCGTGGCTTTCAGCGTTCCTGAAAGGCAACAGCGTCTGGTGTTACTTTAATAGCATATAAACATCTTGTTACACAGGAGACATTTAAAATGTTTTTCTTTCACCACATGGCTCGCTTCTTTATCCGTTGCTCTAAACACCACCGGGCTACATTGGCCAGTAAAAAAGCAGATGATATGACAGCCTTTGGGAGGACTAAAAAATCGGTGTGTATGATAACTTCATCAAATGCTTTTTCTGTGTTTACCAAAGTCAGATAGTTAAACCACTGAGGCAAGATGGAGGCCCCTGGGATGCAATAACAGTCAGTCAATGCAAAGATGAGAGACGCACAGGTGAAAAGGGCATCTCTTTTCACACTCTAATGCAGCCAGGAGATACAGTTTACGGTTTAATTTAAGAGATCAAAAATGAGATGAAACACAAACACATGTATCCCCTACAGTCTACCAGAATCCTCACAGACAACTTGGACTTACGCCGCAGACCACTGCAGCAAATCCTTCGGCTGTGTGCGGATTGCTGCCTTGGTGAAGTTTTTGAGGATGTCTGGCAGCTCGGGAGGGATGTTGATTTGCTGGGCACAGTACATCGTGTCTGGAAGAGGCATAGCTGCAATTAAAATACACAGCAGTTTAGTCCAAGTAGAAGGTGATATCTGACAAAAATGAACAGCAGCAGCTACATGAATAACTCAAGCTTGAAACATGAACGCCAATGAATGAAATATAACAAACAGAGTAAAGAAAGAAAAAGAAAAATGTAATCTGAGTTTCCTGCTGTCACACTGCAATATATAAAGAGGAATGTACAGTATGTGCATACCATGGAAGGAACATATGTGATGTTTTCAGTGTCCATAAAAAATGTCTCTTTTCTCGTATTACATGGTGACATGAGATGCGAACCATGTGACATATAGCATATGGGCTTACAAAAATACTGGACAAGGCTGGTCAAATATACCTATAGTCGACGTGTTGAGTGAGTAGAAGAAAAGCAAATCTATTTAAAAGACGTTTTGTGTGAGCAAAAATGAAGATCATGTTGTTTTTTCAAAAGAGTTTATTATCCTGATCTCTCTGTCACCTGAAGTCTAACAACCTTTTTCCTCTAACTTTGGAAAAAGTTAAGCTATGGTCAACTTACCCCATACACAGGGTAAGTTGACCATAGGAGACCACATTTTTTTGGCAAGCTATATTATCAAGACACTTAAGTTTACGCTCATTCTGTTGGTTTGCAGGGATGCACAGATACACTAGCTAGAGACAAAACTATGATCGCCTTGATGTAGTGATCTGAAATATGAAAAATGGCTCGTCATCTTACTCCACTCTCCCCTTAAAAAAACAAACAAACAAAAAAAACCTTGTGGGTTCAAGTCACGTATATTTTCGAGGTCAACATCTGGTCAGAGTGCTGGTCAGGAACGGTCTATTGTGTTAATAAAGCATGAATAAACTCACAAAAACGTATACAATATCACGATTTAACATCTCAAAGCTGAGCTAATTGGGCAAATATTGGCCTAAAACCAAATGTGTTTCATTAAATTATAGCCTTTAACATTCTGAATTTAAAGCTAAAACTTTACCTAGATATTTGAACACTTCTTGACGGCAAAAAATTACGGTAAAAAAAGGAAAATATCGAGGGTAAGCTGTATCTTCATTGACGTTTATCTACTCCCGGCACTTGTGTGCGTTATTATTGTCGCCTAGCAACGGCCCTCTCGCTTCTTCTTCTGTTTGTTTTGATTGAGGAGTGTCGCGTGGAGTCCAATACTGCCCCCTGTGCTCTGGAGCAAATGGAGTTGACAGGCCTCTGCTGTTTTGTCGAGTAAATAGTAAATAGATTATATATCTGTCATCCACTCTCAGATCCTGTTCAATCTGGCCAAGCAGCTATAGAAATTGATCACACTCTTATTTCCATACACCTATCAAAGTTTCAATCAATCAAAGTTTATTTATATAGCACTGTTTATACAAATGAAATTTCAGATTAAAGTGCTTTACATCAGGACAAGAAAAATAAAAGTTATTAAAAAAGACTAAAACAGACAATAAATTATGAACTTGAATTCATTAATAAAATAAGGCAAAAAGTGATACTAAAAAAATAAACAAATTATAATCGTAATTACAATAATGATGCTTTACATAAAAGCCAGGCTAAATAGATGAGTTTTTAGGTTCCACAGTTTTGGGGCATAGCACCTTGAAGAAGCATCACCAAATCTTTTTGTTCTGCTCTGTGGAACAACTAAAAGATAAGATTGAGAGGATCTGAGAGGCCGCCCTGGTTCATAAATTAAAATCATCTTTGAAAGATATTCTGGTGCCAGTCCATGTAGAGCTTTATAAACTAGTAAAAGAACTTTAAAATCAATGCAAAAACTAACAGTCAGCCAGTGCAAAGACTTTAAAATGGGTGTAATATGAGCTCTTCCCCTGGTCCTAGTCAAAACTCTAGATCAGTTGTAGCTGGTTTATTGTGCTTTTTGGTAGACCAGAGAGAAGACCATTACAGTAGTGAAGCCTGCTGGTTCTAAAAGCGTGCATTAGTCTCTCTGTCTATGAAATCATTTTTTTCCAGTGGCTCCATCAAGCTTTTCATAGGCTACTTATTCACATAATATCCTTGAAATGAACTGGATACATACTGGAATGGGGACATTTAAATGATGTGGTTTTAAAGTGAGAAAATTTTTGGTGAAATTTGATATTCATTGTCTCATTGTTTCCACTATCCCCAAAAAATGAGATACATTTAGACAAACACAAAGACAGATGCCATTCTGTGTCAACACACACATTTATTGAAGTGATGCCACAAACAGGCAAAACATCATATTGAAGATTTTATTATTAAACAGCATCTTGAAAATACAGGTTTACATAGACTGTGATTAGAAAATGATATTACAACTACCAGTATTTGGTAACCAAACTGACATGGACAGTTTAAAAAAAAAAAAAAAAAAAGCAAAATATACCCCAACCACACCCGATACTCAAAAGAAGTCAGCAACAAGAATAGACCGAAGAGACAATTTCATACTTTTGCAACAGGCACACATGCACATCCAAACAATCACTGTCAGCTCGTATACACTGGCAAGTGCAAAATTATTCTAGTACATGTACAAAATGAGTCGAGTCATGGGGGTCTGTTTGTGTAATCCCTTTCAGGTGTTACTCATTTATCATTGAATGGGAGCCATGTAACACTAAATGCTCAGTGTTTCCTCACCCAAGTTCTTACACTGGGGGTGAACAAAAATGTGCTGAGATGCATAATTATGAAACTATGACAAGAATGGACTCTAGCAAAAACAGCACAGGGTTATGTGGACTACATAAGAGACTATCCCAAGACACGGGTCCCCTTTTACCCCTCCCGAATGTCAACTTGATACAAAAATAAAACTGTGATTCCCCAAAAACCCACCCTGGACACTCTCCTGTGGCTAAAAATGATCTAGGAGGACATAATATCTCCCACTGTAGGGACTGTGGTGGTGTCGACTTGAATTGTCCCTTTACTGTATCTTCCCTTCCCTGGACAGGACTTGGACCAAGTCAACATTTTTTGAGGCCTTCAAGTGCAGTTATCTGTCGCACAATGAATGGAACAAACTGCCCCAATACTTGAAAACATATCACTCTTGTACATTATTCAGATTAAGTCGTTTCTAACAGAAATCTAAATGTTTTGCTCTCTCTATGGCTAGAAATCCTGTGTGTGTTGCAGTGCTATAGAAGATGGCGCTCAGGCAATGTTTTGAGTCAATGCAAATAGGTAAACTCATGTTGATGCTCATCGGTTAAAATGTTGAATATGAGTTTACCTTTGAATGACTTTAAATGGGAGATCCTGTGTGACTGTATGATTGTGTGATAATGGAGGGTTAAATCTCATCCTTTAGTTTGATTCATTACTGAATTCTTTACCATTCGAATAAAGATAGCACATTTGCTTTTGGGGGAGCAGGCCTTACCCGCTACAAAAATCAAAGCTGGTTAGTCACAGGGTTCTATCTCTTGCCCCTTTTATTTCCAGCAGGGGGTTTCTTTAGTTGGAGAAGAGGGGCTGCTCCAAAGCTTGCAGCTTGTTGGTTGGACACGCCGAAGGTCAGGCCGGCGGAGGGGTTGAGACCAGGGTTACTGAAGTTGAAGCCTGAGCTGCTGCTGCTACCGAAACCTACAACAAGTGGACAAAAAAAAAGACAAGAAGAAAATGTGAGAAATGTGAGGGAAAGCAAAAGTAGTGCCACGGGATGAGGGAAGTTGTGGACATTTGTCTTCCACCTGGTTTACAACCCCATACCTGAAACATGTTCTGGCAAAACACTCCAACTTCACCCTGATGCTTTCTTTTCAACCCCCTCGCACAATCTCCACAAAAATGCAGCAAATAAATTTCAGCATGAGCAGGGGTGATAATGTTTGTGTCATGCTATCGTGCAACTGGTGCAGTAAAGAAATGAGACTGCTTCATGCTCATTTCTGCTTGCCTGTTTTTCCACTCTTTTACTGTGCAAAAGCTGTCATCCGAGCATCACACTTTGCTCTGCTTGCCATCTTGGGTGTCTTTTAGACATTATATGATGACTTGCGAGTTATCTTTTTGCCTGCTGAGACCCCTGTCCCCACATCCGACAGGGGACACTTTACGCTGTGAGGTAACTTTGGTAAGTTTCAGAGGCATGTGTGGAAAGGGCAACAATCTCAAAGATATATTACAGTTCGACCTTTCACAGCCTATAAAGACTTGACTGTAACAAACGAGCTGGATTTAAGGAGGGGGGATAGATATTATATATGTACCTGCACTCAGACTGCCTCCTGTGGGCTTACTGGTGGAGGAGAAGGCAAAAGAAGACCCCCCAGTCCCCACCCCACCAAATCCTGGCCCACCACCAAAACCTGTGGGAGAGAGTGACATAGGAGTCAGTTTGGGCTGAGCACAAAGCCGAAAAATAGGAATAAATACAAGAAGCATGGCCTGAGGAGTACACACACAGGCACGCATGAGCTAATATATGCACGACAAATGCCACAAGCTAATGAATATAGCGCTATGGACAGCGAACTGGGGACTGCAAAGAAAACAGGATCAAAATAAACTGAATGGAAAAGCAAAAGCTGAAGGGAGAAAGAAAAATATGGAAGATTTGATCAAACACACCTACGTCATGAGAAAACATCCACTTTGTGTACGTTCAGACCACTTTTGCCAAGTTGCTTTTAACCGGCCATGTAAAGGACGATATTTGAGTTCATATTTTGGGACAATTATCCTCCCGCCAACAAATTACCTCCACTGAAGTCCACTGAACACTGATGAGTGGCTGCAGTTTATCTGTGGTGTGAACGCACTTCACCTCTCACAAAAAGAAGAAAAGGGAAAAAAACGAAACAACGGCCAAGCTTTGAACGCACCACTTTCCCAGACACATGCACACCGTCCACTACTTCTTTCACACAAGAGCTAGGGGGGCGAGGAAGGAGGGCAAAATGAAAGGGAATATTCATCTAGGAAAGACAGGGGTAATACCTCCGAGGGTAGAAGAGCCCAAGCTAGTGCCCACTGCCGAGGCAAAGGGGTTTCCAAACCCTGCCCCCAAGGGTGCCTGAGTCCCTAAGGCACAGAGAGAGCATATGCTTTACCCTGTTTTGTGCAGGTTGTGATCCACTTTAAAAAGGGTTGGTTATAGTACAAAAAGGAAACATTTAAGGACTTTTTACTTGCATTTATTGCCATGTATGTATAATTAACTCCGTAGTTACTAGTACAGAAAGGCTTTATAGCTTGTGTTAAATAAAACCTAAGAGTGTTGGGGTTGTTAGTCGATCATGTGACTTCTGGAACTGCTGTTGTGCACAAATCACAAATGTGTATTTTCAGCTATTACAAAGAATCCTTAACATTTAACAATTAATTTCATCAGCAGGAGTTCGACCCGTAACTCTGTGGCATAAATGCTGCTAGTTCTTTCACTCTGAAAACTTGTCTTTTGTCCTTCATGTAATTGTTTTTTTTAAATGTAATTAATTTTGTTGCATGTCTTCCAATTAGTCTGCATTGTTAAAACAACTTCAGTGGAAAAGAAACAAGGACAAACGTTTCTTTGTTTAAAAACTGATTTATTGTCAATTTAATATGCAATTCCACTTACATAAAACACAAACAAACAGTTTAGAACAGAATTGATTGTTAATTGCTAACTGCTACTGCATTTGACAAGTTTCCAAATTTTTTCAAGATTTCTGAGAGTGAATGAACTAGCATACGCCAAAAAAAAATAAAAATAAAAGCATCACACAATTATTGATTATAGCTTCAAAAGGCACACCATATTATATATTAAATATACTGTATCAACAGGCATTGGTTATATAGGTTGAACACATTCATCTACAAGTATAAGCACTGGAGATTGAGATAAGAAATGTGAATTTTGGCATCTATGGCTGCCTCTCAGTGTAAACTCATCATATAAAGGAAAGTGAGTGATATGGTACAGCTTTCCTGTGGTCAAGTTTCTTTCAATTCTTGGAATAAGAGCGGAACAGGGCTTTGTGGTTCGTGTGTGTAGTGTTCAGAGACATAATAAAAGTAAATATCCTTGGATGTAAATAGGTGATGTTCAGACACAAAAGCTAGACCTTTACGTGAGAAAAGCTACTTCCACTTTTTTTTTTGTTTGATCAAGTCCGACTCAGGTGAGGTTTCTGGAAAACATTTAGGAAGAGGCTCCATTTAATTTCTTAAATAAATATTAGCCCATTTGTAAGCTTGCCAGGGATCAAAAAGACCACCCCTCCAAAAAAAAAATTACAACTTGCAGTACTAGTACCTCAAGGAAGCAAAGTAGATAAAAATCCACTGACAGAGCTCGAAGAAAGCATAATGATAAAAAATCCAAGAAAAGAAAAATAACATTCAAGACAGTCTGTAACAGCAAACCACCCAAAAGACCAGATGACGTCCTGGATTTGGACAAATCAGGCCTTTTTTTGAGAACTACTGATCAGAGGCTCAACATCACACAGAAATAATAAACAGAAAATATGAACACAACTCTATAAAAGCCTTAAATTTCAGAGCAAATCAAGTTCTTTTAGTTGAACACTGCAGGCAAATTGTGGTGGTCGTGCTGCGCAAACTATCAAAATATCATTAAAATCACATCTCATTCCTTCACTTGTTTTGAAAACCAAAAAGAGGTACAAAGGGGTCACTACTGCTGTTGTTATGGCGTTCATGAACAAACAGCAGTCAGCAATTGCATACATATCACTGAAATATCCTCCTGAGGACCATTGTAAACCTCAATATCTCCCACACACTTCATTCTACTGACTTAACTCCTTTTGGTTTCTACAGAGGACATTTAGAGCTTTTCAATGATGCCAAATGTGAAGGGGTGGGGCTTCAGTAATTTTCCTCTTCCCATAAAATGTGCATGCACTGATGGCAGCCATTGTTTCTGAGTGAGGAAGAGTTAATTCAGTAGTATGCAGTGGGTTTACAATGGTCCTCCACAGAGTACAATTTGAACTACTGGTAGTCAGGAGGATATACTTAAAAGGTGATACTTATTACAGAAGTATAATAAGCATAGGATAGCTATTGCCTCCAAGGTCCGGACAACTTTGACCAGAATTTTTGTCATTCTGTGACGAGGATGACTAAAGAGAAGTGGAAGACAATATGTTTAAAAGTGTAACAAGACAAAAGCCAAACTTCTGGACACCTTGAGTTTTGCTAACAGACATCCAGCTTGATCCAAAACTATATCCCCAAGCTTACAAAGTGTTTAGAGTTGTCACGCAGAGGACTGGACTGTCCAAAGCAGCTCCGTCTCTCTACATTAGGCAGAGATAATCAGTTCGGTTTGAGCACAGCTGTAACTAGCAGCATTATAAAGATATGAGAAAACCAGTTTTCTTTCCTGTCTAAAAAATGCCATCTGTATCGAACAAAGAAACGCAGAAACCTTCCTTCACACAACGGCGGATAATAAACGCTCTCCAAATGAAGACGGCGCCCTCCCAAACAACCCGACCGTGCTCATCTGCTCTTTTCCTTTGGCACCAATATTTCTCAGAGGCAAGAGCGAGCAACAAAACGAATGCCTTTCAGCCTGCCTACCACCGAACTGAACTGAACTCAGATGTCAGAACAAAGATTTCAAAACAGCCAAGAAACTTGTCTCTGTAATTTTCCAACAAAGTAACAACCTTGGGTAAGGTACCTGAAATAACAACTTGTGAACAGCACTTGACATTTTTCATTAGTTGAACTGCAGTGTGAAATGACCCAGCACTTTGATGCTGACAGTAGCCCTTGGTGAAATAGCTAAAATCAAGTAATAGTAGTAAAGCCTTAAACGACTAACCCAACTAAATGCATTTTTAGTATTGAAGACTTTAATAATAAGAATTATCCGCCTTGCTTCGACCTCAACACCAAACAAGAGCAGTATAATCGAAATACTATATTTTAGTTTCAACATACACTTCAGGTCATTAAATAGTTTGTACTTCAGTCCTGAGTCTTTTGGCACATTTCACCTCTCATCCACTGAGGCACACATCTGTACAAACTTTTGTCCTATACAATCGACTGCAACAAGTATAAAGTTCAGTCAACAATCCACCTGAAACTGAATGGATAGAGTTGCATGTGTTGATACTGATCATCCTCAAACATGGACAAAGTTTCACATAAATCAAACAATAAACTACAAATAAATAGGCGAATAATAAATACTGAAGGGACTTTTTATGAGGCTCAGGCTATGAAATGACTGAGGATAACCACTATTTGGCAATATGGATAGGGATTTTGTTTGATATAATCACTGGTTATTAAGAAACAAAGGGTCAACATACAGAGTGACCAGAAATGGATTTGGTTTTTGATTTAATTTAAAGGAATAAAGTCTTTAGCAGGCACCAGGGTAACGTTCACTCGTACCAAACAGGTGGATCTTAACTATGACAGCAACAGGGCTCGAGGGGGGTTAGTGAGGGGCTTTTCTCTGCAACGAATAAGAGTTTGAACAAAATGGCTTGATAAAATATTCCTATCCCATTTGGCACACACTTAAAAACAATTGTTTTGTTTGGTACAGCTCCTGCGCGTCCTGCTGAGCAATCAAAAGGTAAGCAAGTGTTCAAAAATGACTAGGATAAAAGTGCCACATTCATAGTCTGAGTGACGACTGATTGCAATCAGATCTAATAACAGTCTGTGCAGAGTGGATAGTTTGAATGAAAAGGAAGCAGCAAAAAGGTTTTTTTTTTAATGATCTGCTTTGTGACACTTTAAAATCATGCTGTCTTTGTAACCCTATCTGATTTAAATATTGCTTCAAATTTTCGAGTTAAATCTGTACTGCAGTTGATTCTACTTTACAAAAAAAGACAGCAGAAACATGCATATGTACATCGTAGCTTAATTTGTTCATTGTAAGTGGGTGCCCTGATATGCCTTTAAAACGGCCTACAAACCAAAGCCTACAAAAAAGGCTGAACATTTTTAACACCTTAGAGATGTGGCGATATCCGTAACATACATGACTCTTTAAATGTAGTTTAAAAATGTGTAATAAAAGTACTTTTGTGTGCCATTGAGATTTGAGGTGACTAAAAACAATTACATCAGTGTACACACAGAGATCAGTCTTCACCTGTTTGCCGAATACTGTGACGATTACTCTTTGTTCAAATCGTTTTGTTTTTACTGATAGACTATGCAAACAGTTGTATTTATAGTTGTCATTAGAGTTAACAAGTAACTACTATAGCTTATGTCATTCAATTGATAAATAAACTGGATTTTTTTTTCTTCTTTTTTAAATACGAGTAAATGTTCTGCAACAGCCTATGTCTGCTGCATGCTTTACTGAACAACAGCCACATAAAATTTATAGAAATTCAAAATGTAAAAATGTTCAAGAGTTCTGGAGTTCCACTCAAGTGCGCTGATGCCACTGGGTGTCTCACCATTTGGAGCTGGAAGAGACCGCTTTACAGGTTGAATGAGATTAGGTGCTACATTGAAATAAATTTACATCTTACACACCTTCTCACTGCCCGGGCAAAGTTGTAGTACAAAAACTTGAATAATTATAATAATAATAATCATCATGAAAAGATTAAATGATTCTCCTTGTCGTTTAGAGTGCGAATATTCACTAAGTTTGAGTTAATCACACAGCAAGTGCCTAATACTTCCATCCTCTTTACACAACAACCTTCGCTGAGTTGGCTCATTTCAAGCATCTATGAAAAAGTTTTTAAAAAAAATCAAACAAAGTCCAGACGACAAGATTTAGAGGCTCCAATTTCGCCTCTAAGATTTAAGAGACAAAAAATAGTGGAAAAAAAAGGTATTGTAGTTTTATCCTTGGTATCACTTTAAGTTATTGTATGACACTCTTTAAGTGTAAAGGCTTGGCACCAACACTGCCAGATCACTCGGTGTTTATCAGAGCTACCTGCTGAATGTCCTCACTGTGTTTCTGTAAGGCGGGTTTGAGAAACATGTCGAACCCTTGAACTGATGGTTGGAGTCGGATGGTAAGGCAGCACTAAGGTTTCCTGTTGGGGCTGATTTCTCCCTTTCTCCTTCTGTCTTTATATGGAGTGCAGATAAAATAGTTTGGCACCAGCTAAGGCTTATTTTTAATTTTTTCAAATTACCTTCTGCCTAGCATAATTGCCTTATTTAAAAAACTACAAAATAAAACAAACACAGATACTTTGTTCGTTCCAAAACTTGTAATTAGACTGGTCTCTCCTTTCCCCCCTTTTTTATTTAAAGTGAGAGGAGGAGAACTTTCTAGAACTTGTAGGCAGTCAGACCTGGAGTTGGCTGCTGTTGCTGGGTCAACGTGGCTGCCATGGCCACAGCTGCGGCGTTGGGAACGCTGGAGAAAGGGGCGGGCCCTGTCATGACTCGGGGCGCGCTCTGCCACTTCCTGTTTGTTGCCCGTTTGGACTCAAAGACGTCTGTGGAGTCTTCCAGGAAAGCTCGGCGGTAGGAAAGGTACTGGTGCTTCAATATCTGTGTAGCCAGATAAGTGGAATAGGACAAATGTTTTTTTCCACATGTAAGAAACACTTGCAACAATTTTAGTTTGGCAAATCTCTTAAGAGTGCCAAGTTTTTTTGAACAAAGCCAGAGGAACAGAACTGACCTTCACATTTTCATGGACAGACTGGAGCTGGGCAGCCTGGGCCACAAAGGTCTGATACAACTTCTGCATGGCCAAGGTCAGGTCTGGATATAAGAGCAAAAGGTTATCATCTGAAAAAAACTCGAAGGACTGAGGAGGAAAAGGGGAAGGAAATACGATAAGCAGAGAAAAACGTCTTGAAAAAACAATATAAGAACACAAACGTCTTCTTACCCTGAGGAGTGATGTGGGAGCCGCTGCTCTGAGTTGTGAGGTGGTTCTCTAGTTCTTCTATCTGCTGCCGATACTGCTGCAGCTGCACTTCAAACTGCTCTATGAGGCTACGGAAATAACTAGATACATGGAAAGAAAAGAATCAGGATTTAAAAAGAAAAAAAAAAGGTTCAGTTCAGGTACAAATATACATGGGGCACTTCACAGTACCACAGCCCAGGAATCTCGCACTACTCACTCTGATGGGGCAGTATTTTCATGTTGAAGTCCAGGGGGAGTCTTCTGTGTACGCAGAGCTATGTCAGCATTTTTCAGCTCCTAAAAATCAGAGAGGGGGACACATATGACTTTTAAATAAAGTCTGGTCTCCATCTATGACTTTAAAATAAGTTTCAAGTTTTACATGAACTAAACCCGATGATGTATTTTGATTAACGCAAAACAAAAACTGAACATGCAGCGTTTATGGTGAGAAAGGCACGTTTCTTTCCTCTGTATGCTGCTGTCACAATCTGCGTTACTCTGACTGGTTTCCAGTCTGTGCAAGGCACTTTCGACTGTTTCCGGTGACTTCTTAAAGCTTAACAAGTAAAGTTAGTGTTTGTTTGTTTTTTTTACCTGCGCTGTCTCCAGCTTCAGCTTGTCAATGGCCAGAGCTTGGCGCTGCAGACCGCTGGCACTGACAGAGAGCAACTGTCTGAGGCTTTTGATGTCATCTTGGACCTTAGTGATGGCTTTTGATGACATCCTGCTGATGTCCTCCTGAACCTGTTTCTGATCTTTAACACATTTTCTGCAGAAACATAGAAAGACCATTAGGAATCATGGCTTATGGATGGTAAAAGCCAATACCTGAACTTTGCAAGTTGGTTCTGCAACCCTTGTTATATAAAAAACACTCTGCACCATTCATTGTAACATTTGAAAAAAGTGAGAATATTTCATGCAAACCTGTGTTCTTAGAATTGTAACCTAATGGTCATTGCAAAGATTCTTGTGATAATGAATACCCACAACAACACTTACTGGAAATTCTCCACATCCTGACAAATGACTGGGGGCAGGTTCTCATCCTTTAAGGCTTTACTGTCCCTGAAAGAAGCAGAAACAGTTTTTTTTACTCTCACAACAAACTGCAAAATTAGAGAAAATAGCTCATGTTGATTTGTTATACACCGACAGTGAAGCGAGCCACTTCGTGCTTCTAAGTTTACATTTTCCACACTTTTGCACAATACAGCATAGACAGATCTGGATGCTAATTTCAACATTAGAGCTAAAGAAGTATGGGCATGTACACAGACAGGACTTACTGTGCACTGGTTCCAGATGATGTGTCGCTCTTGTTTTCAGAGGAAGTGCTGAAATCAACTCCACCCAGGCCAATACTGGGAGCGGGTGCTGCAGACACTGCTGTGGAAGTAGCTAGCAGGGAGCCCAACGTTAACCCGCCTCCTCCTCCAAGAGTGGTTTGACCCAAACCTGCAACACAACGGGGAAAAAATACTATTAGATAGGGACGCACCATGTTGGATTTTTGCTTAAATCTTATATGCCGACATGTTCAAACAAATAAGGCCAATTCTAACTGATACCAATAAAAACATGTAGTTCACATAACTATTCTCACGGTAGAAAACACACAACCTCCACTGTGCTGAAATCTACCTGTTGCTTTTATTGCAATTTATCTAAAAAGGGAATACTAAATATTTTTTCCCACTTGTACTTTTGAAAAGAAAATAGAGTTGTTAAAGTTTAGAGAGGTTTGAAGTTGCTTACATGCATGTGGTGCAAGTGTCAAATCATAGATAATTGTTTTTAATAACTGTAAAATAAATATACATCGAAATAATTGTGACGGTGAGTTTTGCAATTGAGCAACCCAAATTTTTGCAGAATTTTCCATCTCTGCTGATGCCAAAAATCAACTTTGTAAGACATTACCACTGACACCTGTATTATGCCAATGCTATCCATCCCCACAATCAAGCACTTTCAGGATAAGAAACTACACTCAAAGCAAGTTTTCTCACACAGTGGCGCATACACATTTACGTTGTCTGTTTGCACCTCACCTGCAGCAGCAGTGTTGGAGAACAGACTTGCACCCAGTGATGGGACTGTTGCAGCCGCTGTTGAGGCTGTTGTGCCACCAAGGCCGAGGGTGAAGCCTGCAGCTGCGGGCTGTTGTGGAGCTGTGGATGTCAGGACAGAGCCAAACGTTAAGCCTGCCCCTGCAGGTGCTGATGTGGAGGTTGTCGATGAGGTGGTGAGGGAGAAGGGTGTTGCTGATGCTGTGGGCTTGTTGAAGGCCAAGCTGAAGCCGGTGGATGCAGCTGTAGTGGCTGGGGCACCTGAGATAAAGTAGAAATAAATATTGTAAGTAGGACTGGACGATTATATGAACATGAACATGAACATTTGAACATTTGTTTATTGTGGGTCTTGCAGAACTGCAAAAACCTCAGGACTGTAAACTAGTTCACTGTATTATTTAGTATTTATCTACTTTTGTTGTACTGTTAAGTTAAAATGGTTTCTATATTTTTCTAGGTGTATCTTACTTAATTTGCTTTGTTATTTACTTTCTATGTTAATAAAATGTTGAACTAATCTCGAGTTTCTTTCGTTTTTAGTACAGATACTTTCAAAATGGCAGTTTAAAAAGAAATCGTGATAATAATCGAGATCAGACGATTTGACAAAATATACCGTGATCATTTTTTCTGTCAAATCGCCCAGGCCTAATTGTAAGTTTCAACTGACTTTACAAGATCCCATCTCAAAGTGATCTTATTTATAAACACATACCTAATGTAAGGCCTGTTGTGGGTGCAGCAGCGCCTGTAAGAGAAACATTTAATAATGAATGAGACAAAAACTGGAAGATAAATGAGATACTTAGGACTTCACTGAAGTGAAATCTTTGTTTGTGTGCATGTGAAGCTCTTACTTGAAGCAGGTGTGTTAAAGGAGAAGCCTCCAGTAGGTTTCTGAGCAAACAGAGTTCCTCCTAGGCTGAGAGATGGGGTGGTGTTGGTGGTAGCTGCAGCGGGGGTCGCAGCAGCTGTACCCAGGGCAGCCCCAAAAGAGAAACCACCACCAGTGCTGGCTGCAGGTGCACTGAGGGGGGAAACGGCAGCACAATAAGTCACATAACCAACGTACTTCAATGATCCCAGAGGTTACTAGCAGTCGATAAAGCAAAGGGAAAGCTCTGAAAATAACTTTTTGAGGGGCTACAGCAAAGAGACAAGCCTTTCAAACATTAGCATAGTGGGCTATTGGAAATGTGTCATTACCTGGTAGCGGTTCCAAACGTGAACCCTCCTCCTGCTCCAGTGTTGGTGGAACCAAGAGTTCCCGAGCCGAAGTTAAAGCCCGACATTTTTATCTTAACAGGAAACACATTTAACACAACTGTCTATGTGGGCCTCGGTTACTCATATTGAAGTCCAGCGACCAGCCAGACGTTAGCTAACAGTTAGCCAACCGTTAGCTTTGAAAGGCGCCCGCGTGAGGGCCAAATCCGCGGTCCGGTCTTTGCTCGAGACGGAAACGGACGAGAAATTTTACCCTCACAGGAAACGCAGAGTCGTTTTAACAGCAGCCCGTATTGTTTTAAAATGAATTTCTGTGATTTGAGAGTCTTAAAGATATCAAAAATTGCAGCTCCTACTCTCGCATGGTGTCACTTTTCTTATTCCCCGCCTGGTATTTCCCGAAATCTATTGCATTTCGGGTAATGTTTTTTTAAAACTCAGTTTCCCATCGTCCCTATCGCTGTTTTTGTGTCGCGTGATGTCTCTGACATGCGCAAACTGCCGACTCCGCTACTTGCGGACGTCTCTGCAAAATAGTCAAGAATTAGTAGAGTGATAACTGTGATTCCGGTTTCCCTTTCAAAGGAAAGACTCGTGTGGGTGGGGAAAAAAAGAAATATTATCTTTTTCATGGTCTCTTTGTAGGATGTCATGCAAAATCTTTAATTTTACCCACCCCCTTTCTAGTATTAATGACAGGATCGTCTTTTATTGAGCTATTTTGGTGATCTTATTTTAGCTGGTTGGCCTCTCTAGGGTCCCTGAAGGTGTAAAAATGACCTCGGCGAAGTTTATAGAGTTTCTGACTCATCACTTTCTTCCATGGTACAAAAAGAAGAACCTGCCAGAACATGACAATGCACCATGAAAGGGATACCTCTGCATCATTGTATGCTATGGACATAAAAGGAGACAAACTCATGATGTGGCCCCCATCCCCTGACCTCAACCCTAGTGAGAACCTTTGGAGCATCCTCAAGCAAAAGATCTATGAAGGTGGGAGGCAGTTCACATCCAAACAGTAGCTCCGGGAAGCTATTCTAACATCCTGCAAACAAATCCAAGCAGAAACTCTCTAAAAACTCACAAGTTCGATGGATGCAAGAATTTTGAAGTTGCTATCCAATAAGGAGTCCTATGTTAAAATGCAACTTGACCTGTTAAGATGTTTTTGATTGAAATTATGGCTATTTAGAAAATCTGAGAAAAATATCATTTGCATAATAATTTGGAACTGGGTGTATATAGCACCCTGCAAAACAGCCTCTAAAAACGATCTGGTTTAAGTTAAATTTTGAGTTTTAGTTGATCTGTTAAACAAAGCAATATGACAATGAACTTTAAAACCCATACACTGAGTCCAGTAACTTCGGTTTCATTTTGTGTCTGTAGAGATCGTGCTTTTATTTTGAAATTCCTCCACGGTATGTGATCTCGTGAGTACCGTTAACTTCACGCGGATGGAGCAGTGAAATAATTGACAATAAACACATATCGTATGCCTCCGTCAAAGTAAAGCCGTTTGTGAAGCAGGTTGAGATATCATTTTATCAATGGTACAGTTATCTTAGGGAGGCGTCGTTTGAGGCTTTGCAGTCGCTGACAGCGGTTCGGACCCGGAGAAATGGAGCATATCCGCACACCGAAGGTAGCTAACATTTCTAGCTAATTGCAAATGGATGGGATAAAGGCAGCAGCCCGGCCTGTCTTCTGTGGTTTTGGCATGCTTGGGTGTGTGAACGTTTGCGTGGTATCAATGTTTGTGAATCAATGTAACAGCGTGACGAGTCGCAGGTGTCGGCTGCAGCCCGAAGCGTCAGACGTGACAAGCATCAATGAGCTGTTTGTGTTTTTTTTTCTTCTCCGTGCAGCAGATAGAAAGCAGGGCTTCCTTTTTGTAATGCTAACGCTACTGTCTTCACGCCCTGTTATTGACCGACTTAATGCTACACTGAGCCAAAAAGTCTATAACTGTGATAGAACACTTTATACAATCTCAAAGCAAGGGTTTCAGACAATCTGACTACTTTTTTTTTTGCTATATTTAGGTGAAATGCTTATGGGATTTTTGCTGGATATACTCAAAATTAATCTCTAATTTAACTCAAAATTCATAATTTGATACCGTCTGTTAAATTTGAACTATAATAACTAATTTGATTGTTTTATTCCTGAGCAGTTTTATGTAAACATCAAAAAGAAAGAGAGAAGTTTGCTTCAGCCTTTCCTGCCTCTGTAGTAAGAACTTCAAATTACCCAACAACTAACTACAATTACATAATAACTATTGTTTCATCACTGCCTGCTCAGACTGAACTGAAAAATAATCGCCTTTCTGGTTGACCTATAACCTAAAACCTTATTCATCAGTCATAACAATTTGTGTAATTTCAATTTATTGAAGGATAGCCCCTTGAGATGGGGTCCCTGAACAAACAAACATAGAACTCAGGACACATTAACATACACAACATATAACAAATACAGACATCTTGCTCACCCTATTCTCACACACAACTTCAGCCAACATACGCCGAACATACAAAGTAGACAAAACTTATTAACAAGGAAAAATAATGTGAACATAAATGCAGAAAAGTACAGAAAATAAATCAGACACATGAATGTAGAGTGCCATTCTGAAGTGATAAAAAGAAGTAACAGAATGCAAAGAAAGAGGTAGGTTATTCCTACCTGTATTCCTACCCTATTCCTACCTGTAATATGAGATTTTATCCCAATCAGGAGGATTTATTTATTTGTCATTTTAAAACAAAACTTTCAGCATCCATACACTATTCACATTTATGCCTTTTTCCCAGCCCAGGCTTGGCAAACAGTTGCAGAAACGTCACTGCTCCCATGACAGTGGACATCCTATCTGCAGTAGGCTCCATAAACTCTTTAGCTTATACCTCTTAATGTCTCTACTTGAAATGTACATTGATAAGACAAAGAAAGAAAAGCTGAAACCCAACACAAGCATTTCATCTGATCATAGCAATGGGTTTATCTATAAGTTTTTAACTCTTGACATAAATACACACTTACAGTATCCATAGCTGGTCATTCTAGTATTTATACAGTCCGTCCTAAAATGAGGGTCATGTATGCTCATCTTTTTCCCTACAGTGCAATGCCCTTCATCATAAATATTACCCAATGCAAATCTATGTGACTCCTAAGTTTATTGTACAACTGTACAAGCTCGACGGTTGCATGGATTTTCTCTGTTGAGTTTCAGACTGACGTATGCCTCAGATGAGCAAGTCATCTGCAAGTTTAGAGTGTATCAGTAGTGCATTAAGGGACAATTCATTAGTGGCTGGGTATTTTTAAGGACATGTCTGTACTCTGTTGGCAGTTTAAACACAGTGGAGTGAATGACTCTAAAGATGTGGACTCGAGTCGGTTAGGTGGTGCACATGGAAATGGAGCCAGATTGGCTTATGATAAATGATAAGCAACCAAAAGGATATGAAAGTTATTTAACATACATAATTTACATTTTCCTGCATTAAATCTTCTGCAGGTTTTACATGCAGTCTGTCCAATGTGAAGGTACACACTTGGAGGCATTGCAGGGGAATCTGTCTCTGTCTACAGGATTTATGGTTTAGGTGTCTTGACTCAAAGTTAACCATTCAGACTTAGCACCAAATCTATTCTAGCCTAAATATTTCTTAAGATTTGGACATATGAAGGTAAGCTTTATTTACCCAGCTAAGCTAACTTGTGAAGTCATTGTCAAAGCTCCAGGACAAATGTGCATTACTCATGATGCACTGTATTATTGCTTGGGCCAGAAGTGTGTGAGTGCATGCAGACTGGGTGTGGCTGCACTGTCTGAAGACCTCATGGTTATTTACTTAAATGTAATAACAGACAAGCCATTGTTGCTTTGAGGGAATAGACACATATATTCATCTTTTGTGTGAAAATGCTATCACATATTTTTTATATGATTCTGTACCAATGATTTTCTTCATGTAAAAGACTCACTCATTAAAAAGGTCAATTGCAGCTCAAGCAGGGGACTGAATGTTGTCATTTAAGTACACTGGGGAAGCTTATGCAGCTTAGATTAGCTAAAACTGTCTTATTAAACGTTAATCCCCTTTTTTGGGGGGAGAACTCATTCATTCATTCCCAAAAACCCCGCTGACCTAACATGTTGAGAAACTGTTGTGTGGCGGAGATGTGTACCGCTGGTTGCTGGGTGACAAATTTGGGCACATTCATACTGTCAAGCAACAAGAGAGCGGAAACAAAGGAGAGGATGTCCGAGTCAACAAGAGTGCTGGTACTTTGATGAATCATGAATCTGTGCGTTTAGCAGTGCCAGCAGACTTGATTCCTTTTGGCAACAACATGTAGTGCACTCGTAACACTTCGCAGAAAGCATAAGTCTCATATTCAAGGATTCAAGAGGAATAAACACTCCAAGTTGTATTTGTGTTTTATGATTGGCATGGTTGCAATTACAGAGTCATTAGTAGTATTGTTACACAGTCTTTTGCCTGTTAATATACAGTGAAAGTCTGTGACATGGTGGTCCTGTAGTGTGAAAACGTGTGACTTGTGTAAATGTTTAACTAAAGCATCTTCGAGGACGGGTGATCTTTGTATGTAGAAGAAACATTGTAAGAATTCTGTGAGGCTGCATGTCAGCAGCATATGAGCTGGGATGAACCAGCCTAATTTAGTGCTGGAATCACTTGTTATTTTCGTCATATCGGAACTGGCAGCCGAACATTAGGCCCAGGTGGTCAGGATTAGATGGCGTGCCAGCTGGAGCGAGAGCCAAGTGCCACTTGATGATTTTCTGCCAGGTTTTATTCCTGTTAGCAAAATTCTGCCTTCTCCTTTTCCAGTAGATCCTTCAAATATTAACTGAAATGAATCTTTATCCCAACTGCGAGCCAACTGCTGAGGGAAGTTGTTACACTGGTGCATTTGTGTTTGCAGGTGGAGCAGGTGCGACTGTTGGATCGCTTCAGCAACAAATCCACAAATGGCACACTGTACCTCACGGCCACACATCTTATCTTCGTGGAGAGCAGCTCGAACAACTCGACATCTGCAGGACAGGAGGTCTGGGTAAGTCCTAACAGGTGTCATTCACACACATAATCTCTTTAGACCACCTGCAGGATATGCAGGGTTTTTGTTTTTTGTTTTAGGATTTTAAGCAATCAGAATCAAATATTTAAAACAGCTGGATGACGAGTTTATGACTTTTCTGATTACATGGAGTGCCAGCTATTTGATTCTAATAGGTCAATACTGCATGGCAACAGTCAGTTATTTCTCAACAGCACTCTGTTGCTATGGATACATCTACAATAACTGACCTTAGCTAGCTGTAACCCTTTGAATCCACCAGAAGATGGTTAATTGGAAGCTGCTTTGTTTCTGGTTAGAAAACTAGATTAAAACAAACATTTGTGTGGGGAGCCTGGACCCCAGGTTCAGACCCCCCTTTTAGGACACCAAAGATCTCAAGGGGGCGCAGGGCTTTGTCTCATGATGTTGTCACGATTAGATTTGCACATATAAGTTAAAATCCATACAAAACACTAGATAATATATAAAACTGTGTTAAAAACTCAATTTTTCACATCTTTTGCTAACAGCTGGAATTGCTAATATATTGTAAGTGGTAGAGGTGGGGAAAAAAAACCCTATGGCTTACTCTGTCACCCTGATTAATGCATTATCATCACTGAATCTCTGGTGCCAAATACCAAAAAATAATATTTGATTTGAAAATAAAGACTCCCTTTCCAACTTGACTCATCACATCACTACTTCATGACTCCTCCTGGAAGGACTAATGCCATTAATCCTGCACTCTGCTTTCTGCAAGACATTGTTATAGCTATCATGTTGTGGTGTGAGCTACCCTGCAATCCCCACCCTTTGCAAGAAGGTGGTTTCAGTAGATTTGAACCCTGCTTTGAGCCGGGGTCCTACTCATGTCACTTTACCACTCACATGGTCTAAACTGCAAAATTAATGCACACCCATATTTGAATGAAATATACAGTGAAATCATTTTTTATTGCTGTCAGACATCTTTTTTTTTTTTTTCAAACTGCAGCGAATGTTACCTTTAATCAAGTTCTTGTTCTACATGTTGGATAAGGCTCCAAAAAACGACATATGTTTGGAGGTCATGCCTGCTATTAAAATTGCAAATGAAGGCCGCCAGTGACAGTTGCACTGTTACCTTGACTCTGCAGTCGTGCAAAGTTGACATCACCCTGAGGAAGTGCGCAATCTGATGGAGTGCGTGCCCATGTTGTCGATGTGTTGTGCAAAAGGAAAGAACATGCGAGCTTATGTGTGGAAAGAGCAGAGGAGAAGTAGGGCAGAGGTCTATAAGCTTTATTTTACTGTATCAAGCTGTCATGAAAGGCCCTTGTGTGTGCAGGTGAAGTGTGAGTCTGTATGTGTGTGTTTGTTTTTCCTCCACCTGTAAGAGGATTACTGATATAACACCATGAGAAGTGGGTCATTGAATCGATGTCAGGCATCAACAATCAGTAAGGCATCCTGATTTGCGGATTGCCCCTTTTTTTTAATACTATATTGATTTTCAACTTCTGTTAGTGCAGCTCCAACTCATAATTCAGCAGATCTTTACCACACTGTAATTAAATATCAAATGACTCCAGCTTTCCTCTTGATACTTTGCACATTTGTTTGAACATTTATTTTATACGCTGTCGTAAAAATAGCACTGTAGTATATAGACAACCCCAGTGTCTGGTCTGCGTAGTAGAAAGGAAAGTGTGGTTAAAAATGCTTTGTGCAGCAAATCTGGGGCCACCTCCTCCTCCTCCCCACCATGCTTCCTGCTTAATGTGCTGAGAAAAGGGGAAATTCTGGTTCTCTCTTGTTTTGAGGCTCATTCTTGTGGAGCTTGCACTGACTTCACAAACTGTATATTCCTATGTGGGCTTTTTGTTCTTGGTGCTGTTTGTAGAAGTCTGCCTGAATGATGTGTCTGCATTTGTGGAGGCACTTTAGAATAAGTCTGTTGGTCAGAGAAAGAGAGAGAGTTTGATAAACTGTTATCGTGCCTAATGAAATATTTAAGTGCAGCTGAGTTTCTGTCTCTTAACAGCTGGTGCTGCATGCACTTGTTGTGTGTGTATGCGTGTGTATGCAATGTGTGTGTGTGACAGGGTGTTCCAATGGTCATTACCAATGCAGATTAATGTGCATCTTTATGAATTCCTGTGGTTTCAAATCCCTGTGGATTTCAAACTGCCCTCATTAGGTATGGTGATGTGCTGTTTTGTCCTTCTCGCCCTCTATACTTCACAACACTCAGGAGATTTATCATCACACAGTGTTGTGGGGCAAACTGCAGCTTTTTGCAACCCTCTTTTGCCCATAATACTTGCTCATGAAATTCTTGAACATCTTGTTTGTCATTCTTGTTCATTTCATACATTCAATACAAACCATATCACCACCTACTGCCTTGGTGTGACAACAAAACACATTAAATTAGACTTTTGGTACATCTATTGGTATCTATAAGCTTCATTGTAAAGCATCTCTATGGTGTTGCATAGTATTTATTGACATTGACTCTCTCTTATTTTTCATGTTCCTCTGCAGATCTTGCATCACCACATAGCATCTGTGGAGAAGCTCTCCTTGACCACCACAGGCTGTCCTCTGGTCATCCAGTGCCGCAACTTCCGGGTGGTTCATTTTGTGGTTCAGAGAGAAAGAGACTGCCACGACATCTACAGCTCGCTGCTGCGTCTTCTACGGCCTGGTAGGTTTCTTTGCATTTGCCATTTACATCATTATCATCATAGTCAAAATCCATAATGTTCATCACCTTGCCTTCTCCTTTCTATTTCCCACTCCTTATTTCTACTCTTGCGTCCCGTCTCTGATGTTTGTTTTCTTCTGCACAGTATCCTACGAGGAGCTCTACGCGTTCTCTTACAACCCCAAACAGAATGACCAGCAGAGAGAAGAAGGATGGCAGCTCATCGACCTGGGGGCGGAGTTTGAGAGGATGGGCGTCCCTTGCGACCAGTGGCAGCTCACTGACGTCAACAGAAATTATAAGGTAGAATTTAAGCAGCAGCTTGAAAAGCGTTAAATGTTCTTCAACTGAGATTAAAATTTTTCTTTTTTTAGACCATCTTGTTAAAATTTACAACCAATAAAATGCCAAAAAGGGTCATACATAATACATTTTTGACAAGTTTAAGATCCCTCCATACAGGAAAAACTTGCTGTGGTAACATGTAGGACGTGCATACACAGAAGATAAGAAAATCCAAAAACATCAAATCAAATAGAGAAACAACAGAAAGCACATGTTCCTGAAAGCTCTCCAGCAAATAACCCAGCAAGCCAAAGCTGTAGTTGAACTTTGTACCACCCCTGTGCACCATAAACACCACCTCCTGCAAAGAAAAAAACCTCACACAGAGCGCTCGTCACATGATTACCGAGCAGCAAAGCCAAGCCTATCATAAATTGTACGTTTTTTTACTCTTTACTGTGTTTTGTGGGAACACAGTCAAGACTTGTCTGCTCAGGTTTGAAAACACTGTGTTGTGACACTCCGTCGATGACTGAAGGTGTGGTGGTATTGAGGGAAATCCTTTAATGCAGCGTTTGACATTACCACAGATTGTTAAAACACGTGAATCCAGAAGAGGGCGCTGAAGCTTCACATTTACATCCACGTACACAGCTGTACAAGAGTGGTATTCTAGCCAAAAGGAGATATCTGTTTTCAAAGAATGAAAACACCCACTGATTGAAGTGATATCATAAACCCTATTAGTGATTTTTTTTAAATATACTGTCAGAATTCAAACATAACAGATCAAGCTAGAGTAGAATCATACTGTATGTTTTATTTTCCAGGTGTGTGAGACATATCCCCGGGATCTGTACGTTCCCATCACAGCCAGTAAGCCTATCATCGTGGGGAGCTCTAAGTTCAGGAGCAAAGGACGCTTTCCGGTACTCACATACTTCTACCAAGAAAGGAAGGTAAGCTATCATAACTTCAGAGCTCGATCGGTCTTTACTTCATGATGTTTGTCTTTTTTTTTTTTTTTGCTGGGGTTGAATAAGTAAAATAAAAACTGTATTCTCTCACAGCTAATTATTCTTTATGTCTTTATTTGCAAGCAGAGGATGCTGTTTTTTCTTGATACTATTACTGTTTAGGATTTTGGCAAGTTGTTTTGCTAAAATGCAAGACTAGACCTCTTAAGCTGGATTTGTGATGTTAATGGAGGGCTGAAGATACTTGGAATTATACCCACAGCAGGGTTTTTTTGAGATATAAAATATTTGTAGTTTTCTGAAAGCTTCACATTAAGTGTCTCATTACTTCATGGTGTGGTGGAAAAGGGAAGAGCAAATGATTAAACTTAATAATGTGCCATGGCCCTATGCAAATATTAAAGGAGTGTACGCACGAATGTATGCAAAGTTGAGTACGTGCTGTGAGGGGACTGTTCATGAAATGTCAAAAGGAGGCTATGTGTACACATGTATTTGGTTAACACCTTTAATGGAGTCCGGATCTTTTCCTCATTGGCTTGCTGATGAATTTTTGTATTTTTCAGGGATAAATTGGGAAAAATCTGCGTACTTGTCCAGATATATTGGTCATAGAATTCAAATGAATGAATGAACAGAGATTGCTTACATTTGGCTGCACTTCATATAACAAATAAAAAAAAAAAAACAGAAAAAGCACATTTTATGTCACTGTAAGTACATAAAATTGACTAACCTACACATCTTGTGACACGGAAGTTTCAAGTTTCACTAAAATCAAGCCCCAAGTCCTCCCAGCTCTTGGTTCTTTATTATGAAAGATAAAGGCTGTAGGAAACTAGACACTTATAAGTCTTGTTTCACGGTCCTTGTATTAATGAATGAACTATGTTTACATTGACAGGCGGCGGTGTGCCGATGCAGTCAGCCTCTCTCCGGCTTCAGTGCACGATGCTTAGAAGACGAGAGCTTGCTGCAGGCCATCAGCAAGGCCAACCACAACAGTCGATTCGTCTACGTCATGGATACCAGGCCAAAGGTAATGGCTTATGATGAACCACTCCCTGTGCCAGATTCCACGGAGTAACAAAGCATTGCAAAAAGCTAAAGTTTGCATGGGTGTGAAATTGTGTCGACTGTTACAGTTCGGTTGAAGTTTGAAAACTATAAATCCGATGTTTCTCTTCTACAGCTGAATGCACTTGCGAATCGTGCAGCGGGTAAAGGCTATGAGAACGAGGACAACTACTCCAACATCCGCTTTCAGTTTGTCGGCATTGAGAATATTCATGTCATGAGGACGAGCCTGCAGAAACTCCTAGAAGGTTAAACATGTTATACACGTAGAAAAAAGAGAATAAAGAAAAGCACCTCAATGATTTTGAAAATAAATGCAAGTTAGTAACTCTGGCATTACTTGCTGTGTTTCTCTCAGTGATTGGGACTCGGTCTTTGTCCATGAGTGACTACCTGGTCGGTCTGGAAAGCAGTGGCTGGCTGCGGCATATCAAGGCTGTTATAGATGCAGCTGTCTTCCTCACCAAGGTCAAATATTTGCCCTTCTCTGCTCCCTGATTGTTTATTCTCATGTGCAAATATTCCTCATGCTTAAAGACGTATGACGCTATTCTTAAAATGCAGTTTCAAGTATGCAAGAGTCACGTTAATGTCATTCAACTACTTCTCTGTCCATCATGGAAGGTTGTTAGCTGTAGGGACTGTGTTGTCTCATCTGTCTTCACTTTCTTCTCTAGGCGGTGACAGTGGAAGGAGCCAGTGTGTTGGTTCACTGTTCAGACGGATGGGACAGAACAGCCCAGGTCTGCTCCCTGGGCTCTCTGCTCATGGACCCTTACTACCGCACCATCAAGGGCTTCATGGTACCAACAACAAACACACACACTCTCTCACACACCTGATGAGTGACAAGAGTGCAATCTTTTTCTCCTTGTAAATGTGTGTTTTGCTCAAAAAACTAAATTTTCTTCACACTTGTCCTCCAGGTGCTGATCGAGAAAGACTGGATCTCCTTTGGCCACAAGTTTGCAGACAGGTGAGTTGTTTTGTTTGTGAAAATGTGAGCTGAGAACGATGCTTATTTCTTTTATCATCATTTTATCACTGTACTCATGTTTATGAATTGATACTTCCAGGTGTGATCAGCTGGACGGGGATCCAAAGGAGGTGTCTCCCATTTTCACTCAGTTCCTGGAGTGTGTCTGGCAGCTGACAGAGCAGTTCCCACAGGTGTGTGAGGGCGTCTGAGCTAAATACCAAGTGAATTGTAATCTTACAGCCCTTTCTTGTTTTACCACTGACATGATTTGATTCATTGTCATGTGTTTATTTAATGATAATCTCCCCCCCTCAGGCATTTGAGTTCAGCGAGTGGTTCCTGCTGCAGATTCACGAACACGTCCACTCATGTCAGTACGGAAACTTCCTAGGCAACAATCAGAAACAGAGAGAGGAGCTGCAGTGAGTCCAACACACACGCGCACAAACTCACACATGCGCACACAGATAACAGCTGTGGAGTGAATCTAAAATATGTGCTAAAAAATTATGACAGTGCATTAAAGCGAACACTGTTTTTATTTTCATACATAATGATCCAAGTATACCGCCACTTGTTGTTTTTGTCCTTAACCAAACACATCTCTAAAGAATCTGAATAATAAATTTGATTTATATCACATTTGTGTATAAAAAATAATAATCAGTCTCTCTATTGCACTACTTTAGAGTTTGCGTGAAATATCTGTGTACTCCTCTAAGTGTTGTTTTGTATTCCAGGCTGAGAGAGCGGACCCACTCACTGTGGGCGTTTCTAATGAGCGAAAAACAGAACTACTCGAATCCGTTCTACAGCCCTGCATACGTCGAAGCACACCCTGTGCTGGCACCATCAACTCTGCCCTATAATTTCAAGTGAGTGCATCCCTCCTCACACACCTGTTGCATGTGTATAATGGCATAAACGCCTGATTGTTCTTTAAGGAAATTCATTTGTACTCTTCTTGCGTGTCTTTGTGTTTATCAAGGTTCTGGAGGAACATGTACCACCAGTTCGATCGCTCCATGCACCCGCGGCAGTCTATTCTCAAAACCGTCCTGACTCTGAGAGAGAACAGCTGCAAGGCTGAGAGCAAACTGCAAGCACTGGAGACTGTGAGTTTTAAAACAACTGCTTGTAAAATGGAGTGAACAAACACGATGAACAGGGCATAACTACATCCTCAACTGACAAAACAGCTGACTGAGTAGAAATCTAACAATAAAAAACTCCGGGAGTTATGATTTCTAGGATTCGCTGTTGTACTAGCTTGCATGAGTTTTTGCCGGGTGTGCCTAATTAGCTGCCAAAGCCGAGAGTTGCTGCTGCTGCAATCTGGGATTGAAAACGTATTAAAATCCCAGATTGTGTCTTTATGATGTTGTTTGGAAAAACTAGCTGGTTTCCTCGTGATACTGTGTAAACTGAGGGAAGAGAAAAAGACATCCATTGTTTTGAGATAATGAGGTGATTATCTGCTTCCTCTGTGATGAGTATTGCCGTCTGGAGATGTAGAATTTGCAAAGAGCCATGTTTGTTCACATGGTGCACATCAAGTCTTACATCCAGCAGCATATCAGAACACACAATAAGTACATCCTTTCCTCTGTTGTCTCATCCCTCCTTTTTTATCCAGCGGCTTCAGCAGCTCGGCGTGACCCCGGTTGTGACATCCGACCCCCCTGCACCACCACCCACCAGAGATCAGCGCTCGAGCACCCTACCGCCACGCCCCGACTCCCTCATTCTCGGGGCACCCGTCAACCACAAAGAGGTGCAGCGGCAGGAAGAGGAGGACGACGAACAGGAGGAAGTGGGCGAGGAAGCCACAGAAAGCTTCGACACGGAGAGGACTGTAGAGGGCAGCAGCGGCACCGAGAGCAGGAAGCAGAGCTACGGAGAGCTGGATGGGACATACAGCAGCGATTTGGCCAAAGAGGAGCCAGCTGTTGTGAGCCTGGAGTTTGGAGTAGCACGCATGACCTGCTGAGACCTAACAGGGGGGATTGCGGGATACAGAGGGACAGGCGCCGCTGAGTGAGGGGGCTTACTGAGAGAGTGTGTGTGTGAGGAGGGGAAGCTGTCGCTCTGTGTGTGATATCAAGCTGATTACCCAATGGCCCTGAATGGGCCGAGTGGATGAAATTGTATGTGTGTATAGTCTCAATGTTAATGGGAGCCTCATTATTATGTCATAAACTGCACCTATAAGAAAAGGCTTGTTTTTTTATGAATGTTGAAAGCACTATAAAGAATTAATGAATAGAGTAAGAGAATAAATTCATCCCCATCAAATGTGTCCTCAAGTTTATTTTGTGTAACTGACTTTTTATATTGTAATTTTGAACACATCCTTTATTAGAAAGTCATATCGCTCTACAGAAAAGCAACAGGTTATCACATTTTCTGCACTGACAACGTTTCATATGAAGATAAAGATACAAACCAGGAAAATCTGCTTGTTTATCTACCATACTTTTCTTACTGTGGGGTATATATTTTCAGTATGCATGACCTAGAAATACGACTGATGTATTAACACTAAAACTCCCCAAAAATCACTTTTTGGCACTGGGAATATTTCATCTCAACATCAGGCCAAAATCCAGGATAATCTGAATGTCGTGTGCAGCTTGAGCTGATTTTACTTATTCAATTTGACCGATTGAAAATAAAACATTAAATCCTTTCATCATAGAAGATAATCTAGCAGTGGAGACTATGGCAGTAACTCAATCTGAGCACACATAGTGCGGGTTAGTTTTTGAAGAAGTCACATAATTCCCGTGACAATGGACAAAAGGATTCAGATGTCCCGTTTCTGAGGCGGCTCGGCTGTCAACTGTCACCCTCACTGATCATTTAATCCTATTTCAGGTCTCACATTGATCAGATAATCTGACTAAGTGATGCGCATTGATCCTAAATCCTGTTGGTTGTCTCCGTCTGCCATGTTAGAGCCTTATTGTTCAAACTGGTTGACCCAGAACCTGAATGACTGTCATAGGTAGAGTAAAACAATGAGGTTAGTGTTAGGGTCAGTGATTCTGCTTGTGAAAGCACTAACTGGACTGAAAGGATGATTAAAACTTTAAAACTAAAGTAAAACTCTTCGAAGCACTCTCAAGACACACATCAAGCATAGTGCTTATGCTTGCTTGAATATTTTCTACTTGAAGAAATTAAGGTCAGGTCCTTTATTTCACACAGAGCAGAGCATTTTTACATACCCTTATTGTAAGTGGGTTAGAATGAGCTTGGTTGATGGGGAATGTGATTCAGTTCAGGAGTAAAGATTAAGATTTGAACCAGACTGTGTATTTTGGCTCTAGTTTTATATTCTTTGATAATTCCTGACTGAAGTTGTAACTTTGCTCCGAAAGGATTTGATCTTTATAGGACCAGATTTATTCAACAAGCAAACATCTCTCTCAATCAGACTCCTGCAGCGGGACAAGTTTTCAAATTTGAAGGACGTCACGGTGAGCTCTTGATGAGGTCTCTTCAGATTCATGATAATCTCAAACATTCTCATTTCTACTGTGTTTTGCAGGGGCTTCACGAAGCAAAAGCATAACCTCACTTCACTCTGCTGTGTTTTATCCAGCTTGTGTGCTTTTAAATACTTTATGGAATTCATAACAGCAGCATTAGCAGTGAACTAGATCCTCCTTGACACAGCTCTCTTTTAAGTCCTCACTGACTGTAGAAACAAATGGAGCTCTGTGCCTACATACCCATACACATTTACACAAAGACTGACCATTGGCCTTAAACAAATCAGTGTCTGTAGACAGAACAAAAACTTGGAATAAAGATAGACTGGCAGTGCAGAGCTTCATTTTCACCCTGTTTATGCTTTATTTAAAGCTCAATACTCCTTATGTTAAAGGAAAAAAGAACATTAATGAATGCAGTGAGTATTAGGACACAGCACATTTGTTAAAATAGCGTTTCTTAGCCTCAAAGAAAGAATTGTAAGCGATCCTTTATAAGCATTGAAAACATTGATTCAGTTTCTTGTGTATTTTGTTTGTGTTTCACAACTGTTTTTTAAAAGATACAAACTTGAATCCAAAACGAACAGACGTGAACACATCACTCCTGTGCTTAGCTCCCTTCATTGGCTTCCCGTCTCTTTAAGGATTGATTTTAAACTTTTAATGTTTGTTTAGCTCTTAACGGCCTCGCCCCCATCTATTTAACTATGCTTTTAACCGTTAGGGAGCCGGATAGAGCTCTGAGGTCGTCAAATCAACTTCTGCTGGAGGTGCCCAGGTCAAAACACAAGCACTGGGGTGATTGAGCCTTTTCAGTTGCTGGTCCCAGGCTCTGGAATAAGCTCCCCACGGAAATGAGACTTATTTCCGATCTGGGCCTTTTCAAATCCCGATTGAAAACATACTTATTTATGCTGGCTTTTAATACCCAGTAGCGTGGTGACGCTTTATTTTATTGCATTGTATCTTATTTTTTTATTGCTTTTATTGTTTTTATTTATTCATTTTTACTTTCTATGTATTGTAAAGCACTTTGGTTCACTCAAAGGGTTGTTGTAAAGGGATGTATAAAAAAAGAACATTTACATTTACATTTGAATCCATGAGATTCACTGTATTAGATAAAATCCACTTAATTATTCTCACATGGGCAATATTAATGTGTGGTGGTGCCTTATTGTGATGGTTAACACTGATGTCTTACATTACATAGGTCATACGTTCAAATCCTACCACAACCTGCTCATATAAAGCTAGCGTGACCTGGTTGCTATACTACAGGGTCTGGACTGTGCTTTTAAACCAACACAATGTAATGGAAATATAGAAAGTACAGGTGTTTGCTTTGGGGAAATCAGACTTTTGTGTTTAATGTTTTCACAGTCACCAACAGTCTGGTGCTCCTGCCACACTAATGCCACTAATCTCTCTTACAGAGGAATCTTCTGGTAGCCTACTTGTGCATGTTACCTCATATTAAACTTTGAGAAGTCTCCTCTAGAGTCGAGCTGCTGAGGGCTCTCCCTGGGCTCTGAATCATTCAGATGACTACTGCACACTGTGCTGGCTGAACACTCCTGAGGACACGGCGGAAGAGCTGTACTTTGACTCAACACAAACAGATTCAGGACTCATGTAGGACATCTAATATGTATACAAATGGACAGTCCGCATACATGTGGAGACTGTACAACATGCGCGCAATCGTGCTGTGTGCAGATGATGTCTCTCTCTTCCTCTCTCACTGTAAACTCTTGCTCACTATCACCTCTGTCTAAGGTTACACTAGCTCTGATATTTCATCGAATGCATGGCTGCTCACTGTAAAATGTTCACCTTGACTTTATTGTTCAGTTTGTTACAGTTCACCTAAACCAATCTATCATCTAGAGAGTAGGTAAACAGACGGCAATATGTCAGCAGAATTTTAGAAACTGTCACATGCTGCTGCATCTATATTTGTCTTTTTGTACTTTTGTAAAACAGCCAAAGCACACTGCTTTTTATATCAGAGATGAAAGCAAGTGAAAACAGTTATTATGCTGGATATTAATGGGGATACTGATGGTTCAAAACGCTGGAGCTGGAACACCTTAATAGAACGAAGCCATCTGTGCTTCCTGTGCTGTTTTTTTTACACTACCATGAGTCAACTTGTCCTCAAAACATGAAAACACTGGCACTGATTGGATTTCATTGAATGGATAAATATAGCGGGAGAAGATAACAACTCCATTATCATCATATTATCAAAAGTCAAAGAGAAGTTGATATGGTTCATTTTCTTGACCTTAGGAGAAGGGGTCACGACGTTGTTTACAGAATGTAAAAATGTGTGTGGAGTCTGAGCTTAGACAGCTTAATAACAGTAAGTACTGCTCCCTGTTGATTACTAAAGTAACAAAAGAGCACAGGGGGTAATCCTGGGCTGTTTAATTCTTTGTACACACATGGACAAACAGGAACATTTGCACTGACACACACACACACACAGACTCACACTCAAAGCTTAGTTTAATCTGGAGCTGGGAGACCCTTACTGGTCCCTGTCTTACCTAATAATGATGATGAGAATGGGTGTGTGTGTGTGTGTGTGTGTGTGTGTGTGTGTGTGTGTGTGTGCGTGTGTGTGTGTGTGTGTGTGTGTGTGTGTGTGTGTGTGTGTGTGTGCACATCTCCCACAATAGGATGGATTGCTTGACTTAATGGACAAGTGACCACACTTGTGCCTTGTTTAAACCTTAGCAAACATATCACATGCATAATTTTAAGTGCAAATAACATAAAGAGCATGAAATATTGAAACTATCATATGACTCAAAAGCATTGCTTATGGTGCAAATTTACACACAAGGTTGATAGAGGCAATAGCTGCAGTACTCCTGTATTAATAAGGCTTAAACCTTAAGTATAATGCACTTCTTTCTACTCTCAGAAAAATCTGCATTATTTTCTAAGAGCTAGTGTAATTAATCTCTTTAATTTATTTAAATCAACCAAGGGTAGTAGACTTCTGTTTATTATTCAATAAAATTCATAATTCAGGGTTAATTTGCCTTTTGTTGAGAAGTTAAAGCCATAAAACTTGTTGCATTTATATTTACACCTTCGACTTTGAACGTAGTGTGAGCTCACAATCAAGAAGGTGAAACCACAACCTTGACAGATTTCTCTGATTCGGTTATACGTATAAATTAACAGCTTAAAAAGATGTCAAGATATCATGACATTGTCTTGTAGGATTCAGCAAATTGATACCAGTGTGTATGAAGACTAGAATGGGCTGAACAAAGAAGAGAGCGTGACTTTTAGGACAGCATTGTGTTAATAATTTGAACCATGGGACTCACATGATCAAAAAAATTGAAGTTGCATGACAAAAATAAATCAATAGATCTCCATGATGGAAAACAGTCAATGGCTGCTGAGTCGCTTTGAGCTGCTGTGAAGCTAAATCAAATATCGTTTGTCTTTGTCTGTCTGATTATTTGCTTTAAGGACTCTGAGTTTGCTTTAAATCAGCCCACAGACAATAAACTCATATCTGAGGTGATGTTTTTGTTGCCTGCATCCTTTAAAAACACCACATTCATTCATTCACTCACCCATGCCTTTCATGCGGCACTTTTGCTGTACACACATACACAGCCTTGTGCTTTTAACATCACATCGATATTTGCATCCAGAGGCACTTCCCTGGCAGACTACATGAAGTTTGAAACCATATCCAGCAGATAAATAGAGGCAAATAGCAGTGGATAAATATATGCTGCATGCAGGCGCGCTTAGACAAGCCGCCACATTATTAGAATACACAGAGAGACAGAATGAGAGGCAGTGAGAGAAAATGTCCTCTAACTGTTCCACTTAGCGCTGAGCTTCACTCAGGGGGCTGAAACTAGAACCCTATTTAGACAGATGGGGGTGTGTGAGTGTGTGTGAAGATAATGGGTGTGCACTTCTATTACTGGTTGTGTGCATGTGTCTGTCTTCTTGTTCACAGCAAGTAGGGAGAAATTAATGATGTGGTTGCAAGGACAGCACATGCAGCACTTTACAGAGACTAAATTGACTGGAACAATTCAGATAGATACACGAAAAGCTTTTCAGAAGCGTCTTTTATTTGTCACAAATGAGGTTTAAATTTACCTTGACGTATTTAATTATTTTTAAGTGTTAGAGAGGCACACTTTACACTTTTGATAAAAGACTTAACCCACAATTTTAAATGTTGCATATCAGTAGGAACGGTTCAGCAGCATAACAGTGTTTCTTTCCACCCTTAGAGCTCAGCGAAATCCTTTGTCTCTCCATGTGATAACTGAGCACACTCATCAGTCCCAACTCACAGACAGCCATCTGCTGCTCAGAGTCAGATTCAAGTCCATCCAGCAGCCAGCTGACCTGTTAGCATGGCTGCAGGGCATCCGCCTAAAAGAGTATCTGATGTACCTGAAAACCTGCACACTGGGTGAGAGACTGACTGGCAAGCAGACAGATTATCTTTCCTATTAGGGGAGAGCAGTAGGAAGATATGCCCCGGTGCTTCACTCTGGGGAAGCCCTCAAATGTGTTTGTGTGGGTGTGAGCACGTCTGTGGGTGTGTGTGTTGCCTTGGGCGGATGAATGCAGACATTGTTTGATAGCAGTGGGCTGGAAGAGGAGAGCCTGTGCCAACAGCAACTGAGGAGGAGGAGGAGGAGGAGGAGGAGAGAAAAGGAACGGGGGGAGGAGGGGGAGGAGGGGAGAGGACATTTGTAAGTGGGTCGGGGTATCAGGGAGATTCATGGGGGGTTGGGTTGAATAGAAAAGGCAGGAAAAAGAGCACCCACGGTGGATCACACTCAGCAGGAAAACGGGGAACTCTGGGTGAATCCACTGCAGGGGGGGATGACATATATTCAGGAAGTGATGCCTCAGAGCATTAGCTTAATAAAAGACACCGGGAGAATCTATTTAAGATCTCTCCCTTTTAGTCTTGCTTTTAACTTCGTGCACATTTTCTATTTCGCTGATGGGTGTGTGTATTTTTGCATGAGTGTGTGTATGCATATTTGAGATGTACTGTGTCCTGTGTCGCCTAGGCAACTCACTGTTATTTAATAACTTTGTGGATGTTGCAGTAGTGGCCTGTATAATGACAGTTGAAAATTAGATTTGGGTTACTCGTGGTGTCATTCATGAGACGGTAATATTTGTTTACATATGTACAATATTGATACCAAAATCATGGCAACACTTGACCTTTATCAAATATTTATTCCAATAATGGGAATATTTTATCCTTCGCTATTCTGGCAATTAAATTTTATAAGACTGTATCAACCAAGAAAAACTGCTTTATTTACTTGTTAGCAAGTAGAGAAAAAACCATCAGTAATCCCAAATGTATCGGCCATTAAGAGCAGATTATTATCAGTTTTCAGAAAGGCGAGGCTAAAATAGCCTCAAGGTGAAAAGTTAAGGTTATAAACTGCTTTCCCCAGAATAGTTAATTATTCTAAATACCCACTGAAACTCTGCTGGTTGCCAAGGTAATGGCCAACAGCAAAACCAGTCTGAAAGAAACGTTGTGGTGCTGTGTGAGTGGGTACAAACTCTCTCTCTCTCTCATACACACACACACACACACACACACACACACACAAACACACATGCACGAATGCATGCACGCACACACACTTAGTCTGATAGGATGACAGTTGGAAGTGTTGTCATGGCTTGCAGACACCTGGTCCTGTGACTCCATATGGAAGAGAGCGTGGACCATATGGCATATATGTCTGGACCTAACTGCAATGGAGGCATGTCTGAGTTGTGTGTTTTTATGTGCAAGTGTGTGTGTCACAGTGCTGAATCTTTTTTTTTTTTATATCCATATCCCAGATTAGGCCTACTCACATCTCCAGGCCTTGTACATAAATCCTGTAATTCAGGCGTCTGACACAGTCACATATTGATGCAAAAATGAATACTTGTCCAGCCATTCAGACAAGAATAGATAAAGTCAGTCCTACTATTACATCTCTAACATAAAGCTATTGTTATCACAAAATTTCACATTTATTTATTCACAAAACAGTTAAAAATGTACCAAAAAAATAAATAAAATTGTATATTTTTGTCAAATTTGTTCTGTTAAGCAGTCAGCTTTTGCTCCACATTTTCCCAGCCTTTATTGCTCATGACCCAGAAGCTTACTATTAACATCAAATCCCAACAAATATGCAGAAGTCTTTATAATTAGCTATTACAGTGTGTCTCATGACTTACTGCAAAGCTCACACAAACACATTGCACTCATGTCTAATCCGTAATAATTCATCAGTGGGTGTGTATTATTAGTTATTTGCCAAAGTGTGAGACATACACAGTTATCTTACACACATAGAGATGCAATCAGTGCATGTAGGGTTTATAAATTGATAACAATTTTAAAGGAAAGAGCAAACAGTGCATTGGTGACAGGGAAGGTAGATGAAGAGAGGAGGAAGAGGATGGGGGAGGGAGTGGAGGATAGACACTGGCGCCCCGCCAACGTTGACGAAAGCTGCTTATCCCTCCCAGTTGCCATGGATACAGTAAGGAGCAGCACACAGCATGAGTGTGTGAGGGAGAGAGAGAGACAGAGAGAGGAAGGGAGAGAGAGAGAGGCAGAGAGAAAACCAGCAGGCAGGCGTTGGAGCAAGCCAGAGTGGGAGTGAAAGAGCACCAGACAGCAGGGTGAAGAGAGAGAGCGAGCGAGAGAGGGGCTGAGTGCATGTGTGGTCAGAGAGAGAGGGAGAGAGAGGACAGAAGGGCAGTTAGAGAGCTTGAGGGAGACGATAGAGTGAGACCGATAGAGTGCTAGATAATGGAGGTGCAGTCGGAGTGTGTGGAGCCGCCTGTGGCCCCTCAGTGTGACCCCCAGCCCACGGGGAAGATCAACAAAGCTGCCTTCAAACTCTTTGGGAAGCGTCGCACGGGCTCTGGAATGGCCAGCTTCTTCTCCTTCAGGAACAAAGGGGCAACAAACAGCAACGGGAATTCTGACAATGGGAACTCTTTGAATGGACACAGCTCGGCAGCATCGGTGGAGCTTGTTAGGAGCAAAACCCACGATGGTCTAACGAGTTCGAACAGCGACAGCGATGGACAGAGAGGGGAGGGGCAGCCTAGCCTGGAGGCAGGACCGGTGAGATCTTTGAGCAAATCGTTGAGTTTCTTCTCTCTACTCCGACGTGGGAGTTTTCGATCAAGTGAGAATGGAGGGGCGGGGCTTGTCCGTAGAGGGAGGGGCTTGAAAGGCTTTTTCAGCAGCATGCGATGGAGACGCAAGGAAAAAACAAATGAGGGAGAGGGTGAGGAAGCAGATGGAAAGAAAGAGAAGGATGTGGAATCTGAGAAGGTAAAGGACATCACGCTCACCCTTGAACCCCCTCCGCATCATCACCAAGAGGATTGTGGGAATGCAGAGGCAGAGCCTACCCTAGAGACTCCTACTACGAGCGTTACCATGACTCCCACACACTGTGTTGCCATGTCAGGGACATCTGGTGAGCCAGACTCCCCTCTTCCTTACACACCCACTGACTCTCCTCTCCGCCCCCAAATCCAAAAAGCCAAAGCATCGATTTCCAGCCTCACCCCATCTCTAGCTACACCCCCTTTGGATCGCTGCAGCACGGGTGACCCACCCTCAGAACCCTCTGTTGAACGACTCTGCTCGCTTCTTTTCACAGATGTCACTTCCCTGAAAAGCTTTGATTCACTTACAGGGTGTGGGGACATTATTGCCGATGCAGACGAGGAGGGGCCAACGGGGAATGGAGGAAGTGGCACCAGCAGTAGTAGTAGTGGTGGAGGAGGGGGGAGTGTGAGTGCAAGTGTTGGGAGAGCTGTTGGTATCACCGGTATGACATCTCGGGGTTCCCCTACCAAAAGCCCTCTACCTTCACAACTGACTCAGCCCATGTTCTCAGTTTGCCCAAGCTCAGTGCCTTCCTCCCTCCCAGCCCGGGCCCGTGCACCACCTCCACCACCACAACAACACACAGCAGGGAGTGGTGTGGTAGCTTACATGGGTGGAGGTGAAGAAATGGCAAGTCCAGAAGGAGTTGATGATGCAGACATGCAGGGGCTCTGGCACATGCTGCCTTCAACAGGTGATAACTCCCCTGCTCTGCCCCGGTCGCACCAACCTCCAGCTTCAACCCCGACTTCCACTTACCCCCCTCGTGCCACCTCCAACCTAGCCAGCAGCCACCTGCCCTCTGCCTCCAGGAGCGTGGACCGAAAGCTACCCCAGGTGAAGACACTAGGGCTCAGTAAGATTCCAGTTGTAGGTGGAGCAGGTAACAGGGCAGCTAAACCCCCGATCTCTCACGCGCATGGCCGCCATCCCACATCTCCTGGAGAGAAAGAGCCTCTTAGTGATGAGGGCTACTGGGACACACCCTCAGCAACTCCAACAGCAACACCCGATGAGAGCGGGGTGCAGCGGAACCAGAAGATGGCATTATCACGTGACAGTTGCTCTGGAGACCACTTGTATGACCTCTATAATGATCCTGAAGAGGAGGGGGAGGATGAAGAGCAAGAAAGAGATGAAAGTCTTAACAGTACTCCGTCTCCGTCGACTGAATACAAACTGAGCCCCACCAACCAAACAACTCCTCCATCCTCCTCCTCTACTTCCTCCTTCAGGTCAATGAAAGGGAGCACCAGCCTTCCACGAGAATCCAAGATCCCAGTGAGCTCAAGACAGACACCGCCTCCCCATTCAACAAGCCAGTCTGCCCTCTCCTCAGTTCTAGAGGCCGAATCCCCTCCACCAAAGACAGAACTACCACAACCGGCCCGCACCAGAATCCCCGTTTCCAAGGTTCCAGTGCGTCGATCTGGAGGCAAACCTGGAGGCCAAAATAGGGGACCTGCCCACAAGAAGTAGTTCCTGTCAAACAGGTGGTTATCTTCTACTAACTTATGAACTTGAGTCTACATCCCTACCGTGATGTTTATGCAGGGCCAAAAGTTTTCCCAGACCAAGAAATATGTGGAGCTGTAGAGTTAACAGCCTTTAAATTCCTCTCAAATCTTTAAAGCTCTCATTCTTCGAGTTTTTTGGCTTGCAACAGGCTAGAATAGAATAAGCAGTTTTGTTCACTTGAAAAAGTCACAAGAAGACTCCAAAAAGCTGGGTTATCACTTCACAGCTCTCACTGGAACTTTGGAAGTTGACTCTCGACAATCCATGGACATTTTTTTGCCTTGTAACTTTCCTGGAAAATCTCCCCCTGACCTGCTGAGAGTTTGACAGATCACATCTGCACACTGCAAAAAAGAGATAAAAATAAAAAAGCAGAGCACCTTTTTATACTTTACATTTTTCTTATGGAATTCCACATGGCGGAGCTTAATTTTCCCAAAAGGACCTAGTTTTAGCAAAGTTTTTTTTTCCCCTGAGTTTGTCATCTTGTCTAATCTGTAACAAATTACCTCCTAATCCTTTAATCTTAGAGCCAAAGTATTAAAAAAAATCTTAGTTTTCAGTTCACAGCATTTAGTAGTCTTAAAAACACCACAGTATCCACGGGCTGGAATAACCAACATTTTTCTTGTCTGGCTGTTGTATGTGTTTTTATTTTTGCTTTTTGAAGATGATCTGTCTGTCCGCACACTGATTATCAAACTGACAAAAGAACTCTGAAACAATAAAAAACAACTTTATTTCTAAACTACTTTGCATCTATTAAGATGACAAACTGGACCCATTATTTTGTGTTTTTTGGAGGGGACACTTTCTCCGTTTTGACTGACTAACTTTATCGTGGATGGACTTTATGTTTGGCTTCCGCCTGTTGCATTTGGATCTCAGTAACAATCTACAGCATCACATGAAATACATCCATGGGATGTCAATCTCTGGGATTTACAACTGTTGATTTACCAATGGAAACCTACAAAACTATCGCAATACTCAACCTGGAGGGATCCCTTGCACTGATGCTACCATACACACCACAAACAACTCCCAACATACAAAATGCAACACAATCACAATGCACAAACAGTTTCTCTCCCTCTCTGCATGCAGTGCCACATGGGCACAAAGGTCAGGGAACATCATGTAATGCTGAATGATTTAAAAACACACTGTTCAACCTTTGGCACTGTCTTTGTAGCTACACTGGATGTTTTTCTTCTCTGAAGACACATGCACAACCAACCGATTTTTTCTAGTTAATAATTAGTTTTTATGGGGTCCTCTTTCTTAAGTCATACAGCACAGATCTTAAACTGTGATCACACACCAGCTTCTTTTAAACTCTGCTTTCTGTTCTTCTTCACTAACATGCTGTATAGGCTGATGTGCATCGATGACAAGGGGGCTGTCAGCCAGTTTCAGAGAGCCAGAATATGCCTGGAGGTGTTTTTTAAATAGGCTGTGACCCAAAAAAAGACAAGAAATTCAGACAGGGTTTGAGACAAGAAAAAGACTTTGAGTCATACAATTAACTGGATCACCCTTTTTCTTTTGGCAGTGCACTGATAAACACAGCTGTGTGTGAATCTGAATGTAGCTCCACATTACTGCAGATCATCTGTCAGCATATATTTGCCCGTGTTGGTCTGTTTCCTTTCTTTGTCCCTCTTTTGTGGGGGCAAGACAAACGGGGGAGTTTGCTGTTTTCTAAGCCCCCATGCTTTGAAAAATGAGGACAAATTACTGAACAGTGTTGCAGCCTCGCAAAGCACCACTTGTTTTAAGAATAAGTGGGTGTAGTGCAGTCTTAAAAGGCCTTTGTGAGTAAATCAGAAGGACAAGTTACAGGGAGCACAGTGTTCCTTACCCTTCAGTTAGGCAGAGTGCTTTTCAAAGGGCATGACATTCGATATGATGTAAGTTTTCTCTAAAGCTAACCACAAGATGACACATGAGGGTCATTCAAGCCTAAGATAGCTTCCCATTTTATTAAGAATGTGATGAGTGAGCCGCAACACTGCCCCAGGTTCAGATACTGTTTAAGCCCCCTGACAGTGTAGTGAAGGACAGGGTACAGGGAAACCTGATCCCAGGTCTGCCCTGTTTGTCTTAGCAGATAGAAAGGGCAGGCTAAGGGAGACCTGGGGAGCAAATTTGTTGGTATTTTCTGTTTACACTGTGCTTTTTTTAGTTTATTATGCAAACATTTTCACTCTCCTTTTCTTATCGTGTGAATTGATGAGAGGGTGATTAAATGGTAATAATGGTGACACAAGGTAACTTTTTGGCTGATAGAAATCAGAATCTTTAAAGTATTTTCTTCAAACAAAAACTTTCCTTTTCAAACAGTGAGGACATTAGCGGGTTGTTGACCTAACCAGCTGCTTAAAGAACTATTAAAAGGGCAAGGAGTGGTTATTTTGCATTTGTTTCACATGCTACAGAACCTGCTTGTCCACTTCATCAAAGTACAGCCAGGCCAACATAAGAGTTCAACCATTTTAAAACTACCTAACTACCTACCAAAATGCCACCTGGCTCAGTCCTTTGTTTCTGTTTCTTTTCTCCTCTCTTCTTTGCCATGGGCCTTTATTTTATCATCCGCTGCAATGGAAAGCACATTTATTTTTCCTTTGTTTTATGATTGTCTGTTCACAGTGTGAATTCTTTCCACTTTTCATATTTAATGAATAAAACTGTGTTTGCGCTGATAGATGAGCCCCCGACTCTTTGTAACCACATTTACACAGGATCCATACACAACATCAGCAGAGCCTGGATGTACTTGTATAATTAGAGACAGAGCCCCTCTCTCCCTTTTTTCTGTTTTCCCCCTCATCCCAGAGGCTCAAATCCCCAAGGAGAAGGGAGTGGGAGAGGGTGCCAAACAGAGATGCTTTTGTTGACATGCAATGTGTGGTATTTTTGTTGTGGCTTTGCACTCTGAGAGAGGTCTGCTAGGCTTGGGAGTAATAGGTTATCAATATATTTCATTGATTGGTCAGTCAAATGCCTGATGGACGTGTTATTGCCTACTGTTGGTCTCTTGTGGGAAACAACATGTGGAGACGGGAACGGAAAGCCAATATGACGACAAAGGCAGACATCTGATGCACGTGGATGTGCAGCCTTTGTGTGATTGTGTCCTGAATATAGATGAAAAGGAGGTTCCCATTGTTTTGAGGGAAACACATGTTGCTACAAAAAGCTTATATGCTGTGTTGTGGGTGAGCTTGAATATCTTGTAGATGGAGGATTTGGTGCAGTGCGAATCCCCTTTGTAATGGTGCAGCAAACCCCCCTCCCTCTCTATCCAGCTCTTTTTCTGCACACTGAGGTTTATGTAAAAGCCTTACGTAAGACCATAACACTCTCTCCTACCAGCCCACCAGATCAAAGCTAGTGATGCTTACAGGGAGGATAGCGCGTGCTGGTGCATGCACACGCATGTGGTGGCTGATCTCATCATTAATCTGCCGCTGCTGTTCCGGCGGTGGACACTCATCCTCATTGTGAGCCATGTTTGTGAGCGTGTGTGCATGTTTGTTTCGCTGCATAATCTGGGAAGGGGGATTTAGTTTGTGACGAACAAAAAAGTTCTTACACAAACCACTGGAGAGAATAAGGGGGGAGTGTGATAGAGATGCCAACAGAGAGTCAAACAACAAGATTCATTGTGTGTGAGTCAGGACTCGTATAAAATCTGTGTTTTTAAGTGAAGCTTTTGGCTTGCTTATAACTTTGATGAACAGGTGGTACAAGAAGCAGTGATGAGGAAATGATTTGCTGTAGCTTAATTTCATATTAACACAGGCAGAGAGGATTTAATTATGTCAGCAGACTATCAACAATGCTAGCAAGCTACATCAACCACCATTACATTTTTGCTAACGAAAGCTAACATTGGATATCAGCCACTGGAGTGGTTTGTAGCTTGTAAATTTCCCTTTTTAAAGTGCTTGGAAAGTTTAATTGTCTTACTTTATCACATCAGGGTAGTAAATTTGATGAGAACATATAGACGGGTTTCTTGTGCACAGACAATACCGGGTGTGCGCAGAACAGGGGGCAAAAGCCTGGTTCGGAGTGAATTGATATCAATAATGCCGTATTGTTTACATGTTCTCCCTGATACAATTGCAATATTAGGATATCAGGATATTATAATATGTTTGTTTTATCAATTCATGCAGTTTACAGCACAACAGCTCCTTGTCATTTTCTTTCTCCATTTACTCCGCTAGCCAACAAATAAGAAATGTCCCGTTTTCTGCCCCAAGGCTGCGCGCATACGTGCAATGATGTTGCACAGAAACCCATCTATACAGTTTTCTAAACAGACTGAGTAAACTGTTTCTTTTTCTTATCCCAAACTAAGCCGTTACCCCATTACAAGACATACCATGCAGATGCATTTTGTTTTCAGATGGCTAATCGACACAGCTGGACTGGCTTACTTAAATTGTAGCTAACATATTGACTGTAAATGAACCCTATGGTGAGTCGTATTTTGCTCAAGAACTAAACAATTGAAATAAGATGTATCCACATATGCCAAAAAATGCCTGTAATTCAATATAGAATAAATAATCATGGAAAAACTCACTAATAATACATTTTTAGTTTCATTAGGAGAAGGGTAACAGCCGTACTCCTTTACATGATCATAGTAGGTAGGGTTTCCTTGCACTTACAAACATGTATGTGTGTGTGCATTTGTGATGGAGCCGTCAGCACCATTCAGAAGCTGTACCCCACATTCTGCATGGCAGCCTCTCCACAGTGGTTCCCATAGTAACTCCACTAGGTCAGCCAATGAAAAGAGGGGGCTGGGCAGGAAGGAGGATGGGAGAGTGTTTTGGGGGGTTGGTGGTGGTGGTTCCTGACACACTGTGTGAGATGACGTGATTGGAGTTCGACTGGTTTGGTGAGACATTTGAATGAATTAAATCACAAACACACCATCCTCGGGCCTATATATGTTACTCACAGACAAAGTTTTTAAAGATTGAAATAAACCCGTAGAAAAAGAGTGTAGCGGTGGTAGTCTTTGTATTCCCCAAACAGTGCTATGACCTTTAGTGCACATCTTTCAAGCACATCTCTTTTGCATTCAAAGTTTCTGTACCTTTGCTCTTAACATCTACAACCTCCACCACCACGATTTTTAATCTCTGCGCATCCCCCTCTGTTAGTCTTTTTGTGTCATTTTCTACTCTGCATCCTTTTTCTCGCTCTCTTTCAGTCGCGTGATGCTGCAGTTCCTTCTGAGGCGATGTTGTGTAACCCTGCCACCTGTCAATAATTTATCAACAGAGAAGCTTCTCTGTGAATGAGCACCAATAAACACAGGAGCATGCAGCACAATGTGATGCTAGGTGAGGCTTTAACTCCACTGAAGCCAAATATGTAAACCAATGTTTAAAGAGTTTGCAAGACAAACAATTAATTAGTGCCATATTTTGACTTTGAGAAACCTGAATTGAATATTTAAGAAAGTTGAATTCCTTTATTTTGTGTTCTTATCCCCATAAAAACTGATGTATGCAAGTGTAGAAACACTATATCTACCACTATTATATTACAATTTTAATTGGATCACAGATAAACTGATTGTAATTTAAAGATTTGTTTCAACATAGCTGTCTACACTTTTGAATGCTGATCTATCTAGAACCTCAGAAATGGGGAAAACATCTGGATTTAACCATGGTACTACACTCCAGCATTAAATTAGAAAGATAAAACAATCTTTTTAGGAAATTAACTTTCTTTAGAGGGGGAAATTTAGGGGAATTCACCATGTTGAATCCAGTTTATCATTAACATAGGTGGCCCTCCCGTGAAAACTGTGTCATGTTGCCTCCTATTTAAAATGCACACAACACTAAATTATTCATTAGGAAGTAGGTCAAGCTTAAGCATACATCACAGCATGTATGGCTGTGTTTGTGGGTGTGTGTATCCTGAGCAGAGGGGTATACAATACTCTTTCCAAAGTGTTTTCTGCTTGACTGTGCTGTCAGGTCATATTTCTCTGGCCCCCGAGGACTGCAGCTGTACCTGCTACTAGAAAAGTGACTTGCATGAAGCAGGAAGTGAAACTATACTTTTGAGCATAGCCTCTCAAGTGATACAATTTTCCAATGTTTTCAGTCTATTCAAATAATGATGGTATTTTTTTATTTCATTACAAGTATTGAATTCAAATTCCTATTTTATTACAAGGCTGTGTTCAATATTAAAGCCCAATTGATCAGAGTTATTAGTACCAAAAACAACACCGCTGACAACCTGATCACACATGTCATATCACATCAACTTATCTGAGGGGGTCCAGCTTATTTCACCACTGTTTCCACTTTCCATGAGCGATCAAAATCAATTAGAAAACCATAGAAAAACATTTGATTTTGTCCCAGGCTGGTCATGAGGGTCAGGACATAATGACAGTTACCTGGCACTGATTTGAGAGCAACATGTCCTGCAATCAAGGCAATGGCAGCACAGCTCGGGAGAGCATCTCTGAGTTGCTAATTGCTAAAAAGAAACTAAAGTTTAGAGTTTAGAAACTAAACCCAAACTTTACTCAGCTCTAAATCGACTTAACCTAAAAAAAAAAAAATCTTATGGTCCACTTTCCCCCATGTTTGAATTTTTGTACCGTGTCACCTTAAGAGTGCTGCTGTTATGTCTGACCCTAATCTCTTCTTCAGTTCTCTTCCAATTTGGTTACTTAAAATATTCCCAGTCAAAAATAACAGAAAAGCCTTGCATGATCCTTGCAGAAACTACAGCCCGCTAGAGAGCCAAACCGCAAAAGACAGCAGAGACATTCCCATGAAAAGCAAAATTGTTTTATTCAATATTACAAGCACAATTTAACAGAAATGTCAAACTTTATAAAAGTTTGACATTCATTCATAGCCTGCCTACTAACTGTATTGGACATACATTTCATCACAGTTCTTCTCAATTGCTTAAAATGAATTTAAATCAATTTCACAGCTAATTGAATTTATGTACAACCACCACCTTTATGCTTAAAATGTGCAAAACTGCATTACATCAACTCCACAAAAGTTTTAAATCTTTCGAAGGAAAAAGGTTCTCCAAGCCAAGGTCCTTAAAACTTTAAGGACTGGTGTCACGATGCATTACCCTAATATATATTCTCACAAGATTTCATACAAACAATTTTCAGCTTCATTTAAAGGTTCCTCACTGTCAGACGCCACCCTCTGTGTCTGCTTAATTCACATTGAGCACCATAAATAACAGTAAAGTAAAGTCCCCCAAAAAAAGTTACCTTCAAATTGCAGTGCAAATGTCTTAATACAAAAAATATGTAAATATGCAAGCTTGTAACTATGGAGATGAGACACAAAATTAAAAATCCTCTTATTTCTTTATTGGCCAAAACAAATGTCTGACCCATAACTGTATAAAATCATAGACAGAACAACGGTTACCCAAAATTAAACCCTTGATGACTTTATAAAACCCGCTGAACTCCACAAAAGAAGATAACACAAGGCTCAGACTAGAAAACTCAGTGCATCACACTTTTTCATTAGTTCTAGTATTTTAATAGTGAGTAAAAAATCAAGACAGCTGATAAAAGTAGACTGAAATCCTCTTCTTCATATATGATAAGTTTATGGTCGATGGGGCTCCCCATCCACGGCCAACCTTGGAATAAAGGAGCCAGTTAGTTACAGGAACAAGTATGTAGAAGCTGATAAATTAATAAATCAATTTGACTCTTAAAGAGTCACTGGGTCACTTTACACCTGCTCTTTCCCATTTAGGAACAGCTGCAGGTCCAATTATCGATTTATTTGTTTTTTTTCTGCACACTCCTTCATTTTTAACCACTATTGGGCTCCCAATTGTTCTCAAGGCTTGTATAATATTGGTGTTTTTGTTCTTGCATCTCTATTACTCAGTGCTAATCACATCATGCTGTTTTTACACATGCTTCATCTTTTCTGACACGTCAAACCGTTAAAATTGCCATGATTGGTCATGTGACCATATGTCCTCGTCACGACTGTGAATGCCCGTTTGTGCTTGGCAAACATGTTGTTTGCTCACAATAAAGTCGGAGTTTAACCATTCACTGTGCTGCAGTGAGTTCCTCATTCTTTGTGTAAAGTTTACTTTGGATAGTGCCATGTAAGTTCATGTTAGGATAAAGAATCCAACACCTGGGCAAACACCAGACACACACTGTCTTGAGAGTCACAGTGAAAATAGTTGGTAAAAATCAACAGCACCTTTTCATCATGATGCTGGAGCCTGAATATCCACTGTGATAAATGTGAACATTTTTTCCTTCACAATCTCCTTGACTGTGTATTTGAGGGAATTAATCCCATCTTTGTCCATAGTCCAATGGGTCATGTGCAGTTTGTCTGGGTTCTTTGGATTAGGCTCATTGTGCAAGTCTCTCTTGTGTCGTACCATCTTGTACCTTCCTATCACTAAGTCAGGCCGCGAAACACTCATTCCACGAAAGGTAACTCTTTTGTAGATATCATCGTCCTCACCACCCCAGCCCCAATAGGTGTTTGGGAAGCCGTTTATCCTCAAGAACTGTTCCCTCGAAAATGATGAAACACCACCAAAGTAAGTATTATAAGGTAATCTGTAGCCAAATTTGTCCATAGCCACGGCCAGGTGTCTTGGATTGCTAAAACATCTGTAGAGGTTACGATCATCGGTAGGAACAAGATCTACATCTGAGAAGACAAAGCAATCATAGTCATATTCCTTCAGTGCTTCAAAATATCCTGCATTCATCAGTTTGGCCCTGTTGAACACTCCTTCTCCAAACTGGTTGATGACGTAGATGCCGTAGTCCACCTGCTGCCGTAGCAGTATAGGATGGAGGTAGTACAGCCAATGCTTCAGGTGCTCATGACGATTTCTGAATGGGATGATGACCGCCACCTGAAAAGACAAGTTTGGTTAGAAATTCACTTGGCATTTTCCCAACTTCCTGTTAGCGGGGACTTAAGTTGGCTTTCAAAAATTTCCATAGGTGAGTTTTCCTGCTAGCACCTTGTGGTACCATCTGAAAGGGATTAGCTTACTGTGAGTGTACTTTCTGCTTTATGCTGTTTTTTGTGCCATCAAAAAGAGGGAACCATGTGATTATGACACACATATTAAAAGTTACAGGTTTTCCAATTTGTGTTACAAAAATCAACGTCACTAATAAGAATTAAAATGTGTGCTGGATTGCTTCTCTCTCATTACCATGATGATGCAGGTCTTATTCCAGATCACTTACAACACTTCTACTTGTTTTGCTAAAACACCGGCTGTAACATTTAAATTTACTGTTACTTCTGCTACTCGCTATTCATTATCATTTTTTTAATATGAACATGTTGAAAATAAAGGATGGACAACATACCCCTCCACCCAATTCCTATAATTCCCGAATTACTCTAATACTCAGGAAAAGTTGATACGGAAGATGCAGCTTTTGTGTTCAGTGAAAGAATGCATTGAAAGTCAGATCTCCAAATAAGATTTGTTGCAGGCAAATTTACGCAGGATTCAACTCGCCCTTTAAGAGTAGGAATCAGTGAACTACAAAAAACTGTTCAAAGCCTACAGGACACTGTTCAATTCATGACTTCATTGCTCTTTGATTACTTTGTCATTTCATTCACTTACCTTTTGGGCGACACACTCTGTTGGTTTGAACCTTCCTCCATTCTGAAGAGGTTCAGCAACTTCCTCTCTCACTTTGTCCAAACTCCGATGATAATCAAACTCCACACGGAGAGGACCCACAAGTTTTGGAGGGATGTCAGGGCAGGGTCCAATGGTTGCGTACGCAGGGGCATCACTTGTCATGGATGCTACATCCTGGATAGAGATTTTGCTTTTCTCAGAGTTTTCACTCCCAGGCAAGTTCTCCCCCTTCACTTCTCCAACCGGCTGTTCCTCTTCCTTTATCAGACTGGAAAAGATGCTGGTTTTGTATACCTTGTAGTACTGTTTGGTTAAAAAAGTTAAAGTGCTGGTTTGGTTGTGGAAAAGGAGCACGGCAAAACACACCATGCTGACAAAAGCAAAAAGAGCCAAAAATCTGAAGAGTTTTCTGATCATTTTCTCAACTATTGAAGTTAGATACTGCTCGTCCTGTAGCTCTCATACAGAAATGCCACCTGTGTTATTCTTTACAAGTCAAAGGTGTTCCTGACCGAGAGCTGCCAGACAGGTTTTGTTTTCCTTGTGCAGCTTCCTTGTTCACATCAGCCACTCGGGTAGGGCCTCACATCTGCTGTAAATAATTCAAAAAGCCTTTCTTTTGATAAAATCAATGGTTTCTGTTTAGTGAGCAAGAATTTAGAGACATGATGGTTGAAACTGCAATCCTGACATTCTTAGATTTTAACTTTTTCCTACTTGATTTACTACTTCTTTTAAAATAATGATAATTTCATTCAGAAAAAAAAAAGTAGTTAGCAAATAATTACCCATGAATGAACTAAAAAAACATTTACACCCACACTTCTGCTTTTATACACAGGACAAACTGAAAATACATCATATTTTCAGTCTAATAGGGCCCTCTCCTGGTGTGTGCTTGTAATTGCTGAATTTTCTTAGACTCCTTTTAAAATCTTTTAAAAACAGATGCTTATCTGCAAAGCCTCAAGAGCCCTCAAATAAAAAGCCTCAAACCCTGAAAACCATCATCAGCCAGAAGAAGGCACACCAAGTGAAGGGTGTTTATTACACATCCACGTTTATTTCCTTTATAGGAGGAATGATGTGGCCACAAAAGAACACGCTGATCCATTTCTGCAGTGTATTTACACTGAGTAAAGTCTGAGTGTTAAGTAAATTCCATTACTCAGTGTCTGCAGACGAGCAGTACACACAAGTGAGTTAACATTAATAAGATCGTGATGAATGATACAGTGTTTGTTGTCTCTTGAGGTTTTGATGCGTCTGCAAAGTCAAACAAACCCAAAAAATGACGCTCCAGTCTGAGCTTTTTCATATGTCACAATGAGGGATAATAGTTGAAATGTTATTGACTGAAACACTAAAAACTGGAACAGGGACCCCAGCGTGAAAAAATTCAGGGAGCCAATGAAATCATAAAACTGTTTGTGCAGAATGACAAAGTTTTATGTTCCAAGAGTCTCAAAAACTCACCCAGAAAATCCTACCCTGAATCCTTACAAAGAAAGGGGTTCTACCCATGAATTATGCATTAAGGTCCCTAACACTGTTTTCACTGATGATAACCCCCTGTAGACTCTATATGGGTTCACATATTGTTTGTTGCAGCCATCCATTTTTACATTATACAGTTTATGCACAGCAATATTTGAATTAAAAGAAACTTTCAAACAATTCATAATGAAAATTATTATGCAAAACAATCTTTAAAAAACAATAAATCCACAAACAAGGAGGTGAAAGGTGTGATTGGAGACACATAAATAGTAGCCAACCCTGTTCTCCAGCCTCTGACAAAGAGCCAACACTGGCCCAACTTGTTTATCCATGAACTACATTCTTACAAGAAGCAAACAAACTCAAATGAACTCTACCCACTGATATCAAAATCTCCATCTAGACTAAAGGTTGCTGAAATGAGATATCAGATTTTACTTGACTTCTTTTTCTACTTCGTGTATCTTATTTTTCTCACATCAAACATCTACCTTGGACTGGTTTGATTTGTGAACCGGATTGAGTTGACACAGTGAGTTAAGAGGACCGAAGGGACGTATAAAATCTCTTAAGCAAGGCATGGTCCCTACAGCAAAGTAATCCCCATGAATATGACCATAACTGAGGCGGCAGGCACACAGAACATACTCCTGATCAGTTCTATTAAAAAAAGAAACATGGATACACAATTTAATTCTTAGACTAACATTGTAAACTTAATACCTTCAAAACAAGAGAATTTAGAGAAAATTTGATAGAGCAAAAGCATATTTTTCTATGAAAAAAAAATATTTGAGCAGATTCTCACAAAATAAAAAAGGATCGAAATAACCGTACATATTTTGATGCCTATTTGACCAAGAGGCATCTTTTTCCATGTGATTTAACTGAGTAGCAGTAGTTCAGTGAGGTTAACCTGAATCAAGCAGAGACAAATAATAAAACTTAAATAACTGTCCTATTTTTACTCATAAATTACAAGAGTGAAGAAACAAAATCTAAATTTGCTTATAATAAATAGAGTACAAGGCCCCAAAGGTCAAAATATGCTGACTAAATAAGTCAGAATAAAATTTACAGTTGAAATCTGTGCACTTTCAATTATAAACAACTACCACCAGGGAAGCGACAGTGACATCAGGGACAGTGATTTGTCTATACAAGTCAGATTTTAAGAAAGAAATTCAACCAGCTATTGTCAAAATACCATCAAAACTTCTGATTTAATGCTTTGAGTATGTTGTGTGTAAAGTACCAGTAACCTTAGATTCACCTCTCAAGACTAAAATAATATTTTTGCACCTATTCTGCAACATCGTCTTGACAATATTCAAACTACAGTGCAGCAGATTTTGCCAAACCTGACAAACAGTGACCTCTAGTGGCAGCTACTGTCATTGAAGCTAAACATGAGTTTACACTTGCAGTATAAACCAACCAATAATTTTAGTTTGGAAGCCTATACATTTTCTCTAAAGTGCAATTTGTCACTACAACATGTAACTACAACCCTGCTGATTTCCATGCCACGCGCGTAAACTCCTCAAACTGGGTGGTTTAAGTGTGAATAGGACTTTATTTTCCTCATGGCCCATCATTTTAGCTGCAAGTGTTGCAAGCTGACGTGCAAAACACTGGTTGTTCGTATTGAAATTGGTGGCTTGGGTAGACTTTGCTGAGAAAGAGGTTGTCTCCAAAGAAAGCTCTGTTCCATTCAGTGCGAGTCGCCTGTTTGGTAAAAATGACTGCAAAAACCAAGGCAGTCTGGCTTCATCTTTGTTACTACTTTTGACTGACTGTTCATTTTCCACTCAAGTTACTGCCAACAAACAGAAAAAAAAAAAGAAGTTTCAGGGTTTTTTTGCGGCAGTTTGTAAACAAAGAAGACACTTGAGATTTCTGCCTTATTATGAAGAGTGTGCTTTTAAATGTCTACCTTGTTCTTGTTACCCACGATATGAGTGATGATGATGATGATGATGATGATGATGAGATTATCAGCCTTATACTCCTAAAAATACTACTTATCAGTTTCATGTGATGCACTGCAAGATAAACTGGTATACAGCTATCTTTAACCAAACCCTTCTGACACTTCTAATGCCCAGGCCCAAACCGAAATTGTCATTCAAGTGCAACCATTGGAATAACTGCACAAACATGTTACAGACCAATACAATATGTGTGTTTTCTATTTCTATTACATTTCTATTTTTGCCTAAACAATACTTTCTGCTAGTGTTGTATGATTAGCATCACAAATACGGGTTGTCTAAAGCAACTAATTTCCTAAATGTTAAAACCAAAATCAAAATCAGACTCACTGACTTGTCTTTTTGTCTAAATGACATAGAGCACTAAGAAAACAGTAAACATTTAGCTCATTTCATTGAGTATGGCTTGACATGATATCACAAAATTTGGGGGTGTGTTGAATTTGTTTGCTAATGGTTGCTAACACTTTCAGAGCTATCATTTCCATTTTCTAGACCAAATCATACAAGGCAATATGCAGAGCCGGCCCAAGGCATAAGCGAACTAAGCAACTGCTTAGGGCCCTGCGGCCAATAGGGGGCCCCCAAGAGCAATCAAACAAAACAAAAATCTTAAATATTTATTATTTTTTGCATGTATAAGTGATGGTTCCGGTTTGATCAAATATATATTATTGTAAATGTAAAATAAAATAAAGTAAACACATTTTATGTGCACCAAGCATCCAAAGCGCAGGTAGTTGTGGGGCAAAACAATGATGCAAAAAAGGACATATCCTTCAGGAGCAGAGAAAAAAAAGAGGAAGAAGAGGAAAAACGCCAAGATAAAGGTATGTTTGCATGTCATGGAATGTTAATCAAAGAGATTTGTGAAGGTGTGTAAATGATTGACAATAAATATTATTGGCAGAAATAGAGGGCCCCAAAATCAAATTTTGCTTAGGGCCCCATTGAGGCTTGGGCCGGCTCTGGCAATATGCCATCTGTCACTCAAGCTTGTTCAAATCCAGGTAGTAGACCGTTGTAGCATTCTGGCAGTCGCCATTTACCAGAGTGACAGCACGAGCACTTACTGGTGAGTGTGACGTTGTTGATATATTTAACACACTCTCCTACTCTCAGGACCACCACCCCGTGTGCAAGTGTACTACTCATTTTGGTGTGATATAAAGGGCTTTCTCTTTCCAGATCTGATTCTCTGACAAAGACCTGATTCTGAATCAAATACAAGTGTGTTGCAAGGTCTACTAGACCATTTTAATGACATTTTGAGTCTTTGTCGTAGAGTGACTTGGAGATTGTCTTTGATGTACGCCTATAATCATGCTGATCAAAAGAGCACCTCCATCCAAAACTCTTTTGAGAGTAGGAAGCAAAGTTTTAAAAATAATTCCTATCATGTCTCATCAGAAAACATCATGTCCTTTTTCAAATCAGAGTCTGCACGGTCTCATAATGTATTCCCATGTTGCAGAATCTTTCCAACAGCTAATTATAGTTGCACAGGCTATGGCTCTAAGTATTGTTACTGACACGGCTGTGGGAGGCAGGGTCATAACTAAATGTTCCCACATTCCCAAACATTTTTCCCAGGACTTTGATAGAGATGTTCCTCTGTCCCCTCCTTGCCTGTTAAAACCATTTTCTATGGTTCATCATGCTCACCATGGGGATTCCTTTTTTGTTTTCCTTACTGTAGTTATTTGATATACATGGTTAATATGTTGGTGTTGGCACTCCGCAGAATTTGGGTTCTCAGGGCTGAAAAATAGCCTGCAGTGCCAACCAAGATGTTAAATGTTGACTTAAATCATAATCCTGTCTGAAAGTGTTCTTACAGAAAACATAAAAGCTGAACTTATTGACTCCTTCAGAACTGAAATAACATGTGAGCGCTTTCCCAGTTTTAAACCATTTGTGGTTTGTGATAGATATTTTAATAGACAGCAAAATGATAAGAAACTGTGTTATAGTTTCAGGATTAGCCAGTCAGTGTTTGTACAAAATGGAAAACCAATCACTGTAAATCAAAAGAGTGTGGAAAACTTTGTGCAAACTCAGATGTTTAAGAGCTAAATCAACTGAACCTCAAGTTTAAATATAAAATATTATTTGACTTTTTGGGAAATTTGTTTTTAATAACATGCTGTAGCTTCTAATTCGGGCTACAAAAGAACTGCCTTGAGAGAACATGAGTTCGGTTTTTAAAAAGACCACAAGAGGGTGCTCATGTATTATAGAATGTACGGTAACAGAAATAGCAGAAACTCAAAGGAGAGTCTAACGTTACAGAGACTCTGGATTTCAACATATGGGTCCCTGAAACATAAATACCCATATATAAACATATAAACATGCATGTCATTTGCATATTTGTGCTTATGAATGGCCTTACATGTGTCAAGAGAGAGCTTTTCTTCATTCTTTACCACACATTTTTGGATTAATGCACTGCTGTTAGTAGGGTAACATGATCTGGAGGCCTCTGTAGCTGGAATCCAGCTCAGCTTTGAACATTTAATAGAATTCTTATTCTCTTTTACACCTCCGCCAGCTTTCCCTTTTGCTTATTTTTGCTGCTCCCACCAACTCAAGTTTCAGTGAAAGAGCGATGCTTACAGAGACACATTTGTAACCAGAGAAGTAGGCTTTTTGGATGGATACCCAACCCAAACTGAGCCAGCAGGCTCGGCAAACCCCTGCTGATTTAGCCGCACAAGCCTTTTCTGGCACCGTGGGATCCCTTTGGAGGTGGACTGGCCTGCTTGTTTTGGACCAAGGTTATACTTAGCATGCATACTTGTGGTTTCAAAGAGGTATTTATGCAAAATTTGCGTAATTTCTTAATTAAATAGACGGCTAGAATGTTAAAACAAGTGCTTCCCCTCACTCTGTGCAGAGGGATTCAAGGAAATTTATGGTGGTGGTGGGGAAACCTTTCCCAGTTTGTGTTGTTTCTTGAGTGTGACTGACTGAATCTGTACAATAGTGTGATAGTTATCTAAACCCAGCACACTGAAGACATGCAGATACTATTCAATTCTAAAAATACGGGTACTTTCTCATGTTCAAATTTCAGATGAATCATACTTAATCCATTTGCCGCAGCAATTATTGTAAATGGTGCTAGCCTCTTTAGTCAGGCATAGAAGAGGTGGAAAGGGTGCCAAAAATAACTTACATGACACATGTAAGAGAAGGGAATGTATTTCACATGTAGCATCACATGTCAGTATCATATATTGGGTATTTTTGGCTTAGTTAAGATCCCGAGAGAATATTCAAAGCTTGCATAAGGTGGGACAACGTATACCCCCTTAATCCAAAAATTTGAATATATTACACACATGCATTGAGTGCAGTCATAGACAGATGTGAACACACATTCAGAAACATGCACATTTATAGTCAACCACAGCTCTTTAAAAAGCCCCAGTTACAGCCTGGAGAACTCAGCAGTTTAGTGAAACATGATGCCCAGACCATAAAAGTGTGTTTGTGTTTGTGTGTAAGTGTGTATGTGAGTGTGAATGTGTGGTTTTGAGTGGTCTCAGCTGTGTGGGACACACTGCAATGACAGCCAATCAGAGCTAATTCAGAATCAGAGTGGTTTTGACGGCTCCATGGTCTACCCGGGGGAACAAAGCAGTTTGTGTGTGCATGTGTGTGTGTGTATATGGGTGTGTGAGTGCGTCTGTGTGCACACCTCTCAACCTTACTCTGCACTCCACCTGCTTCTCATTGCACAAATGGTCTGACAAAATCTGTTTTCTGATATATTCACTGTTTCTCTTTCAAAGCTTTTAGTCTGTAGGTGAAAAATGATGGAAATATATGAAAGTTATTTGATTTTGAAATAGAATCAGTCAAATAAATCACTCACAGGGTCTCCTTGTCTCTTTTTAAAAGCTCAAATGTATGTTGACATCTACAGTAAAAATGATTTTGTCTGAATCAGCAGTACACTTGAGAAAAAAAAAACGGGGGTCAAAATTGACCTCAATTGAGTCAACGTGGCACCAATGCAAACCATACAAGACAATGGGATCTATTAGCTCAGAATAAATTTAAAAGTTTTTGTACATAGAGCTCCAGAGAAGATTCAAAGGCCACTCAATGTCTCAACTCAACATCTCTAAATGCATCAAAGCAACTCTGTTCCAGTATCTGTTGAATTTCCACACAGGCACACCTCGTTCTACTTCACGTGGTGAATTTGGTGACAAACCACTGAACAGAGCCAAGCTGCATGAATTTTTGCGTCGAGTGGCGTAATGTCACCCAACAGCGATGGAAAAAAACTGATAGAGAGCGTGCCAGAAACACTAAAATCAGAGTTACTCCAACAAACATTCACTTCTGAGCTCCTTCTTAGTCACATCAGCAATATTCTGTTGTTTTTAAATTGACATGGACTTTTTATTTATTCTTCACTTTTTTGGCAGTCAAAAAAATCTGCATCTTTTTATTGTCTCTCTCTTTTTTTTTTTTTTGCTAATAAAAGACCCAAATGAGAATGACATACTTTTCAAGTGGGCACAAATGGTGAACACATTGAAAAGAGATTAATTTACTCAAACACAAACCTATGAAAGTTGGAACCACATAAAAAAGATAATTCACCAGTGGTTGCTTTTTATTTTCTTTCTACAGCTGCGTTTGTCTGAAGGCTTGAGCACCCCAACTGAATTTGGTGTGTATTGTAACAATATGTGAAACAAAGCAATCCAAGGAATGCTGACAGGAAATGCTTTTTTCTTCACTATTAATGGAAGAGATTAACCGGGAGTTATTTTTTTGACTGCTTAAATACAGTATTTTTTATTTAAATATGCAACTCAGGCATGTGCGGACAAGATCAGAAAAAAGACATGACGTATCTACACGGGTCATCAGAACCAACACAAATGAAAGTTCTTCCCAGTAGCTTTAGGGTCACTTTCACACCTGGATCAGAGGGTGTTTGTCTTCTTTGCTCGGGTTGACAGGGCATATATGAACACAACAGTCGCAGTCGCATTGATTTTTTTATTGCATGTAAACGTATTGAATGATAGGGTAATGCTACTAACTGTCTCAACACAATCCAGCATCATAGGACCAGACCAAATTGTAGTAGATATAACTATTGGTAAAGGAAGCTGTGACATAGCTTTAGCATGCTTTACAACATATCAGTTTAGTATCTGAAGAGGAAAAAAGCAAATGATCGAAGTCTGAAAGTACCCGTGTTGGTTGTTTCTGCTCCTTTTATTTCCTTGAGTATGGCCGAGCAGCTGAACTGCTCCTTAAACTGGGAGTTAATATAATCACTGGACAGTGTTGTCATTCTGCATTGTCAGTGTTACATGGTCTTTAAGGGGAAAATCTAAATAAAGTCTATTCTAGTAACCGTAAACAAGTCATGGCTCATTACTGGTCTCAAAGGCTGTTTTTATCTCCAATGGTGGTCTAACCAGTGCAGAGCTAGCCTAACAGAAATATTTGGACATGGATATTTAACTTTACTCCTCATAACAACACAAACAACCACTTGAAACACAAAAAGGAAAAGTCACGTACCGCAACTGGGGGAATGACCTCTGTTATTAGAGGGTGAGTCAGATAAATGCATGAGGTTTAGATTTTAGAGTTGAATACAAATCAAGCCAGAGTGATGGAAGCACTTTAGGGTTGGACTTGGTTTTACAGTTTTTGCTTCATGCCTATAGTGCATTTTTTCCAGGACCAAAACGACTAAAATACAAGGTGAGATGTCTCGCTCATGAGCAGTATTCTGCCACTGCTCTGTCCTGAATTTCATAGCCTGTCAGGTATTTGATCAAGCAGTTTTGCGTCCACAGGTCGTCCACTCTTGCCCTAAAGCTATGATCATTTGAAGTGCTTAGAAAAAAAGCTGAGTTGGTGAGTTCAGTTCGTCAAAAGTTGAGCAAACATCAGCCTCAAGTCTCATGGCTATGGGCAGAAAAACCTTCAAGCACCGTCCTCTGCTCCCCTTATCATCCATCGCTCTCTTCGTGACGTGAATCCGCCCTTCTCCCAATAGGCCCTGGGGCGATGTGTCAGTGCGGAGGGGAGAATGAAGGAGAAGCGCTCAATTAGAGCCCATTGACGTATAGTCGTCACGCCTAACTATCTTCTTCTCCCATCACTGATAGGTAGCTCTACAGATGTTCACTCAGTCACACAGTTGTTACCTCAGACACCCACACACTAACTGTCTCACTCACTCATTTCCCTTTTCATTAACGCAGGTCCTTTCTATCTGAGGTAGATAGAACTCAATGCTCATTTATTCTCCTGCCACTATTTTAAACAGGGTTGTCCTGATGCTGTAGTGCTGAATAAGGATACCTGTTAATTAGCAATGCCAGTCAGTGAGAATTTGCAGATTTGACACTCAACACAACTTAAAAGAAACCACAAGACTTGGACTTTAATCTTGTCAGACATCAGATCTTAGGTTTAATTTCACGCTTATCCACAACTAGAGTTTTAACATACCACAAAGCTTGGCAAGAATTTCAATGAGCATGCTTTTTTAAAATTTCAGAATTAGTTAATAAGTTAGTATTACATCTAGAATTTAAAAGCATTTTAGTTTAATGCTTTATTTAGTGTAATAAATATGAACAAAATAATATAAAGACAGACTCTGTGTTCATAAATTGCTAATGGTGAAATGCTAGGCATTTAAGCTGGTTCTACTTTGCTCAGTTCATTTGTCAAGGTATCTTTGACAAGCATTTCCAACAGAATGCTGAACTTTGGACTGTAAAAAAGGATTATAAATATATTTTAAAAAAAGAAAATCCATAATTCATCTTGGAAAGGATGTTGGACTTTTGGCAGTTGACAAAGAGAAATTAATAGTTTACAATTGCAGTTTTCAGGAAAAAAAAATGTTTTGTTTTTTTTTTAAAATTTTTTATTTATGACCCCCGGAAGTCAAAGTTCATACGGGGTCAGATGGAGGTCGCGGACTAACGTCGCCATCACCGCGGAGGACGTGAGCAAACATTTCGACATGCCGTGATGCTGAAAAACCGAACAAAAGTACAGCAAGAAAGAAATGGGAGGAAAACGGACCACTGGAGGATTATTCTTAAACTAACCCAACACCAAAACCGGAGTTGAAACGCTTTGGGCAATGCTGTGCAGGAGGACCAAGAGAAGAAAGTTCAAGAAGTGTAGGAACGATATCCTTCCGCGAGAAGAATCAGCAACGCCAAACAGGTAAGGGACTAGAAAAATTATTTATTTATTTTACCCTTTACACCGTGTGCTTTTTCTAGTACAAAGTTGCGTTTCAAGCTAACTGTTAATTCCTCTTTATGCTCTTCTTACTATTGCCTTCCTTGTGAATGGAAACACACTTTCATATATTATTCCCTATTTTGTTGATTCACTGTTTCTGCTGTGATTTTACATTGAAAGAAATGCTGGTTTGGTTTGCTTGTTGGGCTGTTGATGCACTTGTATGACTACTCTTTTGCTGTGTATTGTGCTGTATACTGTACTGCAGTAGCGCTTTTCTTTTGATTGTAGTGTCTGATTTGATTTGGTGGCATGGCTTTCTTATTTGCTGTGTGACTGTTCAGTCACCATTGCCTCTCTGTTGACCAGTGGTGTAGTTTTACCCTCTAAAGATCTAGTTTGAGTTTCTTTTCTCTCAAGTGCAAGTCTAATGTGATGGAGATATGCCTGAAAACTGCTCACCTACCTGATTCTGCATGTCTGTGAAGTTCTGCATGAACAAATGTCATATCTTGTGCATTTTTGGACAGCTGGAATGCTTTTAGGGTCACCTTCAAAATGGTATGAATGCTGCTTTAACATGCAAACAGACACCTTGAGAATGAATATGCTGCAGTTTCTGATGGCAGGCTCAGACATTTGAAATGGTTAATGCTTGTGAATGTGACCTCCAGAGGTAAAACTTGACAAAATGGGTGTAGAAAATAGTAAAGTTGTCTTTTCTTTCTATTCCTGAATGCAAAATATAAAACTGGAACAATAATTCCTTACAGAGGTTGATTGACTATTTCCGTGCTGAATTATTGCTGATAATTAATGAGGAATATTCAGATCTGTGACAATCTGTGAATCATCTCAAAGCGAAAGAAGAAATGTAGTCTCCAGGTCTCTTACCTCCTTTACTTCTCCTCCTCCTCCTTCTCTCTCCCCCTGCTTGTTCTTCTTCTCCTTTTTCCCTACCTCCTTCCTCTTGACATGTGTCACATTTTGGGCTTCTGCTCTCGAGGGATAAATGCCAGATTACATGGTGTAGTATTTTTATCCGTAGTACATTAACCGGCAGAGCTTACAGCATCAAAGCTTGGAGGAGATCATAACACACACACACACATAGACACACGCACACACACTTTCAGACACACTCTCATATCAGAACTGAAAAGGAGAGTGTAAAGTGCCTCCTTTGATCTCTCCTTCCCTCCTATTCCTAATTACCCCAGTGACACACATACATGCTAACACACACAATGCACAGATGCCCTAGCATGTACGAACACATGCACACAAAGGAATGTACTTATGCCGAGTCTCTATGATATCTAAATCCACTAAAAAATGGTGAATTAGATGTCAAATGTTCATCTGCAAAAAGCTGAACAAAGCAGCTTGTGTGGTGCATGATTACAGATTATTCTCTCTGAAATTACAGAAAAATTAAAACCACCTTCACTGAATATGCAGAAAATCTTGATCCGATAAAGCTGTAAGATACCCAAAGCTTCCACGTCTCTGAAGGATTATTTAATCCTCAGAAAAACAGTCAAGTATAGAGTTCAACTCTGTCAGCAAATTTTCACACTTTTATTACAGCTGCATTGAACCTCTGTTTTCTAACACAATACATTTTTGTGAAGTTCATTCTCAGCAATCAGTCCTCATCATTAATAATACCGTCCATATCATGTTTGTTTTTTAATAAAGGGAAAAGGAAATACCACAAAATCAACAGGTATTCAAAGCCTCGTACTTTGACTTTTTGTGTAATTCTGAGTAAAAAGTACCTAAATGCGAAAACCTTGGCTGTTGCTTGCATTCCATGTAGACAATGATTTGATAATATCCTTACCCTGCCCAAAATACATCATTACTGTGATATCCACTAAATTATCTAGCATCAGTCATACCCAAAACACAGGCCAAGTATTACTCACTCGTACATGCTTTTGTGCTAATTTACAGTTTTATTTTGCGTCTTTGGCATTATAGATACTGACAACACAGCGAATGTAGAGGTTATTACTCCACCTCTCTAAATCCAATCCCACCAGACCCATAGTGTATGCCCGAGCACTGTCTACAGGCTCATGCATGCACGTGTCAGCATACACATACAACCAGACAGTATGTTCTGGATGTAATGATTCAGTCTGGACCACCACAGCAGACCACTTTCTATTCTTTAATTCCAGTCGCCACCCATTGGTCCCAGTGACTCATGGCTGTCCAGCACAGATAATACATAGATAGTTATGGAAAAAGCACATCAGCCAAATAACTGGATAAATTCTGGTTGGATACACCATAAAATTCAAAACAAAATAAAACAAAGAAAGTGTAATGTCAAACAAAACCCTCTTGACGAATAACTCATGCTCATGGAGAGATGAAGAACGGTCCTTCTAGTGGTTGTAATTGCTCACCAGCTATTAGGTGTCTCGCTCAAATAGTACGAGTTTCTCACTTGCTCGCGGGTTTCGAACAGGACGTGATATGGCCCATTCAGCCTGCTCAGAATGCCGCCTTGTTGACCTCCGGGTGCCGTCAAACGATCAATGAGGGGATGTTTTGCTCCGTTTCCACCACTGTTGCTAGATGTGTGAAGAGCCTCACCCTACTTCATGAGGTCATCTTGGAGAGCATTGAGTGGAGGGGAGAGGGGAGAGGCTGTGTGAATGAATATGTGCCGCGATGAAGATTGAAACTGTGTGTTTGCTTGTGGCTGGGGTCAGTTGCTTGTAGGGGAGATGTAGCATTAGAGAGTTGTTGAGAGGCTGAATAGGCACTACAGTACGTGCTGTTTAGGAGGAATCAATAAGGATCCATTCATAGAGTGCCTGACTCCAGGCTGGTGTGCCTCATCTAATAACAGCTGGAGATTAGGGGTACTTCGTGTATTTGTGTGTGTCTGTATGAGTGTATCTCTCTGTACAGGTGCCCAAGTGTGTTCTTGATCAGTTTATGACCCTTTGATTTTCCAGTTTGACCTTTCCCCCCGAAGGTTAAGTCCTGTATGAGTTGAGGACTGGCTCTAATAAATCATGAAGACTGGATTCTAAATGCTGGAGTGATTTATCGTTCTTGTAATTATCAGAAAGACCATACTGAATGACAGAAATTCAAATTATCTGTAATGCACCACAGTGGAGTAATAATGATTAGTCTATGAGTACTAGAGTCGGAGAAAAAATCTATTCAGCAGAGTATCATGATATTTTGTCTGGTGATGTATCGTATCGCCTCACAGACCAAGTATCGATATTTTCAAATTAATTGTTAATGTGAAGTCAAATCTATGATAATAGAAACATAAAATCAAGTGTTTGTCCATTGAGGTTGGCAGAGGTAACATTGTAGAGTAGGAGAAAGTGAGTGCAACAAATACATATATAAGGTTTGTAGGATGTGCTACAAAAAAATAAAATACAGTGTAAATAAGACAAACATAAAGAAAAAAAATTTGCTAAACGAGCTAAACAGTTGAAAAAATTGTGCAAATCGCAACATATTGTATTGCATTACTCACTGTATTGCAAAATGTTAAAAATTGCAATAATATCATCAAGTATCATAATAATATTGTATCGTGGCCAAAGTATCGTGATAATATCGTATTGTGGCCAAAGTATCGTGATAATATTGTATCCTGGCCCAAGTATTGTGATAATATCGTATCGTGGGGTCACTGGTGAAACAAAAGTAGACCATTCAGCATGTCCAGAAAAAAAAAAGGAAAAACACTCAGAGCACAGAGCAAAATACTTAAATTGATCAACAATGATAAAACATTTAAATGAACTGTGTCTTAGTTTCATCAACAGCTTCATTTCTCACATATTTTACTTAAATAAATTTGAAACACCAAGCACATCAGTGTATAGCTGTTTCTCCGTGTATGTTCCTCTTCTTAGGTTAAATGAGAGTCGTCTGAGGTTGAGCAGAGTGTTAATGTCTGTCTCTGTTTCTCTGTGTGGGGTACACACTCCCACCAGGGGTGGCTGACAAGAGATGACTGTGGCTTACCACACACTGAGAGTGATGCTCTTCTTTAATCTCCCTCCCTCATTCTCTCTGTGTTTCTCTCTGCCTCGTCTTAATTTCTCTCAACCCTGACATGTAAAAGCCTCCCCTCTCATCTTAACCATGGAGCTAATCCTTCAGCAGGTTTTTGGGGGTGTCGTGCTGTTTTGGGGCTCTTCTTCTGACACAACGGTTTAGTTTCATAATGGCTTGCATACACCTGTCCAATTAGGCTGATTGTGATGCACCTCAAACCACTAGACGGATCCTGCGGTGTGGCACAGAGATTTAGCCAAACACACTAAATACTTCTGCTCTAGAGGGATGTTTTTGCAGTTTTGTGACAAATGTCTTTCTGTAAATCCAGGTTTAGTGAAGGGTAATTGAGGGGGCTTCAGGAGTCAGTTGTCAGAAAAGGACAAAAGTCTTTCCACTTAATTTAAGTTCCACCGTCAGTTTACTCTGTGTCACAAAAGTGGAGAGAATTATAGGTTGTCTAAGGTTTAGGGGAGGGTTTAAAAAAATTACAGAGCTAGATTCAAACACATCTGCTCGAGATGGTGCACTGGCTTAAAGGTTTTTGTGTTTTATTTAAAAGTATAGCGAAAGGAGAGGTGACAGGATAAGAGGAGACTCACATTTCAGACAGTGTATTTAGTAACAGATAAATTCACATATTAGGTTTTTGACAGACAAGTCAAACCTCTTCTTTTTCTAGTCAAACTGGCGCCAATATTGAGGCTTTGCACTTCTTACCACAACTAAAGATATCATGTCTGCTGTCACAGTCTCTTAACTTCTCTACGGTAAAAGTTGTAGAAGTACAAAGGGTCACTTTGTGTTGACACCATGTGCAGAGGCACAGGAATGGTTTGTTTAGCACCCAAAGCTAGACTCATCCTGATTCGGCCCTCTATAGGCAGTATTATAAGGCTTTTTTCAGATCCAGTCCTGCCCAGAAATCAGTGTTGCTATATATATTACTCTGCATATATTGTTTATGTCATGAAATGTCATCTTTTTATTCATTATTACTGGTAGTCATTTTCTTTCAGTTGAAAACAAACCAGAAAAGTGTTTGTTGAAAACGCTTTTCTGGTCCGGGTTTGATCAGTCGGTCAACCTGTTGGCATGAAGAGCAGTAGCCTACAGTATACCTACAATATATAGTATACTGTAGATATCTACAGTATATATACTTTTTATAACTTCCTTAAAAACCTTTACAAATCGGTCAATTAATCAGTAATCAGATTTTTTTCCCCCCTAATAATCAGTATCAGCATCCGCCCCAAAAAATCCATATCAGTCGGGCCCTAGTCTGTGGAAAACTCATTGAGATCTAAATCTTGCTGCAGTATGAAGAGCTAGTTATGCTTTTTTTAAAATGTGTACAATCTCAAATACTGAGTCCAGTTTGTTTTTAAAGTATCTGCTCAAGACTGGACCAAAACGATCTGAATTCTTTGGGATATCACAGTGTGTACTCTGCATTTAGCTTATCGTTTCTAAGGGTACCCTCTGCTCTTAAAGTGTTTCTTTAACTGGCACAGTTTGGAAATCTAAGAGGCTTTGAAAGCTTAAAAGATATTCACCCAACAGCTGAACTTAGTTAATGCTGTATTAGGGTGGACGTGCCCTTTCAATGAGCCAAAGCATTACTCTCTATCTTACTGTAATCTCCTTCCGCCTCCAACTTCATGAAAATGTTGAACAGCCTTTTTTTTTCTCGGTGACCTGGGCCTTGTTCTCAATTAAACCCCATCGCCCTCAGCACAATTAATGAGGTTATACCCATCTGGTAATTTCATTAGCGACAGGGTCCTATTTGGTAGATGACTGTGCCGCCAAGCACGCTCTACATTTTCATCATATTTCTTGCAGCAGCTCCCTTTCCCCCTTGTCTTTAGAAACAATATGAATCTTGTGCTTATATATTGTAACTTTTGAATGTTTTTTGTCGGTGCACATTCAACCAGAGCTTTCATTGTCTTCTTGTGTGTGTGTGTGTGTCTGTGTGTGGTAAATGATGCAGCAGAAGTGTGTGCTGCAATCAGTGTAAAGGCGATGGCGGCAGCCTGCAGGCTCTTGTGTCGGTTTAGGAAGACATCACTCTCCAGGCCAGGCTGATAATGAAGCACAGCATACAGAGAGACAGATAAGACGACAAGACTCACAAGCATCTCTGTCTTTCTCTCTATCTTTTTTTTCCATCTCTCTCATTTGCTCGCTTGCTCTCACTCTCATTCTCCCTGCGATTCTCTCATCAACACACATATGTATGGTAGACACAGTCTGTTTCCCCCTTCCAGCAAAACACACTTAGTTTTCTTCCTGAGCATGATTAGAAGGAAATACTTGTCAAAGAGAGAGAGAGTGAGATGGGGAGAGAGAGAGGAGAGAGGGAAAGATATAGAGATGAATGGGGACATGAAGGGACATGTCATACAATTCACAGAACACCAGGTCTGACAGGAACCCTCAGGACATGGCACTCGTTTCAAGTGGGGACCAAATGGAGGTGGCACCAGGCTGTCACTGCTCTCTAGTTAATTAGAAGACATTGCCGATCCGACTCGGAGAGGCCAGTCGGAAATCACAGTCAATTACATCCAGGTTATAACATGAGTTTGGCACCTCGAGTCAGCTTGTCACAGCTTATCTGATGCTGACCATAATGGCTTCATACCATGCATTTGCAGCCAATGATGGCATGTCTGCCGTTATTACACACACTTTTCTGGATGATAATGCAGAATTAAGCCTCCGGTTGTTATTCTAGGGAGAAAGAACTGCAGAAGGGTTGAAGAAACACAAGCTAAAGCACACAGAATTGGTCAAAACTTCAGAACTAGTGTACAAAACAAAACAACTGGAACTGTAAGGATTTTAGACATTAAACATTGTATAAGTCCACGATGAAATGAGCTAAACAACTGATGAAATCATTTACTCATTAACAAGTCATGAGATTGCAACACTGAAGAAGGTGGTGGTTTGTAATACACTCAGTGCAGCCGCAACAAGCAGACGCAATTGTAGAAATTGCAACAAGAGGCTCTAGTGCTCAGTCTGATCGATTACAATGACAGTGACACAAGTTTGACTGTGATTGCACGAATGCCTGATGTTAGTCCAGTGAGTATGAACAATTTGATGACCCTGTGGTTAGATAAAGACTGAGCTACAGTTTGCATACACTGACGGTGATGAGGGGCAGCAGTTGTGTGTGAATGGGACAAATTTAATACTTGAGGCATCTATCTTTGAAAGCTTGAAAAGAATGTTAGAATTTGAATCCCTGTGGAACGTGCTCAATAAAAGCAGTACATGTTGCGATTTTGTACTTTGTTCAAGTAACATAAAATACATAACAGTTTAAGAGTCTGAACTTTTCATTACTTTATGCGTGTTGACATTAGTGATGTCAGAATTGGTCAGTATGGGATTAAAATATTTAAGTACTTTTGCTCACTACACTTTTTTTTTTTATCATCAGGATGATTAAGTACAAACTTATTTTTGATGAAAATATGTAGAAATCTTAGCAGTAATTTTACCCTGTCAGCCATCATAGGGCTGGGCGATAAACTGAAAATTTACAGATAACAGAATTTACGACAATAACCGAAGTCATTTTTTCTATGTCAATATATTCGGTGTCAGAAAAACAAATATATAAAAGTTGTTTTTGGATGTGTGTAGGTAGGCTATGGTCTCATGTCCCTTTAAGACACTGTCCTACACTGTCCTACATCAGATACGTGACTCCACCCCATCCAGTCCGTAACAAAGAGGAAAAGACAGGTGAGGAGATGGAGGACGGATCAAAAGTTGTACTGGCTGGAGCGGCGGCTGAAGTAGGCGAAGTTTATAGGGGAGGGCGTGAGCAGCTTGTAGAGTAGTTATCGTTATCAAGGTGAACTGCTCAATATATCGTGATATTGATTTAAGGCCATATCGCCCAGCCCTAAGCCATCATACCCAGGTAATTGTTTACATTGGCTAAATAAAATATCTCCTCCATCTCTTTTTTTAATGTTCAGAATAATCTGAACTTGAAATGTTATCGGCCATGGTTTTTTTTTTTTTTTTTGACATTTCTAATGATTGAGTGCCACTTTTGACTCCTTTGAACATTTTGATGACCCCTTAGATGTGTCTTAGGATCCTAAACCCTACAGAAACATCTTTAAGCTCTGTCTGACACATCCTTTTTATATTTATTCTGCTTTTGAGTGATAAGAATACACCAAAAGAACAAACAGGAAAAGGACTTGAATTCGGAGTCGCTTTTATTACCCTTATTTGTACATAAATGTGAAAATGCGCATGAAGTTCCACATTTGGCCTCTTCGAACAAGATCAGGGACAGTGTTTCTACTCTGTATGCAGAATCTTTCAACAACACCATCCCCTGCAAAACCACTCAGTGCCTGATCCTCATCTCTAAACACAAAGGAAAATGTCTGTCAAGTCTTGAAAGAAATCGTGTACCTGCATTTGAAAATCCATTAGGCAAGGCATGGCAGTCGGAGTAACCAGGAGCAGTGGAAGCAGATGAAAGGGGTGACTCATTCGCAGTGTGTTTTGAAGATGGAGTATGGTCTCTAACTTGGCCACATGGGTAAAAACAGAAAAGTTTACAGACACACAGTCGCGCCGCTTCTGTGTAGGCATTCGCAGGCATGTAGACGCACACATAGACACTTTCGGTGTAAACACAGATGCACGCACGTTGCCCTCTACGGCTCAGACTTACTGGTGCTGAATCCCAAAAAGGTACAGCAAGGCATACAAATCACTACTTGTGGGCAGGAAGAGAAGAGGGGGTGGGCACAAGGAGTAATCAAACGAGAGAGCACTTGAAGAGAAAACGGCAGGCTGTTGTACTCATGCTGCTGTCCCCATCATCTGGAAAAATGGAGGCCCGTTCCTCCCTCTCCATCATCTTAGCTGCGTTCTTCAATCTCCCATCTTTTAGGCAAACCCAATTACCACAACACTGCTCTAACACAACCTCAGATTGAAAGGAAAGTGGTTATTGTTTTCATACACTGCATTTGCTGCTCTTCCCTGTCTTTGCCTCTCCTTTTCTCCGTCTGTATAAAAAAAAAAAAAAAAAACTGAAACGTGGGACCAAGCTTTTTACCATTTGCGATGGCTGACGAGGGTTTGAGATCACTCCACTTAATATCCATAAGAAGGACTGGGAATTCAAAGATACTCGGTTTTTAAGTTGGTCTCATCTGGTGTTATTCTCCTCTCCAACCCACTTGAAGCCAAATGAAATCAGTCAGGGAGAGATAAGTGAGGCTTGCAAATGACCAGAGAGAAGGAAAAGATCATAGACCTTGCATCCACTTCACTTCAGCTGAAATTGAGAAAATAGGAATGAAAAGGTTGAGTCACTTAATATCAAAGACAAGCAAATATATGCTCCTCTCTTTGTCTTTTTAAGTTTTGTCAGGCAGTTTTCCATCTTTTTCTCCAATTTGATTACTTAGACTACTATACATTGTGACGATTATCTCCTCTAGCTCTTCTGTGGATACTGAACATGCAAACTCGTAAGCAGATCTTTATGAGTTTAGAATGTTTCCAACACAACGACAATACCTAGATGGGCTGCCTAGCAGTGACAAGGCTGTACTATTATGACTGGGGTAGCCAAACCAAGGGACTGACTTTTGTATGGGTGGCGGGAAACATGAGAGGCTTAGACCAAACCCAGAAGGATGGCACTTTCTCTAATGTCTAATATAAAAAAGAACCAAAAGTGAAAACTACTTCTCTATGAAATTATTATAAAAGAACCCTTAATGAGAAATCCTGAAGTATATTTTTGAATGGAGAAAAGTCATTTATCCACGGCAACCGGCAGACATCTGGTCTTGACAATTGAAGACCAACACTTGAGGCTGGTCGTGGAAGCACTTAGCTAATAAGACATTAGACATGTTGATAGCCTGGTTGAAAAAAAACAAGTTTGGTCTTATTAGCTCAAGTTACAAAATCAGCAATTAAAAAGGACTAAATCATCCAGTGTCTGTCATCAGATATTCTCCTGACGTATCTATTGACCAAAATTCAGGGTTGATTGAGCCAAAAATGAAGTTACTTCTCCAATGAGTTACTATTTGTCAAAGAAATTAATCATATTTTTGATTAAATTATCATTATTCGCCATCTGAACAAGCACATGAAACAAAACTAATGCATATTCAGTAATTTCAGCTAACTGAACTATAGGGTCTTTGTTTATATCTACAGCTTTGCTAACATCTACAGGGCTACAGTTCTGCAGAAACACGAGCTTTT